ACTTTAATAATAAATTAATAACTTTATATAAGGCCTTATATATATTCCTCTTAATCTCTATTATATAAAGATATATATCTTTATAAATAAATTATTTACAAATAACTTAGATCTATTATTATAACTTGGATTTATTATTATACTAGCTAAAGAAATAGCTTACACAACAATAGACTTCCAGATTAAAAGAAATATTATATACTGGAGTTTAATAAAGTATAAGAGAGTTATATAAAGCGTACTTGTAAGCAAGTTATATAGGATAACTACAGGATTTAATAGTAAGATATCTCTTAGTATAATACTTACTAAGATCCTTTATATATTATAACTCCTAAAAATTCTAGTTATTATTTATTTAGACTTATAATCTTTATATAAGTACCTTATATAACTAAATATAATAAATAAAAAAAAGCTTATAATTAATATTATAAGTCTATATAAGTTATATAAAAAGAAAAAGATTTTAGAAATAAAATAAATTAATAGGAAAAATAACTTTACTAATATTTTCACTAAGAAATTACTAAACTTAGTATTTAGATAATTAATTATAATAAATATATTAAGGATTTAAATTAAAGTATATATTAAAAGATTAAGAGAAAATACTTAATAATTAATTTATATAACTTTACTATTATATATTATTAATTATTTAAAAATAAAGTATAACTTTAAGAAGATATTTAATATACTTAACTACTACTAATACTAATTTTAATATTAAATTATATCTTTACTATATTTATAACCTTCTTAAATTATTATATTATATAATTTATTTAATTATTATATAAGATTTTAGGGAAAAAAAGTTATATAATTACTTTTTATTAATAACTATAAGGCTAGTAGAAGTACTAAGGAAGTAATTACCTTTGTTAATATTCTTACTAAGCTTATTACTAAGTATATAAGGCTTATAAGCATTAGTAACGTTAAGAGCCTTATAGTTGCTAAGGCTACTGTTATTATTATTATTATTATTGCCTGGGTTATTAAATAAATTAATATCTTGATTGTAGTAGGTGTAGTAAGCGTTATGCAACTACTAGATGCACTTAGCGTAGGCGTTACCCTGAAAGGTGGGAATGCGGGTACACTGGCGGAAATGCAAAGAGTTAGTAGTCATGCATTTATTGCTATAGGTAATAGCTATATAACCACAAGACTAAACTAAGACTATAAGGAAGTAGCCTTAGCGGCAAATAATACTGGTAATAAATTGCTGGATAGAAGTGTTACTAATAACATAGATCTTAATATTATATAACAGCATATTGATAATAAGATGCTCCTTATCTTATAGTTAAGGTTAATATATAAAAATAAAGTAAAAACAAAAGTAATATATATTAATAACTAAAGTTAATAAAAAAGCGTAATTATTAGTATTACTAGTTAAAAGATAAAGCTAATAATTACTAAACGTATTAGTATATATACTAATATTACTAAAAATTAAACTACTAAGGGTAATAAGAAATATAATAGATTAATTATATAAGGTATTATTAATAAATTAATAAAAAGAAATATATAAAAAAAATCTTATATATAAGTAGTTATTATTAAAGTTAATTAAGGAAAAAAAGAAAAATTATTATTAATTAATTATATAAAAAAGTAATATATATAAAAAGTAAAAAAAAAAAAGAAAAAAAAAAAATTAAATAAGAAGGGTTTTAAATAGCTAAGGTTATTATATAAAGGAAAGAAAATATATTAATAATAAGAGCAAAAGTAAAGTTAATAAGGAAAGAAGAAACTTTACTAATATATAACTTACTTATTTAACTAGGTAAAAAGAAAATAAATAGTTGCTTAGAGTTTTAATATTAGTGATTTATTATATAACATAAATAGCTTAACCTATAGGGTTATATAATAAGGTTATTAATGTTATAATTAGTATAACCTAATTAGATACTATAAGAAGTTATATAGTTATAAAAGAAAAAGTTGTAAGTATTAGAATAATAGCACTAGCTAGTTATATAACACGCATAACTTAGGGACACACATTATAGCAGAAGGCACAGACTAGATATTTAGCTCTTAGTTATCTATTAAAGGGATTAAAAGTATATTTATACTAAACTAACTTAAGGATATATAAGATCATATATCTTATATATAAAAGCTAAGTCTTATAGTTAGGAAGATAATCATGGAAAATATATCTTTAGTTCACCTTAACTTTAACCCAAGTATAATTATACAAACAGGTTCTCTTAGGAAAAGAGAATTTATTTAACATAAGGATATATTATTTTACTCTTTAAAAAGCTAATCTAGTAAAAAGCTACTTAGTAAAACACTATTATAATATTAATAACTAAAGCTAAGCTCCTTAGCTTTAAGTATATTACTAAAAAGACTATTACTCTTAAACGTTTTTTTTAAGATATATAACTTAAGCTTAATAATATATAAAAAATCAATTATAATAATAATTAAACTATTTATTTTATTATAAGTAAAAGTAACTAAATTTTAATTTACTTATAGTATATTAATATTTAGAATATATAACTTTAATAAAAATATAGTAAACGTTTATTTAATGTTATATATATATTAATAGATAATATACTAGTAAATAGTCTTACTAAGAACTTTATTAAAGTAAAGTTTAAGTACTTTAAAGTACTTTTTAACTTATAAGATATATAAATAAAGATTATATATATTAAAGAAGAGGTATTAGTAAAAGAAGAATATTTATAGGTTATTTAAAATTGTTATTTATAGCTTATAGGCTTTTACTCCTAGTAAAAGCCTAAGAAAGAAGTTTTTTTAGTGTTACTAACCCCTTAGAAGTACTATATACTAGTCTATAAAGAGCTAATATATAGGTAGAGATAATATAGGTATTAACTAATTAATAAGGCTATTAATTATAACCTAAATAGTATTTACTTAACCCTTATTTACAATAATAATAGCTATATTAGAGGTAAAACTACTAGACGAGGTTAGACTAACTAGCGTATTTTTACTAAATAGTATTACTACTATTTTATTATACTTTTATATATTATACTAAATATCCTTAAGTTAAAGGGTCTACTTAAACGTAATATAGCTTTATAATACGCTAGTTGCTTAGCTAAGGATCTATAAAAATAATTAGGACTAAATAAATAATTATTATGTATAGAAATATATACTTAGAGCTATATTACTGCGTTTTGTGGCTAGGAACTTTTAGGCTAAGCGGTAGAGCTTAGAACCCTTAATAATTGTAATATAAGGGGTCTTGCTAAGTGTATAGCGTTAATACTTAAGGGTCTAGCTATTGCTTATTAGTACATACTAACCTAAAGAGTTGCTATATAGTACGCTTTGAATGTACTGTAGGTACTTAAAGTCTTTTTAGAGAGTAGGCTCTAGGGTCCTAGCACGCTCCGTCTTCTTCTCCTTCTCCTCCTTCTTGTCTAACTCCCCTTCCTTCTTTACGAACCCTATTATATTTATTACTATTTGATTAGGTTAATATGAAGTTTAGGTTGAATATAGGTAAGCGTAACGTATAGTTGTTCTGGGTCATGGCCTAGGCCTGTAGGTGTGCGTTAGTGTGGGCTAGGGCGCTGGGGGAGGGAAGTGACTCTGAATTGTCTTTATCCTTACCTACAGTATCTGTAGGAAGGTTGTCTGAGAGAGGAGGCTGTAAGCTGTCCTCTTTGTTGTTAACCTCCTTGCTACTATGGCCTCTAGCGAGAAGAGTCTATTCTTATATATTAATACTACTTAAGATATAAAGGAGCTAGCTAAAGGATAGATATATAAGAAGAAGAGAGACTATAGGCTGGTTACCAGGGGGATCAAGGGAGCTACTACTTTCTCTATTACCCTTATATGCTTTATTATACTTTTTAAGTTAAGCTATATACATTATAGTAATATAAGTATATATAATAGTCTTCTTATTAAGCTTTAAAGGCATTTATTTTTAAACGTTAATATTATATAAAGAACCTATAATATAAGTAAATATATATATATATAATAAAAATAAGAATATTTTAAATATATAGTTATTATTATTATAAATAAATAAAATAAAATAAAAAGCTTTTTTATTAAACTAAAAAAAAGTAATATTATTAAAAAAAATAAATACTTAACTTAATAATTAATTAGCTAATTAAAAGCTATTAATTTAATTAAATTATTTAAAAGTAATAAAAAAAAAAGTAGTTTTTTTATTATTAATAACTAAATATAATATTATATAATTATTTCTTTTATATTTATTATTTTAAGAATAAATATTTATATTTTTATTTATTTTTTTAAAGTAATTCTTTTATATATAGCTATTATTAAACGTATAACGGTTAGAATTTGTTAATCTGCTTAGGGGGGTGTGTTGCAATGCCTTCACGTATATCGCGTAGCCTTGTGAGATTTGCGCTAGGCCTAGATTAACTATTAGTCTGGTCCCTTTGTGCAGATCCACTACGCAGGATACATATTTATTTGTTTTAGACAAGGCAATCCTGCACATAGAAATCTAAGCCGTTTTCCTTATGTCTTTTCCACCCTAAGTGGTGACTCTACGACAGCTTTCAAACTATCTCTGGTATCTAGCTGTCACAGAAGTACTCATCTTAAGCCCCTCCCCCCTTTCCCGAAACAAACCATTCTTTCAGTATTGTATAATTGTTGGCCTTTGGCATTGGATACCTTGGAAACCCATTTACGACGCGAGTCCATCTATGCCTCATTGAAGTGCAGAGCCCTAGACTTCACCCAGCCTCTGCATTCTAGTTTTGGCGCATTGTTTCGGCTAAGATTTGTTGTCGAAATGCCTTATATGGTCACTCGAGAATTCCTCAGTGAATTGATTCTGAATTATTCAACATCTCGGCTCGACATGCCACCAGCTCGCCCCTGAACACATGTGTACGCTCTAGGTAATAACCTACTATTCATAAAACCCCCAGGACAAAGAATTTTTGACCAGGATCTCCCTCCATGCACGGATATCACCGCCGGATAAACTCATTGGTGACCTTCCAATGCGCCGCTCCAGCCTCCTCAGGGTCCATGAAGATGGTGACCCAGCTTCCCTTCTTCGATTCATTGTCTATTAGCGCGTTCTTTATCCTTGCGTACTCGGGCAGACCATAAGGCGGCTCGAGTTGGTAGGCGCTCCACCCAGCGCTGCTGCCAGACGACGCCGTCGACCCCGCGGACATGGATCCGGGCGTTGTGTGTCTGCTGCGGACGATATCGCCAACAACGTCTCTGGTCCGTTCGTATTCCGCGTTTAGCTGGTGGTTGAGGCGCTTGGGGATCTGAGGGAACTGATACCGCAGCACTGGGTATTCACAGTCGATGCTGTGGTCGAGTTCGACGGGGAAAAGACGGGTGGGCACACCATTCGGGTCTTCCCAGGATGCTGTGTCCCAGCCTGCGGTCATGTCGAGCGACTCCTTGCGGCTAAGGGCGGCTTCTTCTTCAATATCTATGCACCGCTTACCGATTTCGGAGAGCATCTGCGCGTCCCATAGGTTTTCTCTTCTCTTAGTAACGGAGTCTTGTCTCAACAAGTCCACGGCCGCCCGCCGCAGCATCGGGTGCCGACATTTAATACTGACGTAGTATAGTGGCGGGATGATCTCGGTATCAAAGACAAATTTGGGCATCGCCATGGCGGCTTTGGAAGGGTCACGTCCCGAAGCTTTCCGTGACGCATGCACAAACTCTGACGCGTTGCTGATGATGGATGCAAAAGCCTGAATATGGGTGTCAAACGCCGTCTCCAAGGTGTCCATTGCGGTGCTGATGGCGATCCTCGCTGCGTGGTAGTACACCATGCACAGCTTGCCTTTGCTCAACGAGTCGTCCATGGCTGAGGCCACAACAAAGGCGACGTGCCATCGTGACAATCTTGCGAGAAAGGTGTCTTGTTCACGGGCCAGGTCCAATAACGTCGGATCCGTCGGGGGGCATGAATACACTGCCCTCTTCGCCTGCGCCGTGAACCGCAGCCCGTCGTCGATCAGCTCATACAGCACGACTTCGGCCTCGTCTACTGATGAAAAGTATAGACTCGTCGCGGGGCTCGCTTTCATGTTCGGAGGTATGGCAGCGGGGAAGCTTCCAAAGAGGAATGATGCGAGTGCGAGCCGACTATAAATGGGCACAAAGTGCTTCTTGATAATGTCCACCTCGCTTGATGGCTCGAGCTGGGATAAGATGAGTCTGCCTTGGTTGATGTGGACCTGCGACGCGCCTTCGTCACCAAGCATGAACTCGATGCAGATGAACAACAAACATGCCAGTAACGGCACCGTCGCGGGCGACGACTCGGCCGGCTTCCATTCTTGGAGACACTTCAAAGCTTTGCCGTACTGTTCGGCAGCAAACGTGTTGGTAAGCACTCCGTTGTTGTTTCCTTCCTCAGCAGCCGGACTGGAGCCCGGAGGCAGCGCGAGCGTCTCATGAAGACTGCTGATGGCGAGGACGGCATGGCGAATGGCGGGCTCGGCATGGCAAAAATGCGGCACCAGCTTCTTCCATAACGTCGAGGCGACGCCGTCGCTGAAGATGGACGGAGCAGAAAAGTTGCGGTAAAAGTCAAAGGCGCGCTGCTCTCTAGTCCCCCCAGCCCAATCGGCAAAAGGTGAGACAGGCGGGCTTAAACGCGAGATGCCATCAGAACCAGGGCTGCCGCTGGAGTTGCTGCCCGTCTGCCTGGCAGGCAAGTAGCCGTCACATTTCCTCCCCGTCTTGATGCAGCGGACACATGCAGGCTTGGTCTCGTCGCATTTGACCTTTCGTATCCTGGGTGTGGCGTCCGGAATTAGCAGGGGAAAGTGTAAGGCGAGGAGAGATGAGCTGAGGAGCTGAGATGACAAGGCATGAGGTGATGGGTGCGAGGGCTGGAGTCAATCGGGCCACCAGCGCCGGGGAAAGATCAGATAATAGGAAGGCTCGGACTCAACTTGCAGGTGACACATCCAGTCCGAACTTTCTTGGTGCCTTTTCGACCAGAAGGGACCTGCAATGACGCCGGCGGCGTACTTCCAGGCCCCGTCATTTGTTGGACAGCCGTCGTGCTCATGGTGCGAGCTCCTCTAGCCTGCTGACGTGAAGTGGGCGTCCTGGGCCAATGCCGGGGTTTTGGGACCTGGTGTTCCCTGAGTGCCCCAGTTTGTTTTGATTCAGAGCAGTTGAGAGAGACGCAGTCCGAGATGTCATATCCGAGGCGAGCAATCAGGTCAAAGCGTCCCTCGGAAAATGGAGAGAGGCGTGATTAGGACTTTGTATCTGTGGCCACACGGAGAGAATGAGGGGAGTATGAGGGGCTTCTGCGAGTGTCTTGAGAAGAGTGGTGATGAATGGCAACAAACCCACAGCTGATTCGAGGCCAGATCCTCCAAGACTGTATGGACACGTTCGTGAAAGTTAGGAGCTGGTCAATAAGTATGAACAATCCTTCGCGCCAGAGTCGCGGCGTCAATTGTCGAACGAGAGCCGAGAGAATGTCTCTGCCTTGAGCAAAGACGGTGACGATTACAACATGGAGGCCGCGCGGGTGCGTGTATTCTCAAGCCTGTCACTGCCAGTGTGACGTCTCATCGCGCGGGCTGCAATGAATTTGGCGTCAAGGCTTCAGATGGAGCGATGGCGCTCAGTTTCCTTGGTTTACCTAGTTTAAAGGAAGCGGCACAGTCCAGATCTCCTCGACCCTTAACCGCAGGTTCCATTCTAGCGGCTGGAATGTTAGTGATGAGCTACCGCGATTGGTCACACAGCTCGGACTATGTTTGCGAGCTGACCAATCGCCGAGCTTCTGTGGATCCCGTGCTAGCCCCGCAGCGCCCCCACAAGGTACTTGTAAATCCTACCGATGTGGAACCCGGGAGGCTGCCGTTTATCCCTTCCCTGTCCGTCTCGGTACGTACTCTCGTATCGTTCAATCTGGACAACCTGAATCCCTTCACTCAATCTCATCCAAGCTTTCTGCCATGCCATCGTTGTCATAGGACGGCCAAGCCACCTTCGAACGACTTTCCCTCACGGCTGTGTAGAGTATTCCAACCTCGAGCCCCAGCAGACGGTTTGCCCTGCTGGCGCAGCCAGGGTTGGTTCCCCACAGCCTGGACTACTGGCTGACGGCAGGGATCGTCCGTTGCTCAGGTCCATGTACCGGAGGCTGAGTACATACAGAACAACGAGATTTAACCTTATTTTCACTGGAGCACGTTACTAGCTTGAGCTTGTTGCCTTGGAGGTGACTTGCAAGTCCACAGACATTGGGGCTCAGGATCTGCTGTCAGATGCCACGCGATTGGTGATGCCGGACTTCCTGAGGCTCTAACTCAGGATCTACGTTGCTGGTAGAGGGCTGTAGTAGCTCATAGCTTAGGGGGATCAACATGACTTGCGTAGCTACCAAAGCCCCATGTCGTGTACACCCGTGGCTGAGCTTTAATGTGAACTTCGATATCCAGGAATACCTTCCAGTGTCCCGTTCTTGTCTAAATGTTGAACTAGTCACCATTCACGAATGATATAATTAGTCCCATGGTGCCGCATGAAAATACTCCCAAGATCAAGCCAGTTCTAAAGTCACCCAGTGTCTTTGCAACACGATATATCCGCATTCTGTTCACCCTTGATACCCCATCTGTTGTCTAAGCCAGCTGTGGGTACCATCATCATGGTTTCCAAAATTCTCCTCGTCATCACGACAGCCTCCCTCCTCACAGGCACCCAGGCCAACCCGTGCCCGCCCCTCGGCCCAACACTCCCATCATCCAAGACGCCCAGAAACTCGACTGCCGTCAAAGAAGCCATCGAAAAATTTCAAGAGGGGCTTGTCAGCCAGACCTCTTCCCTCCAAGGAACGGGCATCTCTATCGGTGTAAAGTCTATCCACGAGGATCGCCCTCTTTTCGATTGGCACTTCACCCCGCCCGTTGCAGACAACCGCAGTACCTCAAAGGTCGATATCGACACCGTCTACCGGGGCGGCAGCATCACCAAGCTCTTCACGACCCTTACGGCTCTGCAGAACACCCATGTCAAGGGAACAGACCCCGTCACCAAGTACCTTCCGCAGCTGAAGACAGAGGCCATCAAAAACGAGGGCCAGCTCAACTTCGTGCCGTGGGACAACATCACCGTCGAAGACCTCGCGTCGCACGTCTCTGGGTTGGGAGGTGACAGTCAGTTTCCCCTCTTCATTGTCTGCCCCCTTCGTTACTAACCATTGGTAGTCGCCACCGACCTTGCCATCTTCCCCGGCAACTGGGCAGCCTTAGGCCTCCCACCAGTCTCTAATGACACGAAACCTACGTGTTCCGGCCTTGGGGGTACGAAACCCTGCACAGCAAAGGGTAGGCAGCCTCACCCTCATTCCTCCTCTGTACCAAGTCTCCTGACACTTTTCAGACCTTCTGAGCGGCCTCAACAGAAAGCCTCTCGTCTTCCGTCCCCACACGACCCCCGTCTACTCCAACATCGGTCTCTCCCTTCTCTCCCTCGTCGTCGAAGCCGCCACCAACAAGACCTACGAATCCGTCCTCACCGAAACCATCCTCACGCCCCTTGGCCTCACCAACACGTCTATCGCCGTCCCCGCCAATAACGCCTGGGGCTTTATCCCCAAGGGAGAGACCACCTGGGGTGGCGACCTCGGCGTCTACGCCTCCGCCGGTGGCATTTACACCAATACGCGCGACATGCTCACCTTCGGCACCGCGATCCTCTCCTCCGACCTCGGTATCGACACGGGCTCCTGGCTGAAGCCCCGGGTCTTCACCTCGTCCCGCGGATACTCCATCGGCGCTCCCTGGGAGATTTGGACGTCCTCAACGCTTCTCGACTCGGGCGTCCCGGTGTCCTTCTACACAAAGTCCGGCGACCTCGGTCTCTATACCAACGTGCTCATCGTCGTCCCGGACTACGACCTCGTTGTGTCCATCCTCACCGCAGGCGCAGAGGCGGCAGGCTCCTTTCTGTTCCCCGCCCAGGTCATCAGCCCTCTGATAGAAGCTCTTATTCCGGCCCTCGAGCAGGCGAACAAAGAGTCCGCCGATGCCGCCTTTGCAGGAACATACGCCGACGAGGAGACGAACTCAACCCTCACCCTCTCCATTGACGACGGCCCGGGCCTCTCACTCACGAACTACACGGTCCGCGGTGTCAACGTGCTCGCCAACATCCCCAACTACGGCCTGAGCCCCTCGCGCAAGACCTTCAACGTCAGTGGGAGGCTCTACCCGACCAACATCCGAGAGGGTAACCAGTGGTCGTGGCGCGCCGTCTACAAGAACCATGATGAGCCAGAGGTCGACGGCAAGCTGTTCTATCCTGAGGGCGGGTGCCAGACCTGGGGCCTGATCGACCGCAAAACATACAACTATTTGGCCCTGGACGATTTTGTTGTTACCGCCGCAGACGATGGATCGGCCGAGAGCATCTTGCCCCGGCCCTTTGGCGTCACACTGAAGAAGATCTGAGGATGAAGTTGATGGCGTAAACGAGAGAAAAAGATAGTAATGGACAATGGGCGCGCTCGAGTACGCTCCATACTTGTACATATTGTATATCATTTGCAGGCCTCGGGAATGCATCATGTGGAGAATTACCATTGAATTTTCTGTTTGCCATTACGCCATGCCATGATGCCTCGACTAAGCAGATAAGGCTGCGTGCGACCCCTAAAACAAACTCATCCCCCCGTGATCCATGATCTGGTATACATAGACAGAAGCAGAAGCGAAAAGACCTGGTATACGAGCCAGGGAAGCTACTCACACATTGAAGAGAAATGCCGCCAACACCGCAGCGGTTAGCCACTCACCCAAAGACCTTTCCAGAATTCTCAAGGGTTGCCCCCTTTTCCCGGAGACACCTTGTTCATCGCGCGGTTTCCAGCATTGGGTCTCCATTTGCATGTCGCTTGGTTCACCAGAAACTGCACCATCCTATGTAGTGCTGGCAGAGGTTCTCCAGCTTCGTCGCCTCCGTGATGAGCTTGTTGACCTGGTTAATGACATCAAGCTCCTCATTCGGCTTAAAGTCTTTGCCAGTCAACTTCTGAGAAACGCGATCCAACACCTCCACAGCCCGCGCATTCTGTATCTCCGTAGGGTCTTGCCCGTGGTTACCGTTGACAACACTGCCGTCGTGAGCCATCGATGAGTTGGTCCTTGACCGGGAGCGGGCGACGGGCCCCCCCGGCATGGCAGGATCGCCCGCGGCGAGCAGTTCGGAGGGTGCTACATCGGCGTCGAGGACTGATGGGCGACGAGCTCGGGCGGCCTGCGGACCAGCAAGGGCTGTCTCGCGTTCGGATCGGAAGTTCGGTCCCGCCGGACTGGCCGCATTCGTAAGGCGCCAGGTTAGGAGAGGATCGTGGATGAACTGCGGAATCGGATTAGTTAAAGACAGCAGCACGCGACAACAAATGAACTCACCGCTTCCAGAACGGCCATGACACTGTCCTTGTTGTCTCTCAGCACTCTCATGACGTGCTCGCACGTGATACGGAAGCTTCCCTCAATGTTGCTTACTTCCATGGCGTAGGTGAGCATGCGGGTAAGTCGGAATGGCACACGCTCTGGGTACTTCTCGCGTTTCATAGCCACTTCGAAGCAGTCACCAAAGTCGATGTGGATGATCTTGCCGGTCACACGGTCGAGCATGAGGTTCGATGGGTGACGATCACCAAGACCAAGGATGTATCCAACCATTGACATGACGCCCAGAGAACGCGTGTAGTTGGTGCGGCGTTCCAACCAAGCCTCTGAACTCTTGCTCTTGAGCCACAGCACACGATAGAGATCCTGACCCGTCGTGTTGTCAAGAGCATAGCCAAAGACTTCGACCTTCTGCATAAGCGTGAGGTTGTCGTAGTCGGGGGCCATCTGGAGCATGATGCGATGCTCGATGTTAAGGAGGATCTTTCTGCTCTCACGGTATTCCCTAATCAACACGTGAAGAGTGTCACTGTTGGGTACCCATCCCAACAGACCGGAGTTCTGGGAGAGCGGGATTGCCGGGTACCGCTGGATGTTCAAGTGTCGCTTGTAACATTCAGAATCATTCGCCAACAAGGTGTTGCACAAACCGAACAACTGCATAACTCGTTCGTCCTGGCGGATATCCTCGTGGCCCTTGAGCAAGAAGGCATATGAAACACCATCGCTGCCGCTGATGTTGAGCTTGCGAGGCCGCTGCTTACTGTTGATAACAGTGAACGTGCCCTCAAACTCCATGATGCGGACGATCGGCTGGCCACTGCGGTAGGTTCCGGGCACTGCGAGATCGAGATCCTTGGCGGCCAGCAACTTCGGCGAACAGTAGGGCAGCTCAAGAGTAGTAAGCTGCGGCAGCTGTCGCGAGATGCGACGGAAGACTTGGTAGTAGAGATCCCATGCCTGATTGAGATCATTAACGTCTCGGCTAGCCTCGTACTGACGACACCACTCGCGGGCCTCGGTAAGGTCTCTTCCGAAGGCTTGGGTGAATGAGATCTCGCGCAGAGTCTCCGGGCCACGCTCAAGTTGGTCGTGGAGTGGCTCGAGAGTTGCAAACATGCCCTCGATGTTGTGGTCGCCAAAGTAGAGCCGCGAAGCCTCCTCGAGACCCTCATGCCATTGCTCGTGCCATAGTACCGCGACCCTGATAAGTTCGTGGCTGACGATATCGGCTTGTGCGACGAGATTGGCGCTGTGTTGACGCATACTATCCATAATCTGAGCAGCGGACCTCGATCGGCGGGTGTTTTGCGACGACTTCATCGCAACAGTCAATGGGTAAACTAAAGCCTGCGGATGAGCCCTACCAACATCCGCCAGAAGACTGTGGATCGACTGCTGTACGCGACGTGTCGGCTGGTTGATTCGAGCGATCAGCTGCGGAATGACCTCCAGCCAGGTGTCGACGCTGACATTAGTGAACCCTTCGGTGACGGCCGCGTTCACGTCGGCACTGGCGCCGTGTGTAAACCAAAGAGTCAGGAGACGGAGCGTATCCTGTAGAGAGCTACCAGCCGACAGCGCAATCGACTTGAAGAAGCCCCGAACAGCCGGCACAACGTGCTCAATGACCATGTGGTCGGTTCTTTCGCCTCTGGTGGACAGGGCCTGCACAATCTCAAAGTTGGCCAGAGCCCATGCGTGCCACGCCTTGTACCAACGCGGGTTGTACTTGGTGGCCTGTGAGTACGAAGTCAAGATGTCCTGAACGTGCTCGTATTGCCAGTTCTCCTTATTCAAGGCAATGAGCCATTCGCCCTGGCGCAGATAGCACTTGGCCAAGAGAACGGTCTGATCGTACAGAGCCTTTTGCGTCTGAGGGTTCATGAGGTTGGGGTCAATCTGATGCGGGAATCCGTACTCGCTCGACAAGTCCATGCCATTTGGTGCCTGCGCCGTGAGGTGGGCCTTGGTCGCCTCATAACGGTGCGCCGAATCATTCGTAAACTTGCGGAGGCAGTAGAGCGTCCTCTCGGAGATCCCAGATGTGCGGAACGCGGGCTGTTGGCCAACCTCCCACTCATATTTGAGCATAGCGTAGATGACCTGCGAGGGAATGTTTCTCGGCACAGCGGCGTTCGGCTGCTGTCTCTCGTTCCAGTAAGGAATCAGAGTCTCCAGAGGGGTTTGCTCGACGCCAATGAGCTGCTTCAGAGATTTTTCGGCGAGACCCATGCGACCGGACTTGCGACAAAGGTTGGCGAACTTGATCCACATGTGCATGTTCTCCGTCGGGCTGATAACCAGGTTGCGGAGACGCAGCATCCTCTGCCATACCTCCACGTTTCGCTGACAGCCCTTGAGTCTTGTCTCCCAGGTACGTCTCATCGTGGCCTTCTTCTTATCGTCCGTCTGCTTGTAGACGATGAGCTCTTCAAGCTCGGCCAGCATCTGGACTCTAACCACGACTTGGTAAGCTCGGTTGTACGACTCACTAACCAGTGCACTGAGCTCCGTATCGAGGCCTTCTCGAGCTTGTTGCACGCAGTTGACAGCCTCCCTAAACTGATTGCGGTGCAGAGCGAGGATGGCGCCAAAGAAGGATCGGTCAGTCGAGTAGCGCTTCATGGACTGCAGATAGTTGTCCATTGAATCCCACTTGCTGAGGCCCCATGCAGCCGCGGTCGCAAGGGGAGCGATCAAACGCTGTACATCGGGCGAGGAGTTGGCCCAGGTGTTACCGGCAATGCCGGCCAAAGCCTCCCACTCACCGAGGGCGTGCAAACATCGCATCTTGCCCATGATAATTTCGACAGGCACAGGCTTATCGTCGGGAACCTCCATTTCGCGTTTCGTGTAGAAGGCAAGAGCCTCTTCCCATCTCTCTAGCTTCTCGAACCACGTCTCTCTAAGCTGTATTCCCTCTTTGTAAAGCTGCGCTTTACGGAGAATACCAATGGCTGCGTCAGACTGCTGGAGTTGGTTGTTGATCACGATAAGAGCTTCAACCGCCCCGCTGCTCTGGTCCTGCAGGAACTCCAGCTCCTTGTAATGTAGAGCCTTGGCGTAAGCGTGGCAGCGCGCAGCCTCCCGACCGAGAACTCTAATATCGATGGGCAAGGCCTTGTCGTCGTGTTCCATAAACTCGGCGAGGTTGAGCAGAAGGCCGAGCAGATCGGGGGGGACGTTCTCGGATTTGATGGCGCTTTCAATGTTCTGAATCAACTCATCCTGAAACTGTTCGTATAGTTCGCTCCAGCATGACACGAATGCCGAATTGAACAACTCACGCGCAAGCGGCAAGTATGAGCTGGCAAGGGCGGCGCAGGCGCGAAGCGCGTGGTTGGGCGACTCAGTGAGCAAGGTCGTGGAGAACCTACGAAGCCATTCCTGCCAATCCTCCTTGGTTGACTTGCCCTTCGTATCCCATGCCTGCTTGAGATGGATAGCATTCATCTCCAGTTTCTTCGCGCCGAGGTCGGCAAACGCTGCTTGGTCGTCAACGCGGTCAATGAATCGGTCACCGCCACCAAGGTCTTGCGGGAGCACCTCGCCCTTCTGGAGTTTGGTGACGAGCAAGTCATAGTTCTGGTGTTGGATCTGGTGTTGGGCAAGGACCTTGTTGACAGTGCCCATGAAGTGGAGGTAATCCTTGCCGAGCTGCTGGATCAAAGCGCAGAGAGTGTCCAGAGCTGCAACACGCAACGTGATATCTCCACTGCCCAAAATGCGGGTGAGGGGATGGATGATCTTGGCAGCGTAGTCGTTCAGGTTGACCTGATACGTAATCTTGCCAATCGTCTCGATCGCTTGCTTCCTCAACGGGGTGGGCTGACCTTGCTTCTCAAAGGTCCTGACAATAACAGGGATGATCAAGTGCATGTACTCCTCGGCACTTGACCCAAAGACGAGGAATGCGTGAAGAACCTTTTCGGACGGCGTCCGTCGCGTGGTGGCGTCCTTTTCAAGCACGCCGAGCATCAGGGGCAGTAATCCTGCGAGGTAGATTTTAAATTCGCCCTCAAGGGACCGCGAGATGGCCTCCACCAGGCTCATAATGGTGGACTGTAGGGTGCTCGTGGTGTTCCAGAATTCCTGGCAGATCTCGACGATCTCGGGTAGGAAATTGCGAATGTGCTGTCTGACGATGGACACAAGAGTGGCCAGCTGGCTAAAATAGGAGTCAAGACGTGTCTTGTCTGCCGCGCGAATAACGCCAAGGAAAGCCGGAATAATCCGATCCAGGAACGATACACACTCAAGACCGAGAGTGCGGAAGATGTTCATGATAGCCTCAATGACGGACGCATGATGGCTCGAGAGAGAGTTGTCCTTGAGAATCTGGAGGAGCGCATTGATAACGACTGTTGGAAAGTACTCCTTGCTGGATGGCGTGAGGCCCGTCATCATAAGAGAAATGTCCGTCATCTGCGTGCTCTCAACACGACGCTGGGCATCCGGACGACGCTGTTCCACTTGCTGGTACTTGTACGGGTCCAAGGCTCCCAAAATACCCATCAGTTTGATGGTCTCCTGTCGAAGGGGCCCGCGCTGGCCTTCCGTGCGAATAATGCCCTGGAGCAATTCCAGCAACTGAGGATACTCCAGGTAGGGCTCAATGACATATCCGGAGTTGCTGGCTAGTTGGCCCAACGCATGGAGTGCCGCTTCGCGCTTGTTGTTCGAGCTCTGGTCTTGCAAAGCTTCGATGATAAGGGGCATCAGTCTATCCTTGTACGGCAAGACTTCTTCGCCGCCGACAGTTGCTAGCTCACCAATAGCCCTCAAGATTGTCGCGGCCACAGCAGCACTCGAGTCGTTGGCCTTTGGGAGCAGAACCGACATCATCGGCTCGACGTATGGCTTGACCAGCCCCTGGGCATTCTGTACCAGTAAGCTGAGCAATTTTGCACTTTCCTCCTTATTCCTTGCAACATCAGAAAACTCAAGCTCGGTCAAAAGCTGAATGAGAGTCTTACGCAAGGAGGGGATGACGTATGCTGGGTTGTACCGGGCAAGGCGACCAATGATAGAGATCGCAACTTCCCTGATGGCGAAGACTTCGTCGTTGAGGGCGAAGAAAAGAGTGCGAATGTTCTCGGCCTTGGCCAGATGTCTATCGAAACGCTCATCGAGGGCAGCAAGGACTGTCCGTCTGATATTCGGCTCAGGATCCGATACACCCACCGTGAGCAGTCTTTCAATGACATCGCCGACAACCTGGAGTGCATGGTAACTCGTCTGGTTGACGATTGGATCGCGCACGTAGAGCTGGCAGCAAGTAAGAGCAGCAGCCTCTCTTGTCTCTGGATCTTCATCCTCGACATACTTCACCGCAACGTCGCGGACAAACTCATTGAGGACGTGCCCCGTGAAGTCAAAGCTGCCAAGTGTGTTGAGGGCGAGCTTAACTTCAGCTTTGCGGTGCTCGTACGCCAAAGGGTCCTTGGAGTCCTTTGGAACAGCAGGCACAGCTGTGAGGGTATTTGGGTGCGGGGCTCCCAGAGGCTTGAAAGGCTCTCCACAAAGGACCATGCTGAGCATATCGAGCAACCGGTTCTGGATCGTATCCTTGGCCGGCGGGATATAGAAGGCCATGTCAACGAGGGCCTGGGTTAGCTTTGGCGTCAGGTCGCACTCGAAGATGGGGTCGAGGAGGGCCTCCATGTACTTGCTGAGGGTCTGGCCGACAGCAACAGCGAGGCGACTTATGCACTCAAAGACTGCGTCAACCGAGCCTCTCTTGCGAGCTGCCAAGCTCAGCCCTTCTCTGACGTGGGTCATAACACCGTCAAGATACGGGGCGATGGCGCTCTTGACCGAATTCGCAATGTTGCCGATAGCAAGAAATGCGTCGTTTCTCTCCTTGTCCTTCTTCAGCATACCGGAAAGGTACACCATGAACTTATGGAGGTAGCTTCGGTCAAACTCAGCAGGAGAGTAGCTCGCAAGGTCGGGGATAAGGAGGACGACAGTTTTCCGAATTGTGACGTCGCGGTGGTCCTTGTACCGCAAGACGATTTCGCACGCTTCGGGGTAGTGGTCCTGCATGAACATGCCGCCCTGCTCGAGGAGCTCCTTGAGCATGAGAAGCGAGGCATGGATGTACTCGACGGTACCGTGCTGCAGACCGCGCATAAGTTCAGCGTAAGCCTTTTCCATCCACGTCTGCTTCAGTTCCTGGTCTCGCTCTCTAATGATCCGAAAACATGCAGCGACGGTTTCTGCGGAGGTGGCGCGAATGAGGTGGCGGTTGTCTCTCAAACTGTTCCAGATGAGATCGAGAACCAGGCCGACGTAGTTGTACATGAGGGTGGGCGCCTGTCTCGCCAGTTCGCGCAAGACGAGGGCTGCGCTGTAGCGGCGCTCCTCGACTCGTTCGCTCTGCAGCCATTCGAGGGCCATCTGGGTTTCGGACTCAACCAGCTCGCTTATCATAGAACCGCCTGGTCGGCACATCTTGCCCAAAGCAATGGCAGCGGCCTGCATCGGGTTGATGTCTTTGCCACGCAGAATGGTCTTGAGGTTCTGGTTGAAACGGGCAAACATCTTGGTCGATTGCTCAGACACTTCGATGTCGACGAGGGCGTCGAGGGCGTAGACGCCGCCCAGACGTTCGGAGGAGTCATTTCCGTGAGAAATGAGCTGTGTGATTTTGTTGTTGACGTGCCCGTAAATAGCGTTGAACTGTTCGAGGGGGAGGTCTGCGGAAGTGGCATGTCAGTAGGCTATTGAGCAAAGAATGGCAAGGAACGGTGCCGAGGCCAAAGGGTGGATAGGCTTACCTCGGTGACAGACCAGCACCAGCTCCCTAAGCTGCAATGCCGCTCGCTTTCGAACATCGTCTGAGGTTCTGGAAACGTATTAGGTGGTGCGCTCAAAGTCCAAGATGGTACTTGAGGAGATGGGAAGGCGTACCGGGACCTCAGGTCCCTGACAAGGTTGTCAAGTCGCTCGAGAGCGATCTGCTGTTGGGTCGCCATGGCTCACTGGCTGGCGCACCCGAGCGTTCGAGGATCAGAATGGGAAAAACATCGACTGGCGGTGAAAGGAATCGTTTGCGCTGGCGAGGGTTCGGGCGTGGGAGGCGTTGGATGGTCGATTTATGTATTCGGGTATGAGGTGTCGCGCTGTTGGACGCGAAGGAGGGGAATACTGTCGTCGTGTGTCTGCGACGAGTCGACCGCTTCTGCTTGTCGAGAAAGTGGTTTTATAAGAACAAGTCGGGAGAGTGCCGCAAAGAAGAAAAAAAGGCGGGACAGGAATATTCCTGAAGACAAAGTGACGAGGCTGAATTGATGGAGGTGCTAGAACTACAACCAGACACAGAGCAAGACCTGACTGCAGTGACGGAAAGTGCGACAGTGGAATGGAGGGTCAACCGTGGGAGCAACAGCGCAAGAATGTGAGGTACCATGTATACCGTACTCAGACTGTGTATCAGTCGAAACCTGTGCCACTTGCGGTGTCCCCTTTTTTGTCCGCACTGTCCCGCCCCACTGTGGCACCAAGTTCCTAAACCGAGGAGCTTCCACAGCGGCTGTGGTGGAGGAGCCGCCTCATTGCTGACCTCAGTTGCTAACCCCTGCATCTCCTCAATTCCTAACTCGCGTCTTATCTTATCGTCCCGCGGGTGGCACTGGAATGCTGGCCGTGCGACTGGCCGTTTTCTGTGTCGCATGTGTGATCCTCCCGACCTCCCATCACCAAAAGTTAAACCATTACGACTCACGCCATTTGCAAGACCACCCATTGCAGCACTGGTCGAGTCTACTAATCTTAGGATCCAGATCCGATCCAAGCTCGACCCCAAGTCCGTACTCTACCATCAACTTGTCCCCTCTGTGTGGTCATCACCAGCCATGGGTAACGACGGAGGCTCCATTCCCAAACGTCGCGAACTCGTCAAAGAAGCCGCCCGCGCTCTCACCGTTAGCGAACTGAAAGCAAATGCCCTCGAGTCCCTTGGCCATGCTTGGAACAATGACCCCTTGACAAGTCAGCCCCTCGACAAGGACAATGTCGTCTCAGATTGGCGCGGCCGCCTCTACAATTACGAGTCTATCCTCCAGGGTCTGATGCCCTCCGACGACAATACCGAATCACCGCCCTCCAACCCCGATTCTCAAGAGTTCACATTTGCGTCTACTGGAATTAAATCATTGCGCGACATCGTCAAGCTCAAGTTTCACCGATATACTCCGCCTGGGACGAAGAAAGATATTTGGGCTTGCCCAATTTCTCTAAAGGAACTGGGCCCCTCGGTCAAGGCCGTCTACCTCGTTCCCTGCGGTCATGTGTTTGCCGAGCTTGCCATCAAGGAGATCCAGGAGTCGAGTTGCCCCGAGTGCAGTGAAGAGTTCAAAAGCGAAAACGTGGTGCCGATCCTGCCAATCGAGGAAATAGACCTTAAAAAGCTGGTGCAAAGAATGGACGACCTGAAGGCCGCAGGGCTCGCCCACAGCTTGAAAAGGGATAAAAAGGACAAGAAGGACAAGAAGAAAAAGCGGAAGGCAGAGGAGGCCGTCGAGGAGGGTGACAAGGCAGGCAAGAAGAGGGCAACAGACGATTCGGTTGCTCCAAAGTCTGTCAAGAAGGAGGCTTCTGGGAGAATCAGCGGAATCAACAATCCCATGGCGGCATCATTAACGGCCAAGGTGATGGCCGAGCAGGAGGAGCTCAGCAAGCGGAGGAAGATGGCATCGTCGAGGGGGTAGTGACCTGGGCGCCGGCAGCTAAGTGTAAACAAGAAAAATATTCCAGATGATACCCCAAACCCCGTATTCGAGTCCTCTCTCAGAAACTTTGGGAATCGTAAGAGTGTGAAATACGAAGCGTTTTTGTGATTCCTAATGCAGCCCTTCTACTTGGTTCTACTTGGTCCAAGCCAGATGACCCGTACGCCAAGCTAAGCAGACCCAAATGCTAATTCTCTATACACACCCCATGCGTGTCCTCGTTCCGTTCCTTTACAGCTCGTCCTTGCCCTTGGGCTCAGGGGGCTCAAGCAGCTCGTCGCAAGCGGCGGGCGTGCCCACCTCCATCTTGTAAACGCACTTCTCCGACTCCGAGACCTTCCAGAGCTCTTCCGTCTCGCTGCAGGCGAGCCAGACATCAGTACGTCTCTGCGGGCCATTCCAGCAGCCTTGGCCGTTCTCGTAGCGGAGAACCATGCGGAGACCCTTGCCAAGGCTCTTGCCATCAATGCGCTCCTCATCGTCAGCCATTTCCTTGTCGATGCGGACAAAGTTGCCCATGTTGGTGTGACCGCCGCCCTTCTTGGACTTCTGGTTGGTCTTATCCATCCAGCAGAGCTCGTACTCGTACTCGCCAACCTCAGTGCTGACGCACTTTTCCTTGAGAGCGCGGAAAATATCGTCGGTGCCGTAGTCCTTGTCAAGGTCCTTCTGCTCACTCTCCAGCTGACGCTTCTTGTCCAAAAGGTCGCTGTTGGCAGAGTTAAAGGCCTCGCGGGCGGCCTTGACCAGCCGAGACTCAGTGCCGGGCTTGTTGTTGTCGGCGACCAGACCATTTTCGATCATCCACACTCGGAGGGAAAGGAGCTTTCCGTGGATAAACTCGCGGACGGCATCGGGGAGATAGGCCTCGAAGTTGTATACTAGGCTTTGTTAGTCATGCGCCGAACGATGGTTCAGGACCTCACACACAGATGTCGGTGTCGGAGCCCTCGTCCTCCTCAAACTCCTTCCAGTTGATGCCCGAGGTCTCGGAGTCCTCGACAAGGACCTCCTTGATGTCGGCCTCCAGGCCATCGGGAAGGGCCTCGTTGGCGAGATTGGCAGCGTAGTCCTCCCAACCCTTGACAGCGCGCTTGACGCCCTCGTCGTTGAAGTTGGGGTTGTACTCTTCCTTCAAGCGACCGAGGATGCCCTCGAGCTCTTTGACCTTATTCTGGAGCTCGTCGCGGTGGGCAACAACGTCCTCGAGAGTCTCGCGAAGCTCAGTGACGCGGGTCTTGGCCAGGTTTAGCAGAGTGCCGAGCTTTCCACCAGAGCCCTCTCCCTTGACAACCTTGCCCTTCTCGGAGCGCTCAATCTCGTGCAGCTTCTCCTCGAGCTCGTCCTTGCGAGTCTCGAGACCCTTGACCTCGTCCTTGAGGCTGTTAACCTTGGCCTCGACGCGACGGCGGAGCTCTCTAGACTCTTTGGCCATCGTCTTGCGTCTCTTAGCAGCCTTATCGATGGCGTCCTTACGAGCGGACTCGACACGGCGGTATTCCTTGCCAATCTCAGCGCACTTGTTCTCGCACTTGACCCCTCCGACACCACTGTACTCCTCGCTTCCGTCGCAGCAAACATCGTGGTCGCAATGACCGTCGTTGACGAACATGAAAGGAACGTATGTGCCGATGTGACCCACGTTGGCACACCAGAAGCCAGGCAAGGCATTGGTGGTGTTGGTGGTACCCGTCAGGGAGCCAGCGAAGGGCTGAGGAGGGGAGAGGGGATCGAGGTAGGCGCAAGCCGCAGTACCGGGCTCATCAGAGCCATCGGGGCAGTCGCATGTGTTGTCGTTGACCTGCTTGATGCTAAGCTTGATCTCGGGGTGGCCGATACAGGAAAAGGTTTCCTTGGTCTCGAAGAACTTGGCGACTGTAAGGAGTCATGTTAGTGACACATCACAGACCGCAAGACAAAGGTCAGGGACAATTGGCTGCTTCACAAAGGCAGCAAAAGAATACAGACAAAAGCAACAACACCATGCTCAATTTGTGCAGAATTTAACAGCACAAAGCCTCTAATTTGGGGGGTTTAATGTGCTGTCGGCCAATACTCACATTCAGGACCGACACCTCTCGGCAGGTTAGTGGCCGAGACAGGTGCAGCGGCAGACAGGAAGGTGCCAACAAGCACCAGGCTGTAGCTTTGGCGCATCTTGATGGATGTTTAAGAGATGGAAACTCTCATCAACACGCAAGTTCGGGTCTGAATTGGGATCCTGGGAGTTGTGGTGATAGTGAAGCTGTCCAGATCCAAACCAAGGCGGAAGTCTGGAGGATTGGAAAGGTGAGGTATGGGGAGAAGGAAGGTCGAGGTACGGGGCTACTTCACTTCGTGGAACTTCCAGCTCACCCAAAACGCTTTAGGTGGGTTTCTGTTGACAGGGGGGTCGGAGCTGGCGACACCTACAGCTGGAGCTGGGCGGCTGCTGGCTGCTCCAGGGGCAGTCACGTGCTGGAATCCCTGCAGAGCTCCACCAGCGTCATTGGGGAAAGAGACTTGGAGAGGCGGGAGCTTCGAGGGAGCGAGCGGGAAGGCGCGAAAAGAAAGGATAGGAGGTACGTACCTTACCCCTCCAAGATCGCAGGCGCGGGGCAAAATGTTTTTATGGCCATCATGAATTTCTGACAGTTTTTCCATCAACGCGAGCGAGCAACGACCCTCCAAAGTCCGACATTCGACGCCGACTCTCCCGTTCAACGCGCCAGTGTCGTTTTCAACTTCCAAGGGGATCCTCGGGGCACTCAACACCAACATGGCTCCATCGACTTCCAACACTTCACCCACTGCGCTGAATGCGCTGACAGATACGGCTGTCGCTCTTCTCCAGCAACTAGAGGCAGTGCTTCTCACTATCAATAGTGGCAAAGACACTCCTCAGCAGACTGAAAATTCCTCCGTCGACGCCTTCCCCCTCGCACGCGACTCTGCCTCCCTGATCAAGGCCCACTCTACCAAAATCTCTGTTCTCATCATCAACGAGCCGTTCACGCCCTCGGCCATCATTAAAGTCCTCCGCGAGCTCGTCAGCGGGCCGATTCCGGGTATCGCCACAGCCGCCCAGGCATGCGACGCAGAGCGCTACACCTCAACTGTTCGACGGGATCTGTCATGGAAATGCTACACTGTGTTGAAGGAACTGAGGAGCCTTGTGGAAAGAATTCCTAGGGATGGCAAGATTCTTTCCACTGCGCAAAAGTCAGGGGCCTCAGGAACTCCGGGCAAGGGCAGCATGGCCGCGACGGGTGTCATCTGGTCTGCCTGCGATGAACTTATTCATTTCTCCAACGGCGGTATCGGCGGCTGTTTCATCAAGAAGGTTGAGGAGTTCAGGGCGACGTTGAAAGATGTCATGGAGGAACTCAAGGAATGGGGTGAGGAGGAACCCGACGACGATGACGACGATGACGAGGATGCCGACGACCTGGACCATGACTCTGCGCTGGGCTCCATGATGCCTTCGGCCCAAGAGATGATTGACGACATGATGGCTGGCCAGGGAGTGATTCCTCGTGACGACCCAGACAACATCCGCGACCGCCTCGAGTCCTGCCTGAAGCGTCTCAGGCTGACCACACTTCTCTACCAGGCCATCATCAAAAGGCGACTGAAAGCTCTTCCCTCACTACCTGCTGAGAAGTCCGACATACCCAAGCGGCTTGACGAGGCAATGCGCACCCTCAGGAAGCTGCCGCATATGTTTGATGAGCTTGCTGGCGCTTTCTATGAGCTCTCACCTGACGAGATCGATCGGGTTATGAGTCTGTGCTTTAACGAGATTGTTGCACTTTCGGAACAGCTGAAGGCGCCATGGGCCGGTGAAACCGACGAGTTTTCCGAGTGGGCAGTCAAGTTCCAAGCTGAGATCAAAAAGGGCTGAGCGCCTCAGTTCAGCCTGCACGCGAGTATGGGCTCGTATCCAGACACACAGGAGCTGAAGAGGTCTCGCCTCCCCATCCGCAACATTCACGCGGCTAGAAGATGCACCCCGAGCTGCAGACGTGCGGCCGATGAGCAAGGAACAGGCACACTGCGCCGTGTTCCATGACTGAGGTCGAGCCAGCGATTGGTCAGTTGACGCTAAGCTGGCCGATGGGTGTTGGTCGCGAGGCTACTGGTCTGAGACATGGTGACTTTGGGGTCTTTGAGGGACACCATCACCTGTTGGATGTGGGGGAACATCGCGGTCACGGGCAGGCAGCCAGTCATCTGCTTCTTTGTGTAAATTCCGCACACGGTCTGCCTACTAGCTGCCTGCAAACCCCGGGAATGTATATAAATTCGTATGGTCAACACGTCAGAGTGAAACTCGGTATACTAAAAGTCACCGCGAAATGGACAAGGAAAAGGGAGTGACCGATGTTCCGGGAGTACCCAAGAGCGACCGCGGCCTCAGAATTGCAGTACGATTGAATCCTACTCCTGGTCCTACACAGCAACATGTCCATGCACTTACGCGCCTTAGATCATTTTCGTAACTGTTAGCAGCAAAATCGCCCACATTGCTACAAATATCCTCACACTGCCATACAATCGTTTCTACCAACAAAACACTCTGCTACCGATTTTGACCATCGCGAAAGCTGTCGAGGATCGCGAAAATGACGAGGAAATCTCAGCTCAACTCAAGCGGTGGCGGGACCGGAAGTTGAGCGAATTCCAGCTCGTACAAGTTGCTGTAGGTCTCACTGTTTTCTACGACTCTCCAGCACGAACCTCCCCAGGACTGACCATTCTCAGAGCACTTTGATCTCAGCCGCTGTCATCGGCTGCTTCTCCTGGCCGCCTCCTGACTCGCTGCACTGGCTCGGCCCGGCTTTCTGGCACGCCAGCATCTCCTTCTCGCTCTTCTCCATTCTGCTCGCCGCCTCGGAGCAGTTCATCTTCCAGACGCTCCACCGCTCGCCGAAGCCGCGCAATGTAGACAAGGAGCTCGCCATGATCCTCTATATCCGCCGCAGCAGGAAAGTTGAGCCCGTGCACTCACCTCTCGAGGAGTTGCCGCCTATCCCGCAGATCCGCGCCATCAAGATCAAGGAGAAGGGCGGCTGGTTCCCCAGGGAGATGCCGCTCGTCGAGATCCGGTGGAACATGATCTTCACATGGCAGGCGCCAATGATGCTTATGGCGTACTCGGCGATTTGCTTCCTGGGTGGGTTGACGGTCTACGTCTGCGCGCCGTTGTACGACGGGCAGGGATGGGTTGGCGCAAGCAAGGTGCGCGTCGTCTAATCTTATCTACTTGAGAGTGTTGCTGACTTAGCCAGGCGGCCGTGTTCTACCTCGCCAGCTTCTTCTTCTGCGGAGTCACGTTCGTCTGGTGCGCATTTTGGGCATATCGATTTGTTGATCTAGGGGATCCATGAATACCCTTACTACGGGTTTCAGAAATCGCTCAATTGATGAGACAGGGCAGTTGCAGGTACACGCAATGTAACCTACGGCGTGGCCGAATGACTCACGCCGGTCGTAGACGCACCATGGTTGGCGACGACCGCATATCGATAATGTTTAAGTTTGGATTCATGTACACAAGTAGACTTGATGTAGAAATTTCAATTTCAACCAATTTCACACTGCGCCTCTTCTCTATAAGTTTGAGATACTTGGAAATACTCTTCGTCCACGATCAACAAAGGAACATGCCTTGCTCAGTAGAAGATATCGTCAAACATTATGAATATGACCCCACAATAATCCAACGCATTGCGACGCGGAAGTTTACACCTTCTTTGTCCATTGAACTTCCAAACCCTGAGTGGCCAGCGCAGTTTGAGAAGATCAAATCCCTCATCGATGCCGCTCTCGGCCCAATCGCGGTGTCCGTAACTCACGTCGGCTCAACCTCAGTGCTCAATCTCCCAGCCAAAGCCGTCATCGACATCGATCTCGCTGTGGCGAACCCCACGGATGAAGACGCCTATGTGCCCGCTCTAGAGCAGGTGGGGTTTCAATTTCTTATCCGCGAGCCAGAGTGGCATGAGCATCGCTTCTTTGCCATGCACGAGCCGTACATCTGCAACTTGCACGTTTTTAAGGAGGACACTGCGGAGTTGGTGAGACATGTCATCATGAAGGAGTGGCTCATTGCGCATGACGATGATAGGGAGCTGTATGCGAGGACCAAGATCAAGGCAGCGGGGGTAAGCAACTCACTTGGGGAGACTATGAACGACTACAATCTTAGGAAGGAGAATGTCATTCGGGAGATTCTTGAGCGAGCTCTCAGGGCGAAGGGATACCTGGATCCCAAATGAAATGGCATACGAGCGGCCCATGCTAACTGAAGGTTGAAAGGTACGATACTGGGACCATGAAGCTTGACTGACTGCTATTGATACAAGGATATTCAGCCGGAGTCAAAGTTATAGAATCCAACTTAATGAAGATAAAGCACCTTGTTTCTTCTATGTTACAGGCAGCAAAAGTTGAAATTACGGTGGCCTCTTTGTCTAAGCTCTGGGGTAACTTCTCAAGCACATGGAGTCATTGAAGGTAAATTGTCTATGCCGGAACCCAATAATGGCATTCCAGCACGGCGACAACGTGCTTAACCCTCGATGATAAGATATGAAAGGTCTTGAATCGACTGGATGTTGTGAATAGCGATAAAACATCCATATTTTGGGGCACTGTTCAGTAGCTTGAGTTGTTGACGGTGTAGGAAGTAATCAGAGCGATTTCCATGCCACACTTGCCAATCCCATCAGGTAGCGTTGAAACTACCTGCGGCTGTAGTAGAGACTTGGTATGGTATCGGAGAACTTGTTTTCATGATGCTCTTTTAAAATGTTTCTTTTTCGCAACAGGCAAACGACTTTTGTACAAACACAATGAGGTAATTAGGCGCTGCAAGGTTGCGAGAGTTGGCCATTCCTTTCTCCGCTCAAAATCCCCGCTTCCCCACATGCAAGGTAATAGGTTCCGATCTCAAATGTAATCTTCAACAAGGACCTCTGGCGCAACGGTAGCGCGTTCGACTCCAGCATAGGATGTCATCGAAAGGTTATCCGTTCAAATCGGGTGGGGTTCAATTCTCCACACATTCATTTTTGCCTTTTGAAGCCATTCACAACGTTGATTGTTGATGTGTTTTCCATATATCGTGATGTTTTGATTGGGTTTGTGCCTTTTTTTTAGGTGAGAGTGCGCGAAAACAAGCACGTAAGTACGCACCTGCTTTCAGAGGTCAAAAGCGGGTTTTGGCTACCTATCAGTGCCAGCTGGCCTTTGGCTGATCTCTCTGTGTGGAACAGTTTGCATATCTGAATTTTCAGTACAACACAACTGATGTTGTTGAATGACTCTCCAAAATGAGACTTTGTCGCTCGTATAGACTGATATGTGATGTTTGTAGAGCTATTTTATATGGCGTTACATTGGACAATTTTCCAATGAAGGCGAGTGCACCAAAGGCTGGCATTAAGACAGGCGCCATGATCGGCACACTGCAACCCCGAAGAATAAAATCACGTAAGTTTCGCCTAACGCGGCTTAAGTAACTATCAATCTAAATCTCACTCAAGACAAGGATTCAAACACACTGGAGACGTAGAAGTGCTCCTGTGCGCCTTTTTACCCAGCGCAATCCATTGTTTTCAACCACTTGCTGGACCGCACCACCGTAGAAGATGTCCCCCAAAGACCAAATCTTGGGCAGGACTCCTACTGAAAAAGGTAACATTGCGCCTCCCCTATTCCTTTCCGCTTCTCGCATACACTGACTTGCCTATCTTTTCGGACACAGAACTCGGCCCTATTGTCAGCACCCTGCCAGCAGCCGGACCAGACCGCTCCTGTGTTCTGTATGGTTCCTTCGTTACGCTCGAACCTTGGTCAACACCGACTCATTGGATCAGTTTCTGGCGTAACCTTCAGCTATTAGAGAACCAATGGCTCGTGGACTACTTTCCGTTCGAAGAGGTCCGCTCGGAAGCGGATCTTCTCAAGCAAATCAATGACTTGGTTGCAGTGCCGGATATTATTTTGTACGCTGTTTTAGCCAATCCGGTGCGCTTAAACCCGATGAGAATGACGGGTGAAGTGGAAGCCTCCGGACGGCACGCAGAGGTGTTCGGATTTATGGCGTATTCGCTAGCTGGTGCGGCGCATCGTGAGATTGAGGTGGGAGCGATGTTTGCGCCAGCGCTGCAGCGCACGGCAGCGGCCACTGAGGCGCATTATGTGATGTTGAGGAACGTGTTAGAGCCAGTTGATGCTCAGGAGGGGAAGGCTTTGCCGTACCGGAGAGTTTCGTGGAAGTGTAATAGCTTGAATGCGGCGTCCAGGAAGGCGGCGGAGCGGTTGGGGTATGTGTATGAGGGGACATTGAGGAACCATCAGATTATCAAGGGGAGGTCGAGGGATACGAGCTGGTTTAGTATTATCGATAATGAGTGGCCAGTGATAAAGACTGCCTTGCAGACGTGGTTGGATAGGGGTAACTTTGATGAGCGTGGAAGGCAGGTGAAAGCGCTCGATCGTATTCGGGCAGAGTTGGCGTCAACGGTCGATCGTTCTAACAAGTAAACCAACTTCACTCCCAAGTCGTGCTGTGTTCCGTTGGCCGCGCCTGAAATCGGCTTTCCATCTATGAGACGGACATGCCCCCTTGGCTGTTTCTGACTGGCGAAATAGGATCAAGTACCCTCGTGGAGTGCGTTATCATAAGTGGCCAAACAGCATTTCACGGACGCTATCTATACTAGCTTCACAGATTCGGTGAGGTTTATGCACAAGGATCATACTGTAGAGTGGTTGAATCAATTGTACTACGTTGGAATCAACCTTATGGAGAAAAAAAGCAGTCTGCCTCGAGACTTGAAAACGCCATAGTTCACAAATCAACCTTTCGTGGTCGCATCGGCAATCTGTCCTCCCGTGGTGTCTTTTCAAGCCTTCTTGTTCTCGTAGGAAAGACCAGGGTAGTTAGGAAGTTTCCAACCTTCGACATCATCCGACTGAAACCTCTGAAGGATCTTGTCGATTCTTAACGCCGTCACCAACCACAATATGTTGTACAGGATGGTAATAACCCATTGAGAGCTGGGATAAATCCAAGATGGCTTGATTCCGATATCCTGAACTGTCTTTATCAAGGCCGATATTTCCATGTCGAATGCCTCAAGGGCGGCCGGCACCCCATCGGTTGCTCTGCCCGACGATGTCGAGCAGTGTTTCGAGATCTCTCCTGCCAGGACGTAGGCACCGATAAACGCACAGCTTGTTCCGCGGCCGGTCAGAGCACTTGGAGCGTATCCCGCATCGCCAATGAGCGCCACACGATTTTTGTAGTGCTTGTCCATCCGGATCTGCCCAATGTGTACGCTGTAAAAGTCATCCGAGACGCCGGTTTCCTGGAGAGCGTCGACGAAGCGATCTGCCTGCCATCCGGCGCCTCTGAAGAGCTCTGACCACACCTGCTTCTGCTGGGTGATGTCGCGGCTCCGCTCAGCGTCCACGAGCAACTTCTCAGTCTTGTCGTCAGGTGGGCAGATGGCAAGGTAGGCCTGGGTCGTCTCCGGGTTGTCATTTCTCGACATTATGGTCCGCTTCTTCGGGCTGATGCAGACTGTAGCGTAGTTGGTATCCGTCTTCCACCTCGGAACAGTGAAGAATGCCATGTGTAGACCGAGAGGGTAGAATGGGTCCTCTGCGCTGGGGCCAAGCATCAATCGTCTGGTCCTGGAACTTTGACCATCTGCTCCAACGAGGAGGTCGAATGTGTCCGTGGTCCCGTTGGAGAGACACACTGTCACCGAATCCGAGTCTTGTTCAAAGGACTCGATTCTAGCACCAAAGACGTACTTGACTCCGAGATCTTTGGTCTTTTGATAAAGGATTCGGACGAGGTCACCGCGCATGATCTCGAACTCGGACGTGAATGACTGCCTGCCGACGCCTGTCTTATTTGCTTCGAAGGTCGCCTGCGGCCTGCCTTGGGCGTTGACGAAGGTGATGCCGGCTTCGTTGACCACCTTGGCGCGGATTAACTGCTCCAAGCCCATCCGGCGGACCACTTCGACGCCCTGGCCGCGAATGTCAATTTGCTGACCCTGGACGCGGAGATCGGGAGATCGTTCGACAATGGTCACATCGTGGCCGAGCTTTGCCAGCCAAAAGGCGAGGGCTGGCCCGCCGATGCCCCCGCCTGAGATGAGGACTTTGAGGGAAGACATGTGTGATGCAGCTTAAAGCCCGGGCTTCAGTTTGGTCGTTCGGTTTTTCTGGCGATGTCGCTTCGTTTTGCACGCTGGCGGTTTGCTTTCATCGTCCAGACCCGCTGGGCTCGAAGGGTATGTATAGGTACCAAATCTTTCAATCCCAACGGCTGTCACATTCTACACGGACACGATATCGGCGGTCGTACTTGCTAGCAAGCCGCTCGGCGATCTGTCTGTTCCGCAGTCCGACGTCCATTTCGGGTTTTACGAGAGGTGCTACACCAGTAGTGACGTCAAGACTCAGGGTTGGATGCCGTGTGATGGTGACCGCACCGGTCAGTACGTGGCCCATATGTGCTGTTCCGAGCTAAGTGGGTGCTCCGTCTGACAGCGCGAGAAGGACACGGTATTGAAACAACTCGGACTATTCAAGATTGGCTGTCTCGGCTCTGCTAAGGCCGTTGGCCTTCGGATGTTGCATCGACGTGACTGATCCAGTAATCCTTAGCATCTACAATAACACTTGGTTTCATGTTACATTAATAATTTAGTCGCGGTTCGACATTCGATTGAGCCCTGAAGCATGTAAACCTGTGAGACTGCTCAAAAAGATTGACGGTAGTACGCAGATAAAGAACGGTTTTAGAGGGACTAGATCCCAGTTGACAATACAGTGTAATCGGGGATGATACATGGGGAAACCGACTTACCCCACCTTCCGCCGCCGTTTGCCACTCAGCACACTTAACCTAACTTGAGCTGGGGTGAAATGGCTAGGACCTTTACAACTCAATTCAGTAACCATTCCGGTCAGCAAAATGCTTATTTCTAAACTTAACAAACGGTCGTGCTGTCGGGGCTGGTGCTCGATTTCCCTGTTTAAGATCTCAAGGGTTCAGAAGGTCTTCTCAATGCTGGAAGATGTTCATCAAGTAGAACGCTGCTATTGTCGACCAGAACAAAAATTAGTTGCCAAGAATGAGGAGTTCATGTGGGTAATCGAGGCGCTTCGTAGGTATGTGAGCAATGCTTTTGCCAACTTCAACAATTCCCCTTCTTTTCCTTGCCTCAATTCTCACATTTAAGGGCGTCTTTGAGTCATGGCTGGCGCGTTCATGTGGCAGGGACAGTCGCGATACTAGATCGTATGCAAGCAGCATTAAAAGGACCATGGCGACACGGAGGATTGTGACGACTTTTTGCGTTGGTCTTGTTTTTGTTTTGGAGGATTACTAGGAAGAGGTGGATGGCCTCGAGAATCTCTACATGCTCCGTCTTATCGAGAAGCGTGCGGAGATCTACTCAGCATACTGTCTAATGCCGAGTGCTAAGGAGACGTCGTCGAGTTTTATGGCTAAGTCTTTGAGAAAGGGTTGGACCTAAGCAGCCTGTGGCGAAATGGAGAGCCACTGCCTTTCATAATATGTAAACCCAGCCGAACCCTCGTGACTGTGCGTCTGTGCGCTTGTTTATGGCAATGCGAGACTTTGACAATTGATTCTGTCTCTGTGATCTCTACATGATCATAGGCAGATTCAATAACGGCTGGGGCCGTGATAGCCTGAACTACGGCATTCATCCCTCGCAGCCTGAGTCACCTACAGCGCCGGGTCATAAGTCTGGGCACACCAAAAAGGATAATCCAATCAACAGCTACAGTAACATGGGGAGACACAGGACTTCTGGTGGTGCACTGTAAAGTGACTCCAAGCTGATGGGTCCTCTTTTCAACTGTTGATTGGATTATCCTTTTTGGTGTGCCCAGACTTATGACCCGGCACTGTGTGGCGCCTGCCAAGATCGCCAAGAGGAGCCCCCCACCGGTCCAACTGCCGCTGTTGTCACTGTAAGAGCATTGAAATAACTAGTTTAGGCTGAGAATCGACACTGATTCGGGGACTTCTTTATCTTCATGGGAAGGTGGTTAGTAGGTAAGGATGGACGGGCATGTTTTGATTAAGCAATACAACAGAGCCTCAGTTACATGAGTAATATCCGCATAATAGAGGTTTGTAAATCAGGAGTTAGATTAATTACAGATCAACCATAAGAACAAGGGCCTTTGTTTACCAGCGTCAATCCAGTACTTTTGAGTACATTATGGCTTGGTTACCAGTAATTCACTGTTTGTTCCAGCTCTCTAGATACAAAGCGCAATAACTCCGGCGAACAAAGCCAAACTAATACCCTGTACAGCAGCGCCGGCTGTTGGCACTGTGCTTGGGGTTACTGTTGACGCCGGAGTCGAACCAGTCGCGGTGGCATTCATGCCATCTGCAGTCGCATTCTTCGGCGCAACAGCTGGCTGGTAGCTGGCACAGGTGGCATTGGGAGAGATGGGGCAGCTGTCTGCAATGCAAATCGCTTGCAGCTGAGATCCTTGCTCGGGGATGGCAGTAGCGTTGGGACTGCAACGCAGGCCGAAAAGCTGGTTCAAGGACGTGCCGACGGCCTTGAGGTCATCCTGAGCTACGCCAAAAGAAGCAGCGGCGAGAGCAACCTGCTGGATGAAGTATCCCAGCTCATTCTCGTCGAGGTCCATGAACTTGTGCACCTCGTACATGGAGGCAAAACCGCTGTAGCTGGGAAAACCAGCCATGCCATACTGCGAGCAGCCAAGAAGCGCGCCGAAAAATTGGTAAAGATGAGTCAGGAGGAAGCTTCATGGCAGAATAAGTTAGTTCAACCCAAACTAAACCCTGATCCATAGTTACTGACTATTGCTGAGACTTGTCGTCATTCGCGGGCATGTTCTTCATCAGAGGCGCCGCGCCACCACCGTCCAGGAAGTTGACAGAAACGCCGGAGCTGCCGCCTCTGTTTGATGAGGCAAGCTCCCCGTTGAAGTAAGGGAGAAGGTTGACGTTTTCGCCGTTGTATGTTCCTGATGCCAAAATCCCAGGAACCTTGACTCCGACATTCGGCATTGTGTCTGGATTGGTTAGAATGAGGAACCTTTCGGCAGGAAGTTTGGGAATATCTTACAATTTCCAATAACAACGGTGTTGACAAGGAGCGTCAGCAGGGTGTATTGGTTCGCGCCCGTGTTGTTTTTTAACAGAGCTGTCGTGTAGTAGTCGCAAATGGGTGTGTTGGCCGGACGCTGGGCCACGACAACACCGGCTGCAGCCATGGCAGTTGCAATGGTCTTGTAATGCATTTTGATAAGCAGATGCAGAGGTTTTGATGCTATGTTAGGGTATCGTAAGGAAAGAAAGTTGCTTGGATGATCCCCCCTGGATATGGGAGCGGTCTCTGGTCTATATGTGTTTTGAGAGCTAGATCAATTTTCGCAGACAAGCTACTTACCTGCTCAACCGAGCCAATCCACGGTACGGTATGCATCCGTATTTCCTGTCAGTCAACGATGAAGAATCTTTTGCAACTGACACCAAAAGGGGAAAGATAGTCTCGTCAAGCCTTGGCACTAGCTGCATGCCCCAGAGTTCAGAGCTAGTAGGCTGCCAGGCACTAGCGCCGGGACTGACCTGATCCGGGGAGAGCAGCATCCAAGTCGGGGCGATAGCTCACCACTTTGGAAATACGTGCCGTCTCATTGGATGGTAGGGGCCGTTGAAGCCCCGGATTTGAGTTGTTCGGATAGGCTAAGCCAGCGATCCGAACCCCGGGGGCCGAGAGCGTCTTGACAGCGCCAGGCCGTCATCTAAGTCTATGTTCCAAGGCACTGGAATCCCTACGTGGCAGGTTTACATAGGCAATGATCGATTGAGCGGTTCTCCTCGGCCATGAGATTGCCCTGTCCTAGTTGGGCTGGCATCCGGATCAGTTTGTTTCCGGCAACTGTGATTTGATTTGATCGGCGAGGCACCACGTGCAACGATTACGGTGGAAGCTCTTGGACGGATGGGCCTCTTCCGGAAGCTATGAGCTATCGATGATGAGGACTAGAAAGACCTCCTGGAGTGTTCTGTTTGGGGGGGGGGGGGGGGCTCAGCATCCGGTTGTATCCTATTCACACGACCCCTCACATCCGCACCGGCGCTATGCGGCTTACCGATCATGGTGTCTAGGGTCTTCCGTCCGAGAAACATTGACGGGGCTATTAGCCAAGATGCTGTGAAAGTATTTTCGTCGGATCTTGCTACACGTAATGGCGGGTATAAAAGCATGGATGGTGGATTCGAGAGAGAAGAAGCACAGTGTGTCAGTTATGCTAGTGATGTCGTGAACACGTCAATCTGACAATTTGGTCACGCAACTTGGCATCTTCATAAGATTGCAACAGCTCTAGTACCATGATGGGTTCAGACATACTGATTACTTTTGAATGGTTTCAATGCAAAACAGTGGGATCCATATTGTTCATTTACTATCCGCCCCCCATATAGATGTTTCTTTTCTTGCATTATTAGTGCGAAGCATGGCAGGTCCATTCACAAAAGATGGAGGGCATGAACGAGATCCACACCAAATCTCGATACATTCCCGACAACTTTAGTTTTGATTAGGGTACGATGGAGAGGAATACCGGATTCCAAGGACAGAGCCGTGCTATAAACCAAATCAGCTTGGTACAGCTGGGGCGGTCCAAATCGCAGCAAAACATTTAGCAGTTCAGTTTGGCAACCAAGTCAGGTTTGCCCTCTTGCACGTTGAAGAGATAATACATCATAATACTACCGTAGTTCACTGTAGACACTACATGTTTTGCTCTCTGGTCTTTTGATGGTTCGTACGTCAAATGTGTTGGCGTTTCCTTGACCAATCGCTTCAAAATCGTGAAGCGCCGATGGGTACGGTTCGAAAGAGGCGTGTCTAGGTATTCTACCGACTGCCCTGCTAGTGAACTAGAGCGCAAGGTGTGTGAATAAGTAGCCAACGATAGACAGTAGCCTTGGTTTTCTATCTAGGCATTTGGTGTTTTGGTGATTTAGGTGCTCTCTTTGAGATCGTTCGTACTGTAGTCCACCTGCAGTCGGTAGAATAGCCACAGAAACGAGAGCTCGACCGACTCCTGTAAGCCGGCGTGTATAATCATTACCAAGCTTGGGTGTGAGCGCAATGCTGCTAGTGCCAAGCTGTTCGCCAAGGGTGCTCAGAAGTAAAGTGTGCTTGTCCCTTGGCTGCTATCCTTTTGACTTCTGTTGTTAGCGTTTACTCCAGACAGGCCACACGTGTCGAGCCTCAAAGAAACCAGTTCCGAATTACCCAGTACATTCAATTGCATCTAGCCGTGAAAGCGGTTCCAGTACCTATCCCAGCTTGCTCTTGGTAGAGAAACGAGAAATGCCACTATGATCGGTCGGCGCCGTTTGACGAAACAAGGTTTTGTCTGTTTCGTACTTACATAGAAGAATAGATGAAATTCCCCAAGTGCGAGCAACAGAATGCGATCAAAGGCTCTATGCCTGGCGGAAAGGGGTGACTCGATTATCCCAGACGTCCTTGGCGCCATGCCGCCAAGAGCGCCGAGCTGAGGCTCAAGAGCAATAAACAGTTACCGGCCATTGCTAGGGCTGTCTATTGGTTTATCGACTATCGATCCAGCACCTCACTCAATTAATCTGATATAAAGAGGTCAAGGAGAAACGCCAAACTGAGAAGTTAACCTGCAAAACACCGAGTGCTGGGCCGAGCGCAGGAGCCGTTTGAACAACACATGGACTCTGTATTACGGACGTCCTCTCGAGCTAGATGAGAGGCCGAGTTCGCATCCACACCTTTGGAGTTTACTGGACGGGAGACGCTGATGCTCTGAGACGGAGAGGGGGGTAAGCAGCAAGCGGGCAAGAAAACACAACACAAGAGCAACTCGCAGTGGAATGTTGCGATGCAGGTGAAATTACGAAGGGTGGTGGATGCGCTTGTGGGTTGCAGAGTTCGAAAATCCGTAACATTTCCGTCGGGAGATGGCCGATGAGCAGAAGGTTGAGAACGCAGTCGGTGGGGTACGTATCGACGTCAGGGGCTTGCTTGCTAGCCCCGAAGAGGCAGCGTGTCGTTGAACAAAGTGGCTAAAATGATGCGATGGTTGACGCGGTGGATCTGATAGGGGCGCCACAGTAGAGTTTAGACGAATTAAGCTTAGCGGGCTCCTTAGCTCAGCAGGGGCACATAGCAGTACTCATTGGGAAACGCAACCCCCCCTCCCCCCGGCTTTCCACGTGATGCAAGATGAGCACGGAGGGCTCGGCGGCGGGGCATGTTTCCTCTGCGTGTCTCCTCAGGTAATTCCCTTTTTCCTCTGCTCGACTCTGCCCACCGCCCGTTGTTGGAAAAAACTCCGGCGACCTCGCTTGTGTAGTCGAGTACGCAAACACCCCGGCACATTGTCCAATTTTCCACTGTTTTTCGGGACTTAGCAATCCACCTTCCCGAAGAAGAGTCTCGAGAGACCCAGAGGCCCTTGCGCCGGTTCGGCGATTAGTTTTACATAGTAAGAGCCCACTCGCTGCCCACAGACATCGGGTTTTTGCCCCCAAGGACCCCAGACAATAAAACGGATATTGGACCTCTCTATGTGGACTCTATTGAGCAATTTGACCAACAACGGCAAACCGATAGAGCATGGCTCCAGCTATGAGGGCTACCATGGTAAGAGAGCCTGGTTGCTTTCGTCTCATTTCACCTGGTCCACGGTGTCATTCGGCTCGTCCTCGCCGTCGGATCTTTGCGACGGCACACAAGGTAAAAGATTATCCTTAAATCAAATACAACCACGGCCCAAAGCCCAGAATGGGTTGCGCGTCTTTTCTCGATCCATATACGAGCTAGCATGTCGTTTAACCGTCTTGTCAATCTTCTAAGCTTTATACAACCACTAAACTCAATTCCTTGTTGGGCTCATATAATCTCAGCAGCAATGATACCCCGAAGAAGTCAGGTCTCCGCAATTCATCTGCCGCCGCTGCAGCACCAAGTCGACAGTCACCTGCACGCTTTGCCGGCTCGAATCTGGGGTAGAATGCCCCGAGACGCCGGGACTTACAGCGCATACCCTCGCTGTCGGTTCGTCCGTTGTTCGTCCGTTGTGCATACACCATTTATCTTAGCCGGCTCACTCGGACCTCTTGCAGCGGGCAGTCCTTGTCATTTGTCTCCTTTGGTCCAGCGGACCAGTGTTATCGTTCACCCTCACGTCTCTCTCGCCTTACTCCTTCTGCAAAGACGGCCGATTACAACCTCTCGGGCGAGTACGTCTTACGCGGCATGCCTTGCGCTCAGTAGCCTAAGCTCCTCAGTAAAGCCCAAAAGTGCGGTGGCCACAAGCCATCTGGAGTTCCAGCATCCCGCAACCCCTCATCCCGCGTCAATCATTCCCGCGAGTGAGCTGCCAGCTCCGAATGACACTGCAATATTGACACTGCAACATTGAATGCTTGTTTCCAGATCTGCCGTCCAATCGAGCGAAGATCTGAGGTACCGTTGCCATGCAAATGTCACGATCCATGGCTACAGCGTGTTTCTGCTAGGCCATCCCAAATTCCCATCAATCATGCTTCCCACCTCCCTGGCCGTCCTCCTCCACCCGCTCCGGAGCGGGACCCAAGGCGGACGTCCCCTGGTTCACAGGCAGTCGAGGGCCCTGTCGCTCATCCTTTTTCGTCTCCCATTTCGTGACGAGTGATCTATTTCGTACAGCTACGGCGAGGAACCCCCTGTCGCCCGTTCGTGAAACAATGATTCCGCCAATCAACAAGCCAACACAATTTATCATGGGCCCTTGCCAGAGGTAACCTTTCTGGCAGGCGGGCGCCCATAGAATCTCGCGAAGGAAATGCAGGAGGGAGTTCAGAGTTGGTCTCCCATACTCTGGGTCACGCCAGCTGCCAAGCGCCAAGTCCGAACAGACTGGTCCTGACTTTATAATAGAGTTGATCATCCGCGTTCTGGGAACCGCGAGGAGGCTCTCCGGGTCTCTGTTGTGTTGCTTGGCCTTATTCCAACTTTATTCTCTCTCTCACTCTCTAGTCGCCTGGCAGAAAGGCAGCCCCTTGCAGCCCAAAATGGCCTTCAATACTCTTCTTCAGGTTCTCTTCTTTTCCATCCTCTCCTTCGCTTCGTCCGCTCTGGCCGCCTTTGGCGTCACCACTTCGGGCAGCAACTTTGTCATCGATGCCGGCTCATCCAACCCTCTCGTCTTCCAAGTTTCCCAGTCCAGCTGCGATATCAACTCCATCAAGTACCGCGGCAATGAGCTCCAGTACGCGAGCAAGGGCAGCCACATCAGCTCCGGCCTTGGTTCTGCCACCGTCGAGGCAACCACTGTCACAGCCAGCACCGGAAAGGTCATCAAGGTGACTTGCACCACCTCGACTCTGACGCACTACCTCATCGTCAAGGAGGGTGAGGCCAACATCTACATGGCCACCTACACCACCGCCGAGCCCGACATCGGCGAGCTTCGCTGGATCTCGCGTCTCAACAAGGACATCCTCCCTAGCGAATACCCATTCGGCTCCGTCTCTACCACTGCCGGCTCCAGCTCCGCCGTCGAGGGCTCCGACGTTTTTGTCGTCAACGGCCAGACCCGATCCAAGTTCTACTCCAGCGAGCGCTTCATCGACGACAAGGTCCGCTGCGTCTACGGCACCAGCCCCGAGGAGATCCACGTTTGTGTGTCCGTCGAGCCCAAGACCGGCTTCGAGCTGTCCTCCGGCGGCCCCTTCTTCCGCGACATCAACTCCAACAACGCGGGCGACTCCACCAACCTGTACAACTACATGAACAGCAACCACGCCCAGACCGAGTCCTACCGTATGGGTCTGCACGGCCCTTACGTCCAGTCCTTTTCCCGCTCCGGCATTCCCAAGAACACCGACTTCGACTACTCCTTCTACAGCGAGCTCGGCCTCAAGGGCTATGTTGCCAGCTCTGGTCGTGGTACCGTCTCCGGCACCGCCTCCGGCATCTCCGGCAGCTTCCAGCGCGTTGTCCACTGGTACAACGCCAACGCCCAGTACTGGACCTACGCCTCTTCCACCGGCGCCTTCACCTCGCCCCTGATGAAGCCAGGCACCTACACCATGGTCCTCTACCAGACTGAGTTCAAGGTCGTCACCAGCTCTGTCACCGTCACCGCCGGCAAGACCACCACCGCCAACATCGCCAGCGGCCTGATCTCGCACACCAGCCTCTGGAAGATTGGCGAGTACGACGGCCAGCCAACCGGCTTCCGCAACGCCGACAAGCAGCTCCGCATGCACCCGTCCGACAGCCGCATGAGCAGCTGGGGCCCCCTCACCTACACAGTCGGCTCCTCCGCCGCTACTGACTTCCCCATGGCCATCTTCACCGCCGTGAACAACCCCGTCACCATCAAATTCAACCTCGCCTCTGCCCCTGGCGCCGCCACCCTCCGCATCGCTACTACCCTTGCCTTCGCCAGCGGCCGCCCCCAGGCCAAGGTGAACAGCTGGACCGGCCCGGCTCCCGCTGCGCCCACCAAGATCGACTCTCGTGGCGTCACTCGCGGTGCTTACCGCGGCCTCGGCGAGGTCTACGACGTCAGCATTCCTGCTGGTACCCTCGTTGCTGGAGCCAACACCATCACCATCTCTGTCATTTCCGGCAGCACCGGCACGACCTTCCTGAGCCCCAGTGTTGTAAGTCTACCCCATGCTCCGCACTATCCGAAAATCTGAAGCTAACTATTTACAAGATCTTTGACGCTGTGGAGCTCTTCCACTAAATGCTTGCTCTACCACGCGAACACGATCTCTGGATTGAAGGCAGAGTATGTCGCATGGAAGCAGGTGTGGGGAGGGAATCGTTGTTTGCTTTGAGTCTTCACGGTACATATTTGACCCATGGTCAACAGCACATACGCTTCATCGTACATATATATCTACACAGCATGCATATCTGAGTGAGATGGCCAGCCGTCTCACCAGCCATGACACTCCTTATCGTCTTTGCGCCGAGCCCAACCGCAGGTGAACCATAAGTGACCGCCATATACGTTTATCCCTTACTCTTAATTCAAACCAAAACTCGAGTTGTCATTACCCCAGTGATCCACATTTCTCACTGTTTATACCCGACCCCTAACCTTTCACCAAGTATTCTATTACAGTCACCGGCTGTGGCTCTGCTATATCCCAGCAAGCAAAACATTATGAAACCATCAACGCCTTCCTTGACGATATGACCGTCATCTCTTGCTCGTCTTGGGTCTTTGCTGGGCTTGGCGCAACAGCCCATCGAGGTCTGAGTGCATCGGATCGCTGTAACTTGTGCGGGGACTGTCGCTTCTTTGGCTGAGTGATGTCCAGGGAGATGACTCGTTTATGTATCGATCGACGCTGTAGGGGGCGTTCTGGGAAGTGCTGTTGGTTTGCTTCGTCAGTGCGGTCGCTTGGAGATGGGGAAACGGGTCATAGACTCACGGGCTGAAGCAAGCCAGGGCGCTTTGACCAGAGCTGGCTTTGGCGTGCGACATGTTTGCGATGAAATATGACGATGTGGAGAAGGATTGCGCTGAGTTCTCGCAGAAGCTTTGCTTGGGTCGTTTATGGGTTTGGTCAAGTCTTTCGAGAGTTTACGGTTATTGCAATTGGCGCTCGATAAAGACTTGCCGACGGTCCAAGAATTCAGTGGATGGGCTCGGAAGTTGTCATTATCTCCAATTTTACCTCGAGAGCCTCGCCGCTTTATATACATCTCCAATATGCCCAATCGAGGCGCCGATGGCTCGAGGATTTCCCATAGCTAAAGAGTCGCCAGCGAGGCTCGAAAGAAGTCAAACTGGCATCTCGCCAACATCAACTCCGCTCCATTGAGAAGACGATGCGCTACGCATGCGCCATTGATGAACTACTGCCATTATCCAATAAGAGGAGGTGCTCGACTGGCCGGTGGCCGGCCTGCGACAGGGCAACCGTAAGGCCCTTGTTTATCCAAGATCAACTGAAGCTGGAACGCTTCAGGTCTAGACGGGTGATCTCTTACACATAGGTCGCGACGGCGTGCATCTGGAATCGCAATGTTAGACATATGTCATCCTCGTAGGGCTGATGGCCGATTTTGGTACCTGGATCACGTACTGATGGTGCCAGCGTCAGGATATATCGGACGCCTGGGCCCCCTGAGACCGAGCATGCTGATCTCTTTCTGGTCTGTTAGTAGACTACCGTGACTCACAAGACTTTAGCCCTGGACTATGGCTTATCCAATGTCCCCCACTAACGGGCACCGTTATCAAAAATAATGTTTCTGCCTGCCGCAGCTGTCAGAGACTGGGAAAAGCACCCGCCACGAGCAAATCAGCTCTCAAAAGCAACTGAAGGGATCATGCCGGCCTGCTGCAAGCTGCGCGCCAGAAATAGGCGAGGCATCTTCGTCCACCGTGTTCCCATTGTCCAATGGCAGAAACTTGTTTCTTGCGCCAACAACGGTCGTCGTCATGATCCAATCACAGCCCTCGGCGCTACCCACCCTTGTCATGCTGAGATGGTTCGCATTCTACTCCGCATATCTTGGGGGGCTGAGCCCATGAGGCAACAGCATGAGCGAGGGAACTGTCCTTTTTTATTCTCTTTTTCGAGTGTTGCCCAAAGCTTTCAGCCGTTCTGTCTTCTTTCAACACTCTCTTTAATCATTTGATTTTATCGCGAGTTTATCGACAAGTAACGGACGGCATCTGAGAAGGGGATCTGTGGTCAAGGCCAGCCGAGGACATCCAAGGGCAACCCCAGTCACGGGTACAAGTGTCATCTGGGCTTTCATTCGAATCATCCCGGCAAGTCTGTGCAAAGTATCTCGACAAGATAAACGACAGTCAGAATGGAGGACGAGCGGTCATTTACAGTCGAGATTCCGATTCGGCCTCGTGAGCCGCGTCACCGCGATTCGACTCTTGCCACGCAAGCCAAATTCGAAGAGGTCATTCACTCCCCATTTGAGCACCACTTCCGCCTGTCGCAGCCGCAACATCAGCAACAAAAATGTCCAGAAGGTCTAAAAATCGTCTCGGGCGCGTTCGGCAAGACATTCCGCGATCGGTCGCCGACCTCTTCGACGATGAGCTCGACTCATGTCCCGGACTCTGCGACAACATGCTCCATGCCCATGTCTCCTACTTCATCAACATTTACAAGGGCGACCACCCCGGACATCGACGGGCCGGACCGCTTGCCAACCCCCTTTCTCGCATCGAGGTCCGGGACGAATGGCCATCGGTACCGGGAGTCATGCGACTCGGGCTCGACGTTCGTGGACTCTATCCACGACGAGAGATTTCCGGCGTATCCGGAGTCCATCGGCATGGGGCACAAGGCTGACCCGCCCCCGCACATGGATATTAGCGAGCCGGAGGATGACGGGCAGAATGACATGCATCACACAGCAGGTACACCAAGGTAAGTCGCTAAATCGTTGCACCGCATTGAACGCCATGTTGACGTGGGCTCAAGGCCGCCGACGCCGGATGAAGCTCCCGAGTCGCCTCGCGAGGCGCCTATTCCTCGGCGGCCACTGAACGAACGGATGAGCTTTGACTCTGGCTCCGATCGTCTTTCGCGAGCGTGGGAGCCGGTCACACCAACACCGATTGACTTCTCCAACGAGGAGGCCGATGCCGTTCTTGACTATATCCTTCAGGTGACGTACGGTGTCGAGCTCGACGAGGTTAACATGCCACCGTCATTTCTTCGCCAGTTCGTCTTCAGGTTCATACAAGACATCGGCAGGTTTGCGTTTGCCGGGTTTCCTGTCGCGACACAACTGACGCACACGACATCGACCTCTTCCAGTGGCTCGATGCCCTTGGCGAGGAGATCGGGATCTGGCCGGGGGTCTCAGAACGGCAAACGAAAGAAGGGCGAGGCGGGCCGCCTGGATGGAGATGATGACGGCGACGACTTGACCGACGATGACGGCGATTCGAGCATCCCTTTCAAAAGAGCCAGACCGACGCCCAGGGAGGCAGACGAGAACCTGCGCCTCAGCTGCCCCTTCCGAAAGAGGAACCCGCATCGGTTCAACGTCAGAGAGCACCACTCCTGCGCGATGACTTACTTTCCAAAGTTCGCCGAGTTGAGGTAAGGCAATTCCTGTAGGCTCTTGTTGAGCGCGACCTGACCCTTCGCAGGCAACACATTGTCAAGCAGCACAAGCGGAATGACCCCTCGTCGTTCATGTGTGATCGCTGCAACCGAGACTTTCCCAGCAAGAAGGACCTCCGAGACCACCAACGCCTGCCTAGAGAGCAGATGTGCGACGTCTCCGATCACGACCCCGAGTCGGGTATTGACGGCCCCACGATGACGAAGCTGTTGAGCAGAAAGCGCGCAAGTGGCATGACCCCCGAGGTGCAGTGGAAGGAAATTTGGAACCTCCTGTTTCCAGACGATGATGACTACAAGGTCCAACCCTTCGGTAAGCAGTATACAACCGATTCGTTGTCGCATGTCTCGACTAAGAACTCTCAGATTTCTGCCCTGTCATTGAGCACTTCGAGTTGCAAGCCCAATTCATGAACAGTCTCAAAGATGTAGAAGAGAGCCTCCGGAACAAAGGCATGACTCCACAGGCACTGGAGACCATTGGCAACATCTACCGTAACCAGTTTATCCAAGTCATCGAGCAGTGCATCGCCAACGCTCAGATGATGCCCTACTCCAACAGGAGCAACCGAAAGAACGACCCGTCGCCCTCCCGCTTCGTAGCCCCCCGACATTTAACCCGCAACGTCCCCCGCCCGGACTCGGGTGTAGACCTTGACGAGGGCTCCGAGGATAGCCAGTCTGTCGCTGTCTTTCCCGGGGGCGTTTTTGACGGACAGGGCATGTTGGGTCATTCGGACAGTGTGAGGACCGTGAGACGAGTGTCTTCCACGTCGTCGGAATTCAGGAACTCGGTGCCTCCACGGACACTGCAGCCTCTTATGGAGCAGCTGCCAGCCTCGGAATTCAGTACTGGAGGTTCTCCGCAACAGCTGAAGCAATCTCCTTCGCAACAACAGCATCAGCATTTGCTACAACAACCCTCAGTATTCAACCAGCAGGCTGATTACATGCCCATTGTTGGTGGGATGACGCCGGACATGGCAGCACAGCTTTGGGTCTACCGCGGCGGAGACGTCGAGACGGGAGCTTCGCCAGCTCAGATGAGCATGTACGCACCGGCAATGGATGCTAATGGGCAGAATCAGTTCCTGGATTGGAACTCAGGACTGCAGGATCATGATGGGATGTACAGCTTTTCGGGATATATGCCTCGTTAAAATCGGTGTATAGGCATGGGTTAAAGGACCTGTATAATAAGTCTATAAACCGCAGGATCTAAGTAATGGCTGATGTATACTTAAGCTTGTGGTAACGGGAGAAATAATGATAAATGTATAATATGGTTGTTTAAACGGAAACCGATCACACGCAAGGTATGATGTCAAAGACGGGAGATACTGTGTTCGCTACTTTCTCCACTAAATTGCTGTGGTGATTGATGCAACTTACATAGCGGCTCGCTCAATGCTCGGGTCTGCATTGACACGGCGAGTTCATTCATATGGTTAATAGAGCCGTCGAGGTCTTTTGATGAAGGGTGCGGTCACACCAGTTGGCAGGGACGGTGCATTCCTAGTCTGCTTGAAGGATTTCCTCCCCGTTACAAACCTGATGATGAATGGGACGAACGTACCAGCATGAGCTTCATCACAGGATACTTTTGTGCATGGCGCTACGCGTCTTTTCGAATGATATTTCTAAGCTTTACACCCAAAGATGGATCAGAAGATGCGGCCCGCGATAATTTCGTGCCCGAATTAGGCGGGCAAATGGATGAGAAGTCAAACAGCTGGCTGCTTTCGATACGAGCGGAATCTTACATAATCATCATGCATCTGACTTGTCTCGGCCAAGCGACCCCGCGGTTGGCTCCAGGGATTTCTTCACCACCTCATAAACATCACGCTACGTCGTCAGCCTAAAGACTTCCTTGTGTCCTTTTTGAATCTAGGCGTTACGAGGTGTTGTGTTTCATCCTCGTAGACTTTGCTGGTAGCCCACCGCAGGAGACTCCGCGTCGATACCCCTCCAGCAGCTTCAGCTTTCATTTCGACCCCAACGACAACTCTGCGACTATGGTTTGGCTCGGGTTGACAGCACCGCCCGGCGAGCTACGCCTTTACTTCCTGTGTATCTACTTTGGCATCGGCGCTTCTGTCTGGGGGTGAGTTAATGAATTCCTGGCTCTCGCTTGCCATTTGACCTCATAGTTCTGCGACTATACCATATCTAGTAGTTGTCACCTGTAGCAGCTTTGAATTAGACTTGGCCATTTGACCTGTGGTCCGAGGGCTGCAAAGAACTTCCAAGGCTAATTCTACATCCAGATACAACATAGGTGTCTGGTCGACGGTTATTTATAACGACGGTTTCGATGAGGCTACGGGTCACATACCCTTGGTCACGAAAGGTATCATAATCAGCGTCTACTACCTCGGAACCTCCATGGGTTACCTTCTTATTTCCCATCCTTTGAGTGACTGGCTTGGGCGCCGCTACGCAGCAATGTTTGGAACCGTGGTTGTGTGTCTGGGTGCCATTTTGCAAGCCGTTAGCAATGGTGCCACCGGATTCAGTACTATGGTCGCCGGCAGAGTTGTCAGTGGACTTGGGGTCGCGGTGGTCTCAACTTCCGTGCCACTTTACCAGGCGTGAGTTCTCTTTAACAAACAACCTGCCCGATAACTAACTGCTCTTCCCTAGAGAGATCTCGCCAGCACAGAAACGAGGTCATTTCGTAACAGTCAACCACGTTGGATTCATCGCTGGTATCGCCACGGGTCTTTGGTAGTCTACCGTTCCTACTCAGATATCTTCCAAGATTCTAACTGGCGGCAGGGTTGGCTTTTTCATGAAGTTTTGGACGTCGAGTGCGGGATTTTTCTGGGGATGGCGATTGTCTATTTTGCTCGAAATAATCCCGGCCGTCATTTTTGGAATCGGCTTGCCATGGATCCCCGAAACGTGGGTGCTTTGAATCAGCCAAGAATGGACTACACTAACCGCGTGAAGACCGCGATGGCTTGTCGAGCGCGGTAGAAAAGACCAAGCGCGATTGACCCTCCGTTGGCTTCGTGAAGGCAGCTTTGATGACGACGAGATCGAAAAAGAATTCAACGCCATCGTTGATAACGTCGAAGAGTATCACCAATCTGGAAGAAACTGGCTTTCTCTCTTCAAAGAAAAGGCTTTGTTTGCCCGCCTGTGGCGTGCTACCTTGCTGCAGTTTATGTCGCAGCTTTGCGGTGCATCCGCCATAAAATATTACCTTCCACATATATTGGAAGGTGTTGGCTTGAGCAAAAGAGCTGCTGTCATGATAACCGCTATTGAAATGACGGTCAAGATTTCTTTTACTGTTCTCGAAATGTTTGTCATCGATCGTTTCGGACGAAGAACCTGTTTAACTGCTGGCTGTGTCATCATGGCTTTCTCATTACTGGTGAGCCGAAGCCTAAAACCTTTCTTTGAGTTTTCGTTTAGAAATTGCAGGCTGACTATTTTGTCTGAAGATCAACGGCGTCTTGCCTCTTTCTTATGAGTATGGACTCAACAAAGCTGCTACTGTGGTTTATATCATATTTATTTTCGTTTTTGCCATGGGCTTCTCCGTAGGCTTTGGGCCAGTTGCGTGGGTATACAACACTGAGGTAAGAGGGCCACTGATCTCGAAATTCGATCTTGATTGACATAGGAGCCAGATCTTTCCCACGTCGGTACGAGCCCGAGGACTCAATTTCGCCTCCGTGGGTGGCTCTTTTGGCGCCGCTATCGTTAGTATGGGCTGGAGTTACGGCTTTTCCTTACTGGGCTACAACACGTACTTTATTTTCGTGGTGATAAATGTTGTTTGTATTCCGGTAAGTGTGTCAGGAAGACCGCTGATTCTGACTTGTTCATCACACTAAAATCTGTTTCAGGCTATCTACGCTTTCCTTCCTGAAACCAAAGGCCGTGGGCTCGAAGATATGGACGCACTTTTTGGTGCCGTTTCCACCTCAAGACACAACAATGATGGTGAGCCGAGAAACTCTCTTGTGAAGATTTTCATCGTTGACTTGAAGCTAGACGCCTCTGCGCATCTCTTGGAGGAAGACGCTCCATACAGGGACTCCGAGGATTCGGCGCCTGGAACGATGAGGGATGAAGATCGTGATGTCAGTCTCATCTAGTGAACTGCCCCCCTCCCCGAGGCACCTTCCGGATAGTTTCTATCAAGTGTGCTTTTCTGATCAGTTGCGGACTACCTGCTCCGGAGTTTCTGATAGAATGTTGACTCACTGGTAAAATTTATTGCGCAACATGAGCATCGTGCGTCTTAGGGTAAAGGTAGCGAGTGTCATCGTTGACGAAATTTTCGTTTTTCAGGTGATATGGGTGCTTGGCTGGCTACATAAACGAATAACGCCAAAAAGCAAACAAAAAGGCCACCCTAGCACGATGACGAAGCTCTGACCTACTGAACAAATGTTTGCATGGTGACTTGAGGCCTGAAATGATCAGTACTGATTGATATCGTGCTCGTGCTGTGGCACTTGTTTTTCCTTGATCAGACAACCACATGAATCTTGAGTCTCCGAGCTAGTCAGTGAATCGAGCAGCTGTCTAGAAGTGCGACATGCCATGGCCCGAAAGCTCTGCATCACGGCTGTCGATGGGCAAACCGGATTCCTCATAGCCGAACTAATCCTTAAGCACCGTGGTTTCTCCCGCAAGATTGATTCGCTTGTTGGATTGTCACTTCATCCTCAATCAGACCGTGCTAAAGAGCTTCGCAGCCTTGGCGCAACTATCGTTCACCATGTCCCTGGCCGAGAGCTCTTTATGGTGAAGACGCTAAAAGATACTGGCTGCGACACTTTGTGTCTCGTTCCTCCCACTCACGAGGAGAAATACGAAATCTCCGTGGAGCTGGTGCACGCGACCAAGAAGGCAAATATCCAGAATGTGCTGCTCATCAGTTCTGTCGGGTGTGACTACACCAATGCTAAGAATCAACCGCGGCTGAGGGAGTTCATTGATATTGAGAAATTGGCGTTGGAGGCCAAGTGAGACCCGGATGTGTCGACCGGCCACTCGCCGTGTGTGGTTCAGTATTTTCATACAAGACTCCCCGTGAAGACAAACAACATCTCATAGATGGATTCAGAACCGGATTCTGTGCCGAAAACCTACTGCTATATGCTCCACAAGCTCAGTAAGCAGGACTTCTACTTCTGCCAATGGGTGAAAATCACAAGTTTGCCCCAGTGGCTCTCGGAGTAACAGCACTTCTCAAGCCGATGTGTAGCTCTTCTAACAACATAGCTCAAGTTGCTGCCAGCGTCCTCACCGGAAAAGGCAAACATGGATTCGATGACGAGCATCGTGGCCAGATGATGACTGTGACATGTCTAGCTTCTCTTTACCTGCTTTTTCAACCTTTTTATTACATTTTTCTCAGCCCCTCTGCTTTGTGCTGGAAAAGAATTGGCCGCTGCAGTGAGTAAAGCCCTTGGTACAGAGCTTGAGTTTGAAAACATTTCTGAGTTAGCCCCTTTTCTTTCTGAACTTTCGAAACATGCTAGCGACATTGCTACATAGAACGGAAGCCAAAAGGTCATCAAAACTTAAACAGATATCGATCCCTCAGAGTAGCAGGATCTCATCGAGTACTAAAGCTTGGTTCGGGAGGGTAAGACGAACTGCATCTCTACAAACGCTTTCCACGATGTTACCGGTGTGCATCCCACCGAGCTAGATTCATTTTCGAGTTATACCCCGATGAGATGCACCTTAGGAAGAAAGTGAAAAGAAATTCTCACTGAGTTGACCTAGAAATGGCATGATTATTATAGGAGCATCTGGTTTGTGCTCAATCTTGTGCAGTATCGAAGCGTATCGTCCGAAGAGATCTTCTGCTTAAAGTCGGCCAGCCTTAGAGAATCGAATCATAAGCCCGTTTGATTATTTATGGCAACATCTACTTGAATCATATGTGAATTTAGAACCGCAGAGCCAAAACTAAAAAAATCAGTTAACACAACATATATTAACAATCAGGATCCCATTTTCGAGCCAATATTGAATGGGCCACCTTTCTCCCGCTTCCTGGCTATTTTGACAGAATCAAAAGCATACGGTTTTAAGTTCCCAAGACATGGAAAAATTTAACAAAGTATACTTGTCTCGATTAGCTATCAAGGAGTCCCTAGTAAAGACGCCATGGGGTCCCGACGACTTTTTTCTTCAAGGGCTCACACGACCGTTCCACTCCAGATAAACATAAAAATCTGGCGGTGGTTCCGGCATGATTCAGTTCCCAAAATCAACGGTATGGACAACATGTCGACTAGAGTTACTCTGACTTTCTCTAGTGAAGGTGGGTGGGTATTCTCCGCTAGACATCCTGCATCCCACAGTCAGTCATGTTCTAGGGGCACTGACACATGTCGGTCCTTAAATCGGCAAGAAAAAAATGGAGATCATAGAACAAGCAGAGTCGAATAGCAGAAAATCTTGGTTACGCAATTATGGCGAAGTGCCAAGCCATAACTATGGCAGCAAGCAGTTGGTTTGGCAACGGAATTACAGTGCGCCGTTCTAGCGACTTGCAGACCTCGGTAGTTGCAGGCGGGGTTAAAAACATTCTCCGCAACACCGCCATTTTAACGAAGAGTTCCGCAGTCGAGTATTTTGTTGTTCTGTAGATGTTCGAAGAGTCCTTGACTTCGAAAATAGTCTTTCATTATGGCGCAGTATGATACCAGGAAAGTTACCCAGCTGGGTGAGACAGAGTTCGTTACACACACCATAAGCCCAGAGTTATAGGAGCTAATCATATCATCCTCAGCCTACGATTTGCCGAGGTATGTTGATATTTGACTGTATTCATTGTTTTCGACACTCAGGCTAAGAACAAAGCAGTTTATGAGGCAAGGCAAGGACGACGTGATTAATCTAATGCATGGGGTCCACTGCAGTATGGTTAATCATGCTGAAGCCGCTTGTCAGTCACTTCCAGGTACTGCCAACTCCGAGTACGAGTTCGACATCAAGATACCTATGAGAGACGGCTTCAAAAATCAGGCAAGAGTCTTCAAGCCGCACTCTCCTATTCCTGGAAGGGCTACAGTAATTCTCATCCACGGAGGGGGATTTGCCATCGGCCATCCCACGCATGTTGGCCATTACGCTAGGGCTATCACGAAGCTCTTTGGTACAACAGTCTTCAGCCTTGCTTACAGGCTTACATCTCTCTGCAAGTTTCCGACCCCGTCAAACGATACATGGGACGCGTTAGAGTGGATCTTTTCCTGCGACGACTCGAACCACGCAGTGATGGGCGACTATAACAAAGCGACTTTCATCCTGGGCGGCGTCTCTGCCGGTGGCAATCTGGCTGCCGTTACGGCTCAAAAATGGGTCTCCGAGAAGAAGAAACCTACCCTCAAAGGGGTCTGGCTAGGTGTCCCGTGGATCATGGAGCGTGAAACCGTACCCAACAAGTACTCTGATTTATGGATCTCTCGCGAACAAAATGACCAATCATTCGTCATCAACTCGTCGACAATCTCGTCTCTTCTAGACTCTTACCAGCCCGATGTCCACTCACCCGATTTCTCTCCCTTCAACAACGCGAGTCCTCACCAAGGCCTCCCTCCTGTCTATTTTCAAGTCTGCGGACAGGATCCTCTGCGCGACGACGGCCTGATTTACGAAAAGGTCTTAAGGGAACACAATGTCTCGACCAAGATTGACGTCTACCCAGGAGTCCCACACGGATTCGCCGACTTGTTTCCCGGTTTCAGCCTGAGCGTGGGGTATTTGAGGGATTCTATGAGAGGCTTTGGATGGTTACATGGCGTTGAAGTCTCTGATGTGGAGATTGCGAAAGTAAATGATCTGGCAGTTTGAGCATCAGCTAGACAGATCTATCGATGTAGTGTTTGTTTACAGGCCAATAAAGATCGTTCAGCTACCGCAAAATATTATTCAGGGCACCACATCTTCAAGTAGGTGGCTGAACGGAAGGTGATTCGGAGGGACTCGTTTGCCCAGGTCATGACTATTCCAAATGCAAGCAACCACCTGATGATTCATTCTAACAAGTTGGCAATATCAGTCTTTCAAACTAAGGCGCGTGTGTATGGGACTGCTTATTCAGGAGTCTTGGGTGGTTGGTCCATGATTTTGAGTGACCAGGCATTTAGACGAAAATTAGTGATTGAAAGCCCACTTAAGCACGTCTCCTCGTCGTCGGGTATTGCGTGTTTCTCTTCTTAGGCCGCAGCAGAACGCCATCGTAGTCGAAAGCCAAAAGTTTGTCTTCTGACAAATGAGCTTGGTTATAAATAAACAAGACGGGCATTCTTACTCTTTACGCGGATGCATGAACAGAGATTGTGTGGCATCGGTATGTGTTTGCATGTTTTGTCGAATACAGAATGACACCAGGGGCTGCCTGTAGGCAATACCTTGTCCTGGCCAAGAGATGATCACGCCAAGCTCAAGGCGCAGTTGGTTCGTTGAACCCGTATGACTTCCAACCGGATTCCCCTTGTTCCTGGAAGACCCACTGCAATCGAAAATTGGATGGCTAAACTCGTTCCAGCGAGTGGTTGATTCTGTGCATGTCCTAGGCTTCTCTGCTGACTACCCAGCCGCCTCAGATACGCGCCTAGCGCCATTTTTTAGTAGCAGAGAGCGGCCGACGATCTGCATTCCTAGCAAGCATGTCGTCGCACTGGTCGTGTTTCGCGTATTCCTCGTCTAAGCCAACAGCGCTAGCTTCGGCTTGAAGATCGGGGATATTCAAGTCTGGTTCATCCTCTAGTATAAGCCAACAGCGTGCTTTTGACGACATTTCAGAAAATATAAATTGATCTTGTAGTTCTTTGCTGCAGGTGACACCCGCATTATCACCATCTTGTGTTAAAGTCCTCATCAACAATATGCATAAACTTTTACTCTTGGCTTTGTTTCGCCTTGTACATACGGGTCTCGACTGCCGGCCCGAAGGCCCGGTCGTACCTCGTCCTCTCAACCTAACCTACTCCAACACTTTCCAAGCCGCGACGACTTCATTAGAAAACAAGCTACAACAAGCCTTATCGGGCGAAATCACTGCTGGCTGGGTAGTCGAAAACACTTCTTTTTCACTGGCCGTTGTGTCTATCGATCAGGCGTCTCCCGCGTCGCCTTTATGGGAGTATCACCATCTGGCCAGCAACAACGTCAAAGGAACAAAAACCTTGACTAGGGACTCTCAGTACCTCATAGGCTCGGTTTCCAAAGTCTTTTCTGTGCTTATCCTTCTCAAAAGCGGGATCCATCTTGATTCTCCCGTCACCGACTTGATTCCGGAACTCAATGATGCGTCTTCTTCTTTTCCGTGGGCCAATATTTCACTTCGCGCACTTGGCTCCCATCTTTCAGGGGCTCCGTCAAATTGTCAGTTCACAGAGCTACTGGTATATTTGCAAAACGTGTGCTGATAGGTTCCATAGATGGATTCTCTGAGTATTACTATCTGAAGGAGTATTTTGAATTACTTGGCTTTCCGGCTCTCAACGATAGTGCCTTTGGCTCTTGTGGTATATCTGGGCTGAACGAGGCTTGCACAAGAGCCCAGCTACTCGAGGGTATGGTCCGTTCATATCGTATTGTAGCAGCTATGGAGCGCCCGGCCTACTCGAACATTGCCTTTGCCATCTTCATCATGGCTGTTGAGCAAGCTTCAGACATGGACTTCTCGCAGCTTCTAAAGGCTCTTATTGCCGAGCCTCTAGGTCTTTCAAATACCCTACTCAGCCCTGGAGATTCATCTAAAGCGGTGATCCCACCAGTACAAAACAGCTGGGGTAGTGGCTATGGACTTAATGCGCCGTAAGTTCCCATCAAACCAGCAATTATTGGCTACTGACACTTGTGTAGAGGTGGTGGTCTCGTGTCGTCGCTATCGGACCTCTCGATTCTCGCACACGGCATTCTTTCCAGAACAATCCTTTCGCCAGCCAAGACGCGGCAATGGCTCAAGCCACACACGTTCGTCGGATCTGCATACTCATTCGTAGGGCTCCCTTGGGAGATCTTCCGCCCACCAAACCTCATTCCGGAGCACCCACACTCCGTGACCGTATACGCCAAGTCCGGTGGTGCATACGGGTATCGGAGTCAGCTAGCCGTTATCGACGAGTACGGGATCGCCATTGTCCTTCTCACTGCGGGTGATATGACTGCAGTCCCATACATCTATGGTTCTATGCTTGCGACGTTATTACCAGCTGTCGATACTATTGCGAGAGATCAAGCTGCTGAGCTCACCGGTACTTTCGTCAACAACCCCTCCTACAGTAACGACAGTTGCATCAACGTAACAATCGTCCAAGATAAGGACTCGCTTCTTTTCTCGTCTTTGTACCGCGATGGAATGGACATTCTTACTGCACTGATGGAAATTTGGACGGTAACGGTTGGCTCTCAACTCACTCCTATCGACTCACAATTTAGAATATTCCCGACAGAAGATATCACTAGAACAACTCTAGACAAGAGGGATGTGACGAGAGAAGCATGGCGGATCTGGTTTGTACCCATATACGGCAATGCATCTGATCTTCCGGGCAGTGGGCTTGGTTCAAAGGACTGCATGTCATGGACCCTCAACGACTGGATCTATTACGGCTCCGAGCCTGTGGACCGGCTCACGTTCGTACGTGATGCTGTGACTAAGGAAATGCTGGGTGTTGAATTTCCTTTCATCCGATCTGGTCTTTTAGGTAAATTTATGTACCAAGGTCCCGGCGATTACACTGGTTGTCGTTGATATTTCCAGTCGGCTAAGCAGCCAGTCTAGTGACAACACCCGGAATAAGCATTACCTCATTTCTCACAACACCTAAGCAAATCTCAGCCAAATTGTGGAGTTTTCATTTTGAACATTGATAGTTGAGTTTCAAGTACCTAAGGCACCAGAGCGATAGTGAATTTTCATTGTATTCTGCCCTACACTATGCAGTGCAGACAGGGCTCAAGACTTTACGAGCATAAATAGTTCTCCCTCGGCAGTATTGTCACTGGCAACGAACATTCTTGAATAGGAACGGTCCCAAGTAATGCCCGAAGGCCTAAAACACGTCGAACCCGTGCAGCTGCCAACATTGGTGCTCCAGAAAATGTCAGTGTAGCCAGTCTTGGAGTCCGCCGCCGCGACGGGGTCATAGTTTCCGTTCGCGAGCTTCGTAAAAGGGACGACTGAAACCTTGAATCCCGTCGCGGGTGCCCTGTTCCAGGATCCGTGAAGAGTCATGTACAAGTTCTGAAAGGTGCTGTCGAAGACGGCGCCGATCGGGGCGCTGTGCGCCTGGATCGACAGTCTCGGAGGGACAGAGCGCTGTGTGCAAGTGTCGTCGTTGAAGGTGCTGTTGGGTGCGACGACAAACTGCTGGCCGACCTTGAAGCTTTTGTCGGTGATGACGGATGGTTCCCAGACAGAGAAGCAAGTCGGGTATCCGTACCACTGCTCGTTTGCCTTGGAAGGGTCGCCGACTAGACATTAAGTTAGTATCGCATCAACTATTGACCAAGAATACAAAGCTGCTTACGCAAGTTGAGCTCCTCTGCCGGATTGTCGTTGTGGATATCGTAGCTTTGACCGTTGACTGTGCGGGCGAAGTCGTCGCCGCTGTTTTCCACACCCCAGATCCTACACGATTCATTAGCATCGAAATTAAAACTCGTTTACATTTGAAACGTACGCATTATTTCCGTCAGCCGCAAGAGCAACTTCGTTACGCAGACCGTAGCCCAGAAGCCACCCCTGAGAGGCGTAGGCATAGCCACCGGACGGGATGCTTCGCATGTCAAATACCTTAACCACAGCACGCGCCACGGCCTTGTTGAGCGAGTCATAGTCAAAGTTGCTGTACGAACCCTGCTGAATGACGAGGAGATGCGGCGTCGCGGGCGGGATCAGTAGGGCGCGCGTCGGGTGGCCTCCCTGCTGCATGTTCTTGACGACGACGGTCTGGCCGCTCACGGCCTGCGCCTTCGCGTCGTATGCGTACGACCACGCGGTAGTCATGGAGCTGACGTACAAAGTCTTGCCGTCTGGGGTCAAGCCGATGCCATGGTTGAGTGAGGGGTTGCTAATCAGGGTTTTCGTAGATGAGATGCAGCCGTTGGACCCAAAGGTGTGAACCGTGACACCCTTGCCCGACTGCACGACGAGCAGGTTGCCTTCCGAGTCGACCGCCACACCTCGGGGGCCGGTGAGTGAGCCGGCCAGCTTAACGGCTTTCCAGCCACTGGCGATCTGGTATCCGAACCTGAAGGGGCCTACGCCGGAGCACGAAGAAGGAACGGGGAGCACGGGGGCGCTGGATGCGACAGCGGATGATGTTACAGTGGAACGCGAAGCTGAGGCAGTGACAGTGCTGCTGTCGCCTGGAGGGAATCCTGTGCTAGTGACTGTGGTTTGCAAGGTGGTGGTACTACGAAACGTCGATGTCGAGAAGGTCGTCAACAGTGTAGTCTGGGTTACCGTGCTAACCGGTGGCTCCTCCTCGCCGCCGTCGCCCCGAGCCCACAATTCGAAGTCGGCTGCTTTTGCGATCTCGAAGTTGTGCATCCAGTGTCCCACACGCTCGTGGATGCCAAAGGTCGTTTCATTGGAGGCGCGGTCATCGACGGGCACACTGGAGTAGGCGAAAGCCAGGTAGTTCTCCGAATTAGGGTCCAGGGATGTCGGCTCGTTGCCAAATGGCGCCCAGTACGTGCAGCCTTTGCAAAGAGCCGTCACCGAGTAGTGAGTCGCGTTAACGACTGTGCCCGGGAGAACGGTGTACTCAGCGTCGGCGTAAGGTGGAGGGGTGAAGTAGCCGCTGCTCATGGTCAATCCTGACAACCCCGGCATGACGGATCGAGGTACTCACAAGGCCATCCGAGAAGAAACAACCACATCCTCGCCATTCGCCCAAGCAATTGTCAGGGGTTATATGTCATGGCCCCTCCCCAGGCCAACCCAGCCCAACCAACCTCTATGGGAGCAGTGATCTGGAAAATGGCATCATACGGTTGGCCCGAAGTAGCACCCTCGGGAATGGCGATTCCAAAGGTAATGCCACCGTCACTGGTAAATGAGGCGAAGCAGCGCTTTAAGCTGTCGCAATACGTTCGCTGCTCTTGAGCAGTAGCTAGAGATGTGTCAGGTAGGGCTTGATAGTTGTAAGCATTCAATCTTACCAGAACTGATGAGCGCCGTAGCACTGAGGACATACATTAGCCAGCGCATGATGATGGTTAGGTCATTGGCTCAAAGAACAGATATGCTGCTTTCACGTTCACTGCGAGCCGTGGAACATTCACCGAGGGCGGCGTGTCTTTTTAGACAATTCATGCTGACAGCCGTCTCTGTATAATGTAAAGCAGGTTATCGGTTAATTACTGCAAAGGACAGTAGCCTCCGCCATGACGAAAGGGGACGTGGTGGAGTATGAAAATGGCAGGTAACCATGAAGCAAGGCAGGCGGATGCGATAGCACACGCGAAATATTGTCGTTCTCGGCAAGTGTTCTTGGCGATACTGAGCAACAAGCAGAGGATATGGAGGCAGCTCCGGGCGAAATAACACTGCCGCGAGGCACTCGACGAGAGTGAAGGGGGCATGACAATATGTCGATCCAGGCGCCAGAGGTCGCCAAGGCGGAAGATTGTGTCTGGCAAATTGCTTGTGCGACCCTTGCAGGACCGGAAACATAGGTGCAAGCGTTCATGGCTGTTTAGCGCAATGTAATACCTATAACAGAAACGCCGTTGACTTTGACGATCAACGCCATCGTGGGCGATCACTTGAGAGGCCTTGGTGACGGAGGCGAGTCGGATGTAAGCAGAGCTTCGGCATGAGGTAGCCTGCATCTACCTGCGCAAGTTCACTTCTCAAAAAGGCCCGGGACTACCCAAAGCAGTCTCCACGAGATTGAAATAGAAATACCAAAACAGTTGAAGCGATAGCTGAAGACCAATTACAGGGAGAGCGTACCAAGACAAAGGCTTGATTGGGAGGCTAAATAGGCAGGTGAAGCAAGCCTTGGAACTGGTACAAGCTCCGGTGACGCACAACCGCGGAATGACTTCCAGAACGGCGGATCACGCTGCCGGAAGGGGGATAGTGGGCGGGCCAAGCCAGTCAATTTGGGAGGACAGTGACTGATGGATAGCCAGAGTGAAATTTGGTATGGAACCTCGGAGGATTACAAATGAATGGAATATGGAATCAGCCAACTGACAGGGAGCTGCAAGGTAGCATTTACGCGATGAGCCGAACACATGATCAAAAGTTTAGGCTATTTCGTCGACCAATGTGGTAAACTAAATTAATAGAGCTGGACGCATGGGAGCAATATGGAAATGGCATCGATGTGAATGCACACGAGCTGGAGAAGCACTGCTTCGAGGCAGACGTTTTGCCTATTGGTGATGGAGGTGCCGGCCCAGAGAGTCTAGCCTGGTCGTATGGTTTGCTTGATGCCATAGTTCAGGGCCCAGGCGCGTCCGCTCAGTTGAGTGTGTAGTACAGACAAGCAAGGTGAAAAGCGTCAGTGGCGGCGTCGTCTAGCATCATGCTTCCAAGTTGTATTTTGGGAAGAAAGGAAATAGGCGGTGATGATGCGAGCCTGTTGCGAGGCGTTACTGGAGAAACGGAGATGGTAGTGATCGATGGAAAGGCTGTTGATGACTGGGAACGGCCGACGGGGAACACGAGTGAGGGTAGGTTATCGATAACGTGCGTACAAGAGCTGATCAAGAAGTCACTTACATAAGCGGATCGTCAAGAATGAAGCCCAGAAGGATAAACGATCCAGGTTATAGAGCAACTGAGAACATGTAAAATTATGAAACTTATGCTTCTACTAATGGAGATACGGAATACAATTTCATCTTTGTATCATTCAACGAATGGCTTTTCAAACATTGCAGTCCTTAAGCGGATGATTGCTAGATGTGCAACGATATTCTAACTGCAGTGGGGGCAGCCACCCACAGAACGACGGCAAACGCGTTGCTATCCGTTGGAAAGTTAGACCTTGGACCCTTCGCCAAAGAGGTCAAAGTCAAAAAGGCGGTCTGCTAAGTCCAGGGCCAGTTTTCAGAACATGAGAATAATCTTATGATCTAACTGATAGGACAGGATCTTCCATGGAAAGAGATCCACAGGTGTTTCTCGAGTTCTTTTCCTGGCTGGTGCCTTGAAACGCTGCAAGTCCACTCCTCTACTAAGCAATAAGTAAAATTAAAAAAATTTTAAGAATGGCTCATTTCATGTGGATAAAATGAAATGGTTTCACTGAGTCACAGAGGTATGCAGTCAGTATAATGGAAACGGTCTTAAGGAACATAGCAAACTTTCCATTGGTCTGAGTGATGTTGCAGACGCAATTGCGAACAAGAGCAATACTGCAAAGGCCCTAGAAACCATCCACGACACCCTCGAGACTTATTACAAGGTAGCTTACAAGTGGTTCGTGAAAAATGTCGTTAGCCAGGCGTTTAACTATACATTCCAAAGTCCCATTAGTTACATATCTATGCACCCTCACCTCCCTAATTGAAGAACCATAAACCTCTCTAGCTTTACGTACGCTAAGACGAGATCCATCCAGAGAGGAGTAGTGACTGTGAGAATGAATAAGACCCATGAGTAGCCAGCAAGCTGTTTTCTACGAGGAGACTGCACTAGCCGGATTCCATCATTGCAGACTTGAACCCCGTCTTCTGCCATGATTTCTATCGCCTGTAGAGCGAGGAACCCATGTACGTCGGTCATGTAACAGGCTAAGGTGTATGATCCCTGAGGCAAGGGTGATTCTGAAGGTTATTTCATACGAAATCCATCAAGCTGGCGGTCTATGCTCCGTGTTCCTACTCAAGTGCTGAACCTCATCTTATGCATATCAACATCAATAAATCAAATCTTTTAACAAATGGTTTGCTTTCCCCTAATTTTTCATGTAAAGCAAATTCATCTCTACTTTTCATCACCCATCTACAAACAAGCTCAAACCAAATAAACACGGCCACAACAACTGAGCTGCTTCAGTTGAATTTCCATGTTTGGATCATAACCTTCTTGCTTGTTGGGACCTTTACTTCAACACGAATCAAAAGTGTCCACAGAAAACGCTAAAATCAACTCCAAAACTTACCATGGGTTGGCGTCGAAAAGACGCAGTGGTTTAGCCTAATCGAGGCAGCAGCAAGAAGTTTCAAGTATGCTGCGCGAGTGAGTAAAGAAGGTTATCTAAAGGTAAATATGTTGTGATTCATCAATGAGTTGCAGAAGTCGTACTTGATGTGCGAATGCCAGAGATAAGCAGTTAACTAGTTTCTTTACGCAGTTTAGCAAGCAGGGAAAAGTCTGGGTATGCGTGGATCATATGGGCTCACTCGAGGTGATGATGTCGCCGGCTCACTTTGAGGACGCCCTCAAGATTGACAACGTGATTCTGGACGCCCACCGACACGACTCCATTCTCTCGGCGGAGCACTGCACTTTCAATGGTTCTGGTGGACGTTTGAACCTTGCCGCCCACGACAACCCGTTGAGTCGCGGTGTCTCGAGAAAGCTGGGGGTCGAGTCTGCAGCTTTATGCGATGAAACAGGCGAAGCGCTCAAAAAGCACTGGGGAGGAGATGGAAAGTGTCGGAGAATTGCGGGAGAAAAGCCTAAATGCCGCTTGCATTGACGTTTCCGGTCAAGTCACCAACCGAATGCTTGTCGGTCTGCCTTTGTGTCGGAACGAAGAATACTTGAGCCAAGCTAAGCGATGGGCTCAAATGCTACTGCAAACGTCATGGATTATTCGCATGCTCCCTGATTTTCTACAGCCGGTTCTGGGGCCTTTGCTGGCACTTCCCTCTATTCTTATGAAACGAAAAGCTCTGAATATGGTGGTCCCGATAACCGAAGAACGGTTGCTGAAGCGCAGGAAATTGGCCGAAGATCCGGACTTCGAATTCGACGAGCCGTTGGACTACATGAAGTTTCTCCTCGACAGCCCGGACGCTTTTGATCCTTCTTTGAAAACCAACCCTGTTCCTCTGGCCCGAGCCTACATCATGGTCAACGCCTCTGCATTCCACGCAACTGGTTTAACGCTGGCCAACCTTCTCCTCGACGTCTTCTCGGCCGATCTAAATGTCGCCGAAGAGCTCAGAGGAGAGGATGTTGCTGTCCAGGCCGAGCACGGCGCACGCCTCAGTTTCCCTGTGTTGGGTCGTCATCGTGACGAGTCCTTGTATCCAAATCCCGATCAGTACGATGCGTTCAAGTTTTCTAGAGTCCGACTGCAACAGCATGATAAGGTTGGGAATGAGATCAAAGTCAAGGCAGCGGTGACAACCGACGCGGAAAACCTTTCGTTGGGCCTTGGAAAAAGTGTTTGTCCCGGAAGATTCTTCGCCGTCGACTTGCTGAAGGGAATTGCGGCGCACATTCTGATACATTACGAGGTTCAGCATTTCAGTGAGCGACCAGCGAACATAGTCATCAGCTCACAGTGCAAAACCACCCCTAAAGGCGATGAGAAAAGTTAGAAGAAGGGAACTGTAGATATCACATAGATGGATGGTTGCTGTAATTGTGTGTACTCATGTGGCATGTAACTGTACTTTTCCATATAGTTAAGGCATCAAATCGTCTAGAAACCCCCTCTCATAGGAGAACCTACACTTCACTCAAATAAAGGTCGTTGAAGTAGTTTAATCTATTAAAAAGTGAAGAAGACTCATGACGTTCTAATAGCGAGCGCCCTGTAGCCTTTCGCTCAATAAGATAGTGGTGGTAACTACTCAGGTATACGATGTTTACGGCTAAACAAAAAACCAAGATTTATTCCTACAGTACAGCGCGGATATCTGCTGACGGAAAACTGGTAAAGACCCGTATATCAACCGGACCACCTTGACTGTCAGAGGTGCCAGAACAGGTCTTCGTCCTGACTCTGTCGGCGATACGTCTTGACCAGCTCGACATCAGGCAGAGAGCTTGATGGAGCCGAGTCGGTTTTTGCCAGCTCTGGAAAGCTTTATGGTGTGGAACAAGAATGTGTTCACATCCACCCAAGGATATCAGCACGAATGATCCGGCACCTACTGCCCAGATGCACCAGGTTTCTGATAAATCATTTCCAGACGAGCAGCCGCAACGCGCTAACTCACCTCTTCAAGCTCTACAATCTCGACTCATTCGGTCGCTTGTCTCAACTTGAGCGACTTGATCCAACTGCCATATTCAGTTGCTTTGCAGTCGTTAGATCTCCCATCCGTCTCTATAGCTCTCCTCTCGATTCCTGATCTTCTCTGTCAGGTCCCTTCTCGACAAGTATCAATGCAGTCGATCCATGTTAGCCGCCGGCAGGGATGGAGCACTCGATGGATGAGGAGGGACGTGGTATGATATTTTCGCGGGCATAGTGTGCATGTTTGAGTAAAGTCGTTATGCCGTTGTTATGGGAACCTTTAAGGCTCATGAGAAGAACGATGCCTCATATATAAACTCTGAAGAAAGCGCGACCACCTTTTAAACAAGTAGTGATCTACTTTGCAGCTGTGGGGATGGGTTCGCAACTTCGCCAGTATGTAAAAAGATCATTTCTTCCATCATTTTGATGAGAGCAAATCCGTTGTTGAAGCTTGTTGAAGACAAGTTCTCGAATAAGCGCTCAGAAATCACCAGACGAGGAGGTAGGGAGGGAGATCGAATCAGACGAAGAATTGAGGCTTCCGTTCATGGCCGGGTTGATGCACTCTCCCTTCGCCTCAACGTCAGAAGTTTTCAACGGTATAACGGTATCAATTGATTCGCTATCAAGACAACATACCACAGGTGCCTGGGTTCTCAATAAACCACCGCTCTACGGAAGTATCAGCAGGCTAAGCCCGCCGTCAAACGCGTGGGGCGACTCATCCTCCCGATGATAGGGTTTCAACAGACCTCATTCACCCACACGGAAAGGGGCCGTATGGACTAATCCCTCAGGCCCGGCCGGGCCGGGCCGATGAGGCCGCCGCAAAGGAGGCCTGCTTGACGCCGACGCAGCGGGTTGTGACCACCCTTGTGGACCTGGTTTGGCCAGCAACTTACTACATCTTCCTTGATAACCTCTTCTCCCACGTCTGGCTGTTCCGGGCCCTTCAGAAGCTTGGCGTTGGGATCAGCTCCTGCCGGAAAAACAGCGGACTAGACTGGGCCCTTATTGGAGGTTGATGTTCAACTGACTATTGGGGGGATACTTAGTGACCAAATCCCACTTTTCCTCCAGGACGAATTTCCCAGAGACACAAATACCCAATAGTATCAAGAATATCCTATCAATTGGCGTAGCGCAGGTGCAGGCGCAGACAGGTGTTTTCTCTCTTTGTCTGGAACGTAGTGTTACGTTTCCCCCCAGAACATCTCCGCATCGGGAGTTCAACGGCGTCTTTTTCGTCGCACCCCAAGCTCTCGGTCTCCAGTCACCACCACCGCCGCCACGACGAGTATCGCGCCCACCGGCGACTGCTCACCGACATGGCTCCAAGAGTCGCCGGGCCTAGTAAGTTCCAGGCCACGAACATACAGGGAGCTCCGCCACGGAAGTCTAGCACTCGGCCCGATCGAGTCATGGCTCCATCCGCGACCCCATCCCCGCAATGTATGCGATCTCAAACTGTCGGATAGCATGCTCGTCTATCCACCCAGGTAGAATGCCGTGGACATAGACGCCAGATGAGATGCAAGTCGACGGAATCAAACGCCATTCAAAACCAGGCGGCAAACAAACCAGCCTCAAGTAGACATGGCAAGCGAGCGCGCCCCTTAGCCTCGGAACTGAAGGTCAACACCACGGTTTTGAAAGTTTGAACCACCACCTCGGGTTTCTCCCCCCTCACCATCTCGGTCCTGGCCGGAGCTACTGAGACCAGCGCCAGTCCGATTCCAGCGAAACCCCCCCAAAGGAGAAAAGGATAACCCCCACCTTTCCGGCGGGGCAAATCGCGCTCGGGGATTCGGACACGCGGGGGACCCTGACTATCAATCATTGACGTGCTCGACTCGATGCTGTGATTGCGGTTCTGCGCCCTTGCACCTGGCTTTTCTTCTTTGCGAGGTTTCCCACGACGGCGCGGCTCTCTGATCGTCATTTTCCGCTCAGCAGCACTAGACAGAAACCACGGAGCTTCGTCCGTCTGTCCCAAGTCTAGACCCGCCGATCAGAAGAGAGGAAAAGAAAGAAAAAAAGGACCGCGAAAAACCACAGACGCAAAAAACACACAATGGCTGCCCCGCGCACCGCCGCTCCCCGGCCGCTCTCAGCCGTCCTGCCGCCGCTGGTCCTCGGCACGGCCACCTTCAACTACCAATACGTCTCGGACCCCGACCGCATGCCCGCGGTCGACATCGTCTCCCGCGCCCTCGAGCTCGGCGTCAACGCCTTCGACACCTCCCCCTACTACGGCCCCTCTGAGTCCATCCTCGGCTCCGCCTTGCGCGCCCTCGCCCCGCCCCGCGAGTCCTACTTCCTCGTCACAAAGGCCGGCCGCATCGCGCCGACCGAGTTCGACTACTCCCCGACCTGGATCCGCGCCTCCGTCCGCCGCAGCCTCGAGCGCCTCAACACCTCCTACCTCGACCTTGTCTACACCCACGACGCCGAGTTCGTCTCCCCCGATGAAGTCGTCGCCGCCGTCCGCGAGCTGCGCCGCCTCCGCGACGAGGAGGGGCTCGTCCGCTACGTCGGCATCTGCGGCTACCCCGTGCCCGTCCTCTGCGAGCTCGCCGAGAAGATCCTCCGCGAAACGGGCGAGCCAGTTGATGCCGTCCAGTCTTTTTCGCACTTTTGCGTACAAAACAATACCCTCGGCAGCGACGCCGTCCTGTCGCGACTGCGGGGCGCTGGCGTCGGCGTTGTCACCAACGCCAGCATGCTGAGCATGGGCCTCCTGACGACCCGCGGCGTCGACGACGGGCCCATGGCGAGCTGGCACCCGGCCCCGAGCCCCCTGCGCAAGCTGTGCAAGAGCCTCGTCAGCATCGCCGAGGGCGCCGGTGAGAAGATGGAGGAGGTCGCGCTCTACTGGGCCATGGCGAACTGGGCGCGCGTCGGCGGCGCCTTTGGCAGCGAGGTGCTGTCGCCCGCTTACAGCGGCCCCGCCAAGGTCGGCGTAAGCGTCATGGGCGTCACGGCCGTCCCCGAACTCGAGGAGACGGTCGCCGCCTGGCAGAGCATGCTGCGCGAGCTCGCGGCCGAGGGCAACAACAGCAAGACGCAGGCCGACGCCTCCATCGTCAGTCGACACAACAAGATCCAGCGCCTCGTGACGGAACAGATGTGGCCGGCTTTGGGGCAGTGGCGCAACTACAGCTGGGCCAGTCCTGGCGAGGATTTCGTAAACCAGCGTGCGCAGACCTCTGCCGCCGCCGCTGATGCTGCTCCGGCCAACCTTGCTGCCGAGCCCCATTTGTAGATGATTACGCAGGGACTGTCTGGGTGGACTTTTGTGGACAGGAGCACAGGGGGACTTGGGAATATCATCACTTGGGAACTGCCATCTTCAGCGTTGACTTGAATACATAGAATTCTCGAGCCGGGACTGTTGTCATCTCGGCTTCTTGTCTCACGTACTTGGGGGTAGAATACAATGAGCCAGCCATTCACATGGCCAAAAAAAAAATAAAAAAATCCACGTCGAATCCACTCTGCCCTCCCAAATGCCACGCTAAACGCCCCGAGTGTCCTCGAGTTCTCAACCCAGAGTGTATGCAAAAGTCTTCCCAAGCTCTCATGCCGAAAATTGCTGCAACTAGCTTCGGCTCCATCGTAGTTCTCCATAATGTCATTATCCGCTCACTGTGTAATCTCGGAGGACCTCTCCACCACATTCTCGTGACCGAGCCTCTTGGTCTCGGCATCTTCTTCTGTGATAGGCGCTGGGGTCTCCGGGGTGATGGTGACCTCCGGAGTCAGTGCCCCGCTGCCCGGAGACAGGTCGTCCTTGCTGCTGCTGCCGTCGACAGGTTCATCGGGGATGGTAGATGGCGGCTGCAAAGTACCGATGCTGGTCTGCACGGGCGGCTCGACGTGGACATCCTCCATGTGTTCGGCTTCGGGCTCGTCCTCAACTTCGTCCTTCTTCCTGGTAGTGGCCCTCTGGCCTTCACCTGACAATCCTTCCTGATCATGATTGGCCTCGCCGTTCTCAATATCAACGCCTACCATCTCTGCGAGACTCCGGAAGTTGAACATGGGCTCCGTGTTGTCACGGTCACCCTCTTCGCTTCGGTTGCCAACGCTCAGCTCGCTTGCCCGGGGATCGAGGTATGCCTGGTTGGTGTAGCTTCCAGCAGCACTATCGGCCAGCGAGGACGAAATAGATGAGGCATTGCTCATCTGTCTGAGATGAGAAGGGCCGCGACCGGTCGTCGGGATGGGTAACGATGGAGTTGACGAGGTGGTCTGGAAGCTGCTCTCAGACGATTGCGTCTCAACAGCTGGGCGCTCGACAGCTTTACCCTTGGAGCTCGGTGCCGAGGTCGGAGCTGGAACAGGTGCCGAGGTGGGCGCCGGGTTGCTCGTTGGTACGATCGGTGATGTCTCGGCGCTGGCGCCGGCAGAACTCGACTGTGCTCCCTGAAGAGTTGCTTCCACACGCAGGTTACTGGTAGTACTGTTTCCCCGGCGTCGTCCAAGACCAAGGGAGAGACTGCTTCCGCTAGCAGAGCTTTGCCCAGGCCCGTAGACGCTTTGACGATCCTGCTTCTTGACAGCTTTGCGCTCCTCCTTCTCCCTCTTCTTGGCCTCCTTGCGCTCCACCTTCTCCTGCTTGCGCTTCCGCTCTTCTTCGGCCGCAAGGGAGAGACGGACGGCTTCCATAAACATCATGTCCTCCAGTTCCTCCATTCTGCTTCTCCTGTTGTTGACAGCTCCACGCCCCGAGGAACTCCGTGGCCCAGGTTCGGGCCCAGCATGGACAGCTTCGCTTTCAGGATGACGGCTCGGGCTCTCCTCTGTTGGATTAGTGGAGGGCCCAGAAGGAGTACGGCTGCCGGTGTTCCTACGGCTAAAACGCCCAGGCCTCGTGAAGGCGAAACCGCGTTGTTGCTCGTTGTTGCCCATGAGGAATGCGGCAGTGTGCAAGGCAGTTGCCGCTGCAGCTCTTCGGGCTTGGTGTGCTCTCTGTGCCGCAAGTTTCGTTGACCAGTCCGGGCGTACTCGGTCCGTGGTAATAACGTTTGGAGCATTGGCCGACAAACTGTGAGCACGCCGTCTGCTTGAAGTGGGTGAGGTGGGGGACAGGGTCGAGTTCAGGGAGCTCTGCGACGACATCGCCGTGTTTTGCGACGGGTATCCAATGGCGTACGAGAGACCACGGCGGAATGGGGGAGCATCGTAAGTCACGCCAAACTCCGTCTGTTGGCAGTAAGGGCACTGGGCGGGCTCGGAGATCAGCATCTCAGGAGCTTCTTCCGGGTTGGCGGGGTTCGGGGGCTGATCATTCGGTTCGCCGTGGTGTTCGGGATAGTGAGGATCGGCGCGCTTGATCTGAACGAAGCATTCACTGCAGATGGGCTGGTCACAACACCGAGTGCGGTTCAGGTAAGGCGGGTACGTCAGGAAGCAGATGGGGCATTCAGAAGCGTCCTTGTACAGGAATACCTCCAGGGGCTGTCCATTGACGTAGGGATCGTTGGGAAGCTTGATCTCGCGGGGAGCGACCTCGCCAGACGAGTTGCTGCGGGATCCTCCGCTCAGGGCAGCGGCCAGAGCTTTCGCTCGAGGCTTGAAAGGCGAGCTGCTACGCTGCTGCTGCTGAGCTGGGTTGGGCGATGAGATACCGGAGCCAGGCATGGAGCCACTGCGATCTGAGCCAACGGACAAAGACCTTGGGCCCATCGGGACGGTCAGGCTGGCAAGGTTCTGTGACGACTCAGTAGGAGAACCTGGCGAGTTCGCCTGCGGGATGAATTCGGGCGGGGGTTGCTCGTCGGCAGCGGGGATAGGAAGGCCGCGACCGGCGCAGATGAGCTGGTACTCGGTCCAGTTGTCAGAGTAGTCGTTAAGGCCTCTCCAGAACGGGGCAAGACGCCTCTCAATCTGTAAGGTAGCCGGTATTAGCATACATTTCGATGCATCAGACTCGTAACGCAACTTACCTGCAAGTGCCGGACGACGGGCTTGCTAAAGTCTTCGGGGCCAGTGTATGTTCCAAGCGTGACGAGGTAACCGCCATCGACATGTTCCTCCCTCATACTACGCTCACGCTCCTTCTCTCTGGCAACGCGTTCCCTCTCAAGTCGCCGGGCCTCTCTTTCTTGTCTCGTCTCTCTCCGCTCGTAAGGGGCGTCATCTCTGCTGGTGGCGCTGGAAGATCCGGCTGCTCCGAGACCGAGCAGGTTCAGGTCGGCTCTGCTAAATCGACTCTGCCTTCGTGAATTGGGGCGATCGCTCGGGGTTCCCCTTGAGGTCGAGGTGTTCAGGTAGGCAGCCTGACTCTGGCGATAGTCAGTCGCCGGGTCGACCGGACGAGACTCTTTGGTGCTTGAATTGCCCATATTGATTATCGATGCTATGAATTCGACGTCCCTGTTTCGGTTGCTTTGGGTTCGGGTGCTTGAGGTGTTTCAGTCGGCGTAATCGCAGGCAGCGGTTGGCGGGACACTTGGCATCAATGACAGTCGCAGGGGCACTAGTGAAGACTGGGAGCAACGATGGCAGAAGAATGCGGCGCGGTAGCGGACAATGGGGCCGGTCGGGCGAAGCGTCGCGTAGTTGTGCTGTGGGCGAAAACAACAAATGGCAATCGTGGTTACGTTGGGGAAAACCGCCGCGGTCAAGTTGTGGACGGAGTCGAGATGTGTCTATCAACAATGCATCCTTCAGACGAAATCGTCAAGGGCTGCGGGCATTGTCAAATGATGGTGGGCGGTGGGGGAAGCGATGGGGTTTTCGATCCTCGAGGCGGATGGGATATGCGATGGCCAGCGACTGTGATCTGGGAGTGGTAATAACCGTGATGAGACGGTTTTGGGGCTAATGCGCAGTGTGCAAGTTGACAGCCAGGGGTGGTAGTCAGCGGATGCTTTTGTTTTTCTGCGTGCCGCGTTCTGGATGATGGAACCGGTCGGGCTTGTCGGGGTCGGGGAAGCTTGTGACAACGTGGACGTCGTATGTGCGTGGCTGGGCGCTGAACGACCAAAGTCTGATGGTGTTGCTAACTTCTGGGCGTGGGGGAGGGAGATGGAGAACGGCCCAGGAAAAGGCACAGCTTCAAGAGGAGTGCGAAGAGAAAGAGAGAGGGCAGGACCGGCAGGACGGATAAGAAGAGGGGGCCAAGATGGCAAGGTAGCGACCGATCGGGGATAGTGACGAGAGGAGAGATGAGCCAGGTGATTGTTGTATGGACCCCAGTGTCTTGTCGTTGGAGGGACGAGCAACATATGCTTGTCAGAGTCGTCAGTTGGGGGGGGTTGAGGCGGAGGGCCGGGGTTGGGGGGATGGATGGGTTTATCGGTGCTGTGCCTCGCTCGCTGGTCCGTGGCGCAACAGGTACGTACGTACGGCAGGCACGGATGAAGTGGTATGGAGAGGCGAGGAGGGGTATGGTCAATAACAGACAACGGGGAAGACAGCGCTCGGTGATAGACAAGGGATGAGTCTGCGTTGCCAGTCACAGAGAGAGTCAGGGTAGCTGTCAAATTTGTCAATGACAGCGTCGCCAAGTCAATGTGACGTCTGACGTGGTTCTGCCAGAGACGGAGGGAGAAATCATGAGAATTGTGGAATAAGGTAGTGTAGCGCGCTGTAGGGGGGAATCAAGAAATCAAGGCAGGAAGGGTCCAAGAGGAATCCGGATCTGCCCAAGATGTCGCTAGAATTGGGGTGAGCGTGCGGCGGCGGCGACGGCGGCGGCGACCGCGGGAGGGGGGGGTTATGTTTGGGTTCGTACAGCAGTGAGATGAGGCCAAGCAAGGTCAGGGTACATTAAATCGAGCTCAAGACGGCGGAGGAGACGTGTACCTGCGCAAGGTACCATGGACAAAAGTACCTCAACTACCTTACCTTGCATCGTCTGTCTACTGGGAGTGTGTGTGTACCGGTATGGGCCTACTCCCGCTACGAGGTGTTCTGGCTCCGGCTTGGCCTCACCAGGTCGTGTGCGGGCTTTGGGCGTGCTTTTGAGGGTTTGCTGCAGGGCTGGCTCTGGTCAGTGTCAGGCCAGGTACAGGACTCGACTCGCTGGAGTTTAGGCACCTGAGCCGGTGGTGGAGAGGCAAGGTAGCGCAACAAGTGGGATCTAGGTGGATGCGGAAAGAATGGAGAGTTGGGCCGCCGGTGATGCCTGGAAAATCGGAGTCGGTGACCACCACACTACAGCACCTACGCAGCTGGGCAGGCACGCACCATGGCAAGGACAGTGATGGTGATGACAGTCTGGACCGAAATCGCTCGCTGGACCGGCCCGGCTTGTTCTTGGCTCGCGAGTAGAGCTCTGCTGCTCTGCTGGGAGGGAGAGTAAGTTGCATGTCGGATACCAAGCAGGAACCAGAGGTTGCTTGTGGGTTCTTGATTCCTTCCTTTCCCCCACGTGGTTGCCCTTAGTTAACACTTCCTGCCCTACTTTGTCGAGGAAATGGCGACGGAGAATCTCGACTGGCAGGCGAGGTGTCGATACTCGCTGCGACTTGCACAGACAGTCCAGAGAGGCAGGTACGAGTACGCTCGCCCAAGGTACTTACCTAGGTTGTTAGGTACCGCCGGCACAGAGAGGGGCGAGAGGCTGGCGTGGAAGGTGGGGCCAGCGCTGGCGGGATCCCCTCCTTTCCCCGACATCCCAAATGCACTCAAATGCACCTGTCTCCCACCGTGGGCGGAGGTATCGTTGCTTGCATATCCCCGCGCAGGGGTACATCGTCCCTCCGTCCATCCCACAGTGCCTGTCTCCTTTCGTCGAGCCCGACCTATGTACAGTAGGTGCCACTCGGCCATGACCCCCCCCTCACCATGGTCTGCGCTCACACTTGCTGCATCCATCTCATCTCATGTTGTACACTGCACGACGAGTCGGGATGCTTTTGATGCCCTCGACTGCCATTAATGCCTCGCGCCTACCACTGTCGAAGTCAGCCATACCAACAGCCTCAGGCATAACTCCCTCTCATCAGGATGGAGGTGAAGTCTGACTGAAGGTGAATGAGGCTCGCTATCCGAACCTTTCCTTGTTGAAAGAGCACACTGCTACAGTTCGAGGCCCTTCTTGCTCAGCACACCTGTCTTATGTAAGCCCGGCCGAAAAGTTCAGAGCCCAAAGAAATCCCCCTGCCTCCGGTCTTCCCGCAACCAGCTTCTCGCTTTGGGTGAATCTTGTTGCTACCGTAGTTATTGGTCAATAATATGAACAGACTGGAATTCTCAACATCATCTCTCCTTTCCCCCCCTCAGCCCCTATTCCGGCCCGCCCTCGCACAACACATCGTCTCCTTTCCCCTCTCTTTGCAATGCTCGATATACCATAATGCGCGTAGCAAAGCCTCCTGTCTCATCTAACCCGCCACGACCCTCGTGGGCCCCCTTGCCGTCCAATGCTCCCAAACGCAACGCTGCCAGAGCTCACGTCCTTCAGCCTTCATCCATGGTCTGCCCTCCGGCAGCTTCATGCGCACACCCACCTCGCAGGTTGCACACGTAGGTCCTGCGAGAGAGCTATGATACCTTCCAGGCTTGAGCGTATGCTGCGCCCAAGGTTCCAGATTCGAATCCACCGCCTTTCCACGTGTCAACCGCTACCGCTAAACAATGCACCTCAACAACCACCCATCAGCCCAACCTAGACCGGACCACCCAGAATTCAGGTCGACCACTTCGTCTCACTTGAGCGGTCACCGTCTGGTCCCAGTCTTGTTGTTATGCCGCCCGGGTTTACTTACTCGGTTGATCTTTGCTTTGTCTGGGCTGGAGCTAGTCTCCTTTCCAGCCTGGCCTACATCTACAAAATTCCATTTGGCATGTGCTGCTGTTCAGCAGATTCTCCGCCATACTGTATTCGAGTGCCTTTCTGTCCAAGACTAACAGTGCCCAAGGACTTTGTCAGTGCTTCAGGTACCGCCGATGGACCCCATCTCTCCTGTGGTGTGCCTCATGCGCACCAGCCATACACCCTCACCTATCTAGAGCCCTAGCCGTCTGTCCCCTTATCTCACTACCCAATGCTCTGACACTGTCGCGTGATGCTCTGAGACATCCATCACACTGCGTTGGCGGCGGTGAACACCTCAAAATGCCATTTACACCTCAATTTACACCACAATCTTCCGATCCATCAGTCAAAGGAAAAGAGAAGAAAAAGAAAAAGAAAACTTGGGAAACCTCAAGAGAGAAAATTTGCACGCTTCTTGGTGTTTTGTCTTGTTTCGTTTTACCCTTATAACGCCGGCGATTTTTGCTGCGTTCCAAGCCAGTCTTAGACGTGCGTTGCAGCACATAACAAAACTCATGGGCTTGCTGACTTGGGAATGAGAATTCTATTCTTCAAAGATAATCGCTGCACGAAACCGGCCAATTCCTCGGTTTCGCTTGTCTTTTATGCATATATGAAACCGTTTGCGCTGGCGCGACAGTGCTGTACAAATTCCATGCCGAGAATCCAACTTAGTAAATGCTATCAATATGCAACCTCTTTCGACGATCCTGGGAAGAGACGTCTTCCGAAACCACTGCAGCTCATTTGTCGCTCACCGCAAGGTAATCAAAGGACTGAAATCGAATTTGGATTTGCTTTAGGCTTTGGAAAAAAACACAAACGTGGGCAGCTGCTCTATGCCTATTAACTTCTTAAATATTGTCACCGAGTATATCCCTAGAGTCTGCAAATATCTTGTCTACGGCCCCCACAGGTTGCAGGTCCGACTATTCTTTAGTAGTGAACTTCCATCAGCGTCCAGGATGGTTCATGGAGATGGGGATTTGTTAAAAGTACAAAAGACGGTTCACGATAAGAAATTGTCATGGCCCATCGCACATGGCCCAAGCCTCTGAGTTCCGCATACAGCGTGCGGGAACTTCATCAAAAGGCCGATGGCAAGTGTTTCCCTCGACTGGGTGTAGGAGACATTACATCAGCAGGAGGCGCGGTGACGTTTTGCCCGACTGCCGACGAAGCCAGACCCACTTTGGTGAAGCAGCCAATAGAAGTCGACATTCGACCTAGGAGCTTGCCCAAGCCTCCGACAGAAAAGTTCAGAAAAGTCACGACCGATCACCCATCAGTCTGGGCAAGCTTGCACCAGCGCATTTTCTCCGATGGTTGGCGGCCGCAAGAACAAGTCCACAGGCCCTGCGCCTCCGTCGAAGACCCTTGTGCTCGACAATGGTGCATACACCATTAAGGCTGGCTTCGTCTCCGAAGAGCTCACCGAAGAGCCCCGAGTGATCCCCAATTGCATCGGCCGAGACCGAGCAAGGAAGGTCTACGTCGCATCCGACCTGGAAAAGTGCCGTGATTTTGGCGAGATTCAGTTTCGACGACCGGTGGAAAAAGGTTTCATCGTCAACTGGGAGGCTCAAAAGGAGATTTGGGATCACGAGTTCTTCGACGACAACGCGCCTCAGAAATGCGACCCCTCAGAGACGAGGCTGCTCCTCACAGAGCAGCCCAACTCGCTGCCCATCCTGCAATCCAACTGCGACCAGATTGTCTTTGAGGAGTACCAATTCGCAAGCTACTATCGCGGCATAGGTATGTCACCGCACCGCGCCCATAAGTCTGGACATCAACTGATTTGCTTTTGCTCCCTAGGCGCCTCTTTCAACGCGTATCACGACGTCCAAGGCATCCTTCAGACACCCCGAGACCCGAACACGGTACCTCAGCTCCCGGCCGAAGTTGTGCTGTTGATCGACTCTGGCTACTCCAACACGATCGTCATGCCACTCCTGAACGGCAGACCGCTGCACTCTGCTGTACGCAGGCTCGACGTCGGCGGAAAGCTCATGACGAACTACCTGACGCGTCTCCTGTCTCTCAGGTACTACGATATGCGCAACGATACCTACATTGTCAACGAAATCAAGGAACAGGCCAGCTACGTTTCTATGGACTTCAATGGGGACCTCGAAAAGACCTGGAAGGGCACTAGAGGCGAGAAGAGGGAGCCGTATGTCACTGGGGCCGGTATTGCAAAAGACTACGTGTTGCCCGATTTCCACACGCGTACCAAGGGTATTGTTCGAGACTACGACCCTGCGATGCATACAAAAGCGAGGAAGCTGGCCGCACGCACCGCAGATAATAACGAAGACATCTTGACGCTCCGAAACGAACGATTTTCCGTGCCCGAGTTGCTCTTTCAACCTTCTGACATTGGTCTTCGTCAGCCTGGTCTTGCCGATGTCATCATGCAATCCCTGTCTGAACTCCCCATCGGGCTCTGGCCCGGGTTGCTGGCCAACATTGTCGTTGTTGGCGGCAACGCCTTGTTTCCCGGCTTTATTCAGCGGCTGGAGAAGGAACTCGTCAAGCGAGTTCCTGATGCCTGCATTGTCCGGGTCGCGCATCCCGTCAATCCCATCACTAGTACTTGGGAGGGGGGCGCCAACTTGGCCAAACACCCCGACATCCACAGGTTCTCTGCCACGAAGCAGGAATACGAAGAGTACGGCGCCTCGTGGGTCGCCCGAAAGTTCGGCTCGGGGAACGCAGGTGATTGAATCATTACTACTCTATAGCCGAGCCGTCGAGATGTTGGCCACCGTCAAAAATTCTCGCGCAATTCGCCTGACCCTGGTATGCTTCCCATGCATTACGGCAATCTAAAGAAACCAAACAGCGCCGCCCACTCAATCACGACCTTTATGGATAAGCACATTCTTTGCAAACGTCCAATGAGGCCAACCCCTAAGAACAATTTGCCCGGGGTATTTGTACTGCGAGCCTTCGGAGACCTTGTTAGACTCACCTGAAGCTCTCCTGACGCTGGGAAAGACTGCCTGCAAAAGTGTCAGCGCCAGTCTTCCATTAGCGAATCAAGTCTCGGGCGTACAATAGGCTTGACCTACTTGGAACCGCTGGCTTCACAACGCTGAAGGCATTCAGCAGTGCCGATCGAGGCACCAGTGCCAACTGCCGGAATGTCGCGGCGAAGCTGCGCGAACTTGACCGACAGGGAGTCGCCGCCAAACGATGCGGCAACAACGCTTGGAGGGAGGCCAAACAGTCCATTGGCAACGTTGTGTGTGCCGGCGTCCTCTGAGCTCAGGGCCGATATCAGAGTAGCGTTCCCGCAGCCTGAGAAACTCCGGTCATCCTTGGTTCAGCGCATCAGAGCCAGGAGGCAACTTACCTATGTTTTGCATAATGTGCAGGCTGCTCTGGGGGAAGACAGTCATCATCCCTGGTTCCAGCTTCGTCTTGACGACAGGAGCGCCGTTTTCCAACGTCATGAATGTCTCGGTGGTCCCCGCAACCGACACGACGTAGTTGGAAGCACGAGCGTGGTAGTGTGGTGTCAGCATGGCGCAGGGGCCGAGGCTGATCCAAGCCATGGTCATGCCATTGCCCACGGTTGCTGGGAATGTGGCTGCATCGGCGTTTACGACTCCGCCGGGAGTATGAGTATGGAATCGATGGGCGAAGTAATTAAAGGTCCAGTTTTTATCATCAGGGAGTATTCCTAGCTTGCCGAGCTCCGCCGGGCTTGTTCTCAGTGATCTGACGAGGTCTGGATACTGCGTGTCATCCGTGGCATTGACCGTCACCGCATGTAAACACAGAAGCAATGGTGACAGGCCTTTTGGCGTCATGGAAAAAGCGATCATGTTGGACGAGGTGAACAAGGTTAAGGCGTCCTGAAGGTGTCCAACTTAATCTTGGGGTTTACCGCTTCTAGACCCCCTGTCCTCTGGCGGACCAGGACGAGGCTGCAATTTATCAGTCAATTTCTTGGACCCGAGCTCCGTTTCACCTCGTTCATCGTTGGGGCTACAGTCGGCCTCGTGATAGGGGGTTTGTCAAGTAAGAGCATGGCGAAAGGCGTTGCAGCCGGATACGGTGATGTGACTGCTGCTTGGACAACATCAAATCCAGAGACCGGAAGCGAACCATTAGACCTTCAATAGGGTCAGCTGGAATGCTTTGCGGGTTCTCTTTGTGACTGTCTTGTAAGTCCTGCTTTAGATAGCTTGGACCTTGCACTTTCCCGAGTTTACTAGTTTAATGGATTGTGCAGTTGGCGCTGTGTTAAGATATTGTTATCACAGGAGGACCTTACGAGCAGGAGACCTTGAGATGCAACCGAAACCCTCAGTTTGTGTAAGGTTGTGGTGCAACACGGCAGGATCCCGATCCATACACTGATGCATTGATGGGTACAATCGAAGATAGTTTTTGTCAAATCATCTAGTAGCAGGTAGCTCAACGGAGTCACACATCGTCCAGGGGTCGGTCTCCCTTGCAGGTATGTCAAGACTGTGCTGCAAACCTCCGCGAGTTGCATGCGTAGCATCCAGCCTACGTGTCAACCCTCCAGATGGACTTCGGCGAGAGCAATCTTTATGAGATTGTCCGAGTCAAGGGCGAGGATACCCTGAAGCAATGTCCGCCTAGCTAGAATGACATGGAATGTCGTGTAGCGCGTCAGGGAAGGCTCGTGAAGCAAGCGTCCATGGTGATTGTAATCCAACGGCTATCTGGAGACCTCAGAGACGGATATCGTGGGCTTTTGAGATGGATTTCTGCCCCGAGACCACCTCATGGGGTCACTCATCTGAGTAATCACTCCAACATGTCAGTCTGAGAAGGTGTTACGAGAGGGGCGGTATCGTCTGGCTGCAGTCATACGTAGGATCCAACCTAGTGGAGATGAGTTACGTTTGATAGAAGGCTCAGACCTTGTGAGGCCTGAGCCGGAGTTTCTTTTCCGAGGATACACCCACGAGTCGAGATTGAGGGCAGTCGACCACAGCTGGATAGCCCCCGGAAGTAACGCAAATCGTCTTGATAGGATCCCAATACTTGTGATTCGGGACAACAATGCGTATTGAGGTAAACCTTTGTGCTTGGAAACGATGGCCTTGTACCAGAGGGACAAAATCTCGCCTGTGGCTGGGCTAGGAGGAAAAGGAGCCTTGGGCGTCTCCAGAACCAGAGATGTCTGCCTTGCTGACGTGATATCGGATGCATGACTGTCGACAGCCGCTTTCTCACGATCCTCTAAGTGATCATGGAAGGATCGTGAGGAGAGGTTGCGCGATGTTCCCAATGAACAGCGAGGCAGTAAGACAGACGGGGCCAAGGTTTCCATGATCAGTTTGTCTTTCCACTAAGATCTAGACGGCAATTCGACCTCGTTGTATTCTTTCAAGCTGAGTCCAACTCAATCTATTCTAGGGACTAGTGGGACTAAGACACATTAGCAGCATGATGCTGTTGGCTGCAGACGACAAGACAACATCGAAAGTGGAGTTAAAAGCACAGTGGTTTTCGGAGGATGAATTGTGCGCTTAAGAAACACGTGCGACAGCGCAGTACCATGACTGGAGTTATAAGAGCCTCGGCCACTGGGCGTACATTTGCTGCGATGCATGCCACAAACGAAAGATCAGAATGAGAGGAGACTTGAGATGGTCTATTGCCACTACTTCTTGTGCAACTGAGGCTTCAAACGCTGTGCTTCAAGGGTATCTCAGAAACGACACAAACGACGGTTGGTGAGAACCCACGCGCTATATATATTCTGCGATAAACAATATCCAAGGTAGAACAAATAAAAATCAGAACCAAATCGGCTGCCCTCCAAGAGCAAGGGAGCTTTGTGCGCCCTGCCCCGTGCAAGTGGCTTGGCTGAAGTAGAGAAGTGTCGTGGGAAACCGCCTGCATCACCAAAGGAGGCAGGCCTCTCTAGAGAGGCCTTCTTGGACCCTTTGGAATGCTGTTGATAGGCTTAGAGCTGTTCGATAGCCAAGCAAAAGGCTGAGGTCGTCGTCATTGCTGGAGGAAATTCTCCTAAAGGTGTCGCAAGAAACGACCGCGGCTTGAGCACCCTATTAAAAGTCAGTGATCCACACACATGGCGCGAGGTCAGGAAGATCGGACAGTCACACTGCGAATAGAGTTAGCAAGGCCACAAGGTAGGATGGTGAGAGCTGGTGGGCAGTCTTACGAAAGTCGAGGTCGATCCCTCATTGTGAATCATGCAGTACCCGCCACAGCAGCCTCTGCAGAGCCGCTGGGTGCGCTCGATACAGTCCTGGCACTGTTTCCTAGCCGTCAGTTCTGGGCTTTAATCGGCACATGGATCCGGGTCAAGGCCTCAAACTCACATTGCTACCACACTCCCAGCAGCTTTTGGTGATGCGGGCCTATGTGGATCTTTATCAGCAACTTTGGTTTCCCGGTAGAGGCACGTATTTCACATGAACCAAGGCGAAAGGGGCTGTGGGAGAACGAGGAGCATGGACAGCATTGTGGCATACACTTTGGAACAGGCTGGGCCAGACGGCAAAGGACGTCCAACACTCAACCCAGCAACACCCTCTGTGTATCGATGACCTCGCCCATGGAGCAGTTCGGGAAGCAGGCGCCGTTTCGTACCTTGATCTTGGACTGGCTCTCGTGTTCCTGGTGCTGGACCCAGGCGCCGCCCTCGGCGTCGACGACGATCACGTCCGAGTCGGCCAGCTCGGTCACGGCGCCGGGCGCCTGGTAGCATTCCTCACACCACCACTTGTTGCAGCCGGCGCAGTAACGCTCTCGGAGGCAGTCGATGCACCGTGCAACGAAGGATGAGTTCGATCCCGGCCCGGAGTGCGGTGTAGTCGCGGCCTTGACTGACGAAGTCAAGAGTGGCGGAGGCGACAATAGCGGGCGATGGATCGCAGGCGTGCCGCTGTGGACCGACATGCCTTCCGGAGCAGCGCCGCACCCAGCGCAACCGCCCAACGCGACCGTGGCCACCGCCCAATGCCGGGCTGCGGGTGGAATTCTCGCCTTGCCGTACGCTGGTGAATTCATGTGGTGGGGACCGGTGCAAGCCAGACCATCGAAAGCAATGATGCCATGGCAATCTACCAGAGCGTTGGCCCATTCGTCCACCAAGGGGCGTGTGATGATGCGGCCCTTTTTCTGATACCACTCATCTCCCTCGGTGCGCAGGGAGGAGGTCAACGCCTGCTGCGACTTGGCGTTCCACCCTGCGCCGATCTGCGCTGCGTGTGAAGCTGCGCCAAATGAGACGCCCGACGCCGTCAGTGTAGTGTCTTTGGCACCAAAAACGTACAGGCCCTTGAGTCGAGGCATGCCCTCCGGCCGCGACGGTCTGCAGGCATACTGAAGGGAACCGCAGAGCTTGCGCTCGTTGAGATTCTTGACCCCGCGAATGGAGAGAAGACGTACGCTGTAGACCGAGTCGAGAATGATTTCGTGGCAAAGCTCGGCCGTCACGGACAGGCCGTCGAGGATCAGCGTTTGTACATCCTGCAGGATGTTTTGTCTACGAATGTTGGAGAAGATGCCCCTCAGCGGACCCGAGTAGAAGCTGTTGAGGTCATTGTGTCAGCCGACCGTTGCACCACCGCCCGTTGGATCCTCCGTGGTCTCCACCGCGCAACTTAGCTATCCGCGACCGCGGAATGGGACCGTCGGAACAAGTGAAAAAGGGAGGGAGGGGGGGTGGACGCACTCATCTTCGGTCAAATTCTCATCGAGCTGAACGTTGCGCCAGACTTCGCCTCCACGGTCGATGCCGTCAATGTCAAACTGCGCTCCGCGGACTTGGCTGAGATCAAGGTGTCTGAATACACCAGAGGTGTGCTTGATAAGTTCTCGGAATGCTCGGCTCGTGGATGCAAGACTTAGACGATCATGAGCGGAGAGGTGAGGAGCTGTGTGGGCTAGGATGAGAGGATTGGAGAGGAGGTAGAGGAGAGTTGTGACTGGGTTCTCGTAAAGCGTGTAGGCGTCTTCGACGTCCTGGAGCATGTTACGGCGAACGCGCGCGGAGGAGAATCCGGGGAAGTAGAGATAAGGGAGTTTTGCGACGGCCGTAAACCACGAGGGTCCGCGGCGATCAAATCAAGAGGTTGATCGATTACGACGATGTGGGTGTTGGCAGAGAGGGAGAAGGAGAGCCAGAGAGGAAGGGAAGCTAGGGTCGCAACAAGATGGCCGTCGAGGTCGGTCGGGCGGTTTCGCTGGCAGTGGCGCAATCGCGGTCGGCTTCTAGAGAGATGATGGTGCTGGCGGGTTACATAAGGAGGATTAGAGCTCTAGCTTGGGTGGGCAGATCAAGAGGCGCCGTTGAGTAGGAAGACGTGTCGGTCTAAATATCTACACCGTCGAACCTTGCCAGGCACAGGAGAGTGGACGGTGGGCTAATGTCCGGGCAGGACAAGACAAGAAACGTGGGAGTGTCTATCCTTAGCTTTGCGGTGAAGAGGTACTCCGTGAAGCAGAGTTGAGACAGGGAAGCAAATGTACATCGAGCAAGGGGACCTTGAGGTCAACCGCCGCGTACGTACCGTCGACAAGATGCGCCGAGAGATGCAGCACGGGCAGGCTAGAGCCCAGCAGGCTAGACCGGTCCAAGTTCCCTGGATGCACGTCCAAGTAGGTGGTTCGGTTGTCCACACCCCATCCGAGTCCTTGGCTCCAATCTGGGTTTCTCTCGTGTCTTAGAGGCTGGAGCAGAGCAAAGCATTGCAGCAACGGCAAGCATAGACGCGAGACTCACAGGCGCCCACCATCCATCAGCTTGCCTGTCGCTTCACCCAGCAGGGCAGGTGTTGTCGGCAAAAGGTGGTAGTGTGGTAGTATCTGGGGTTGGCCCGGTTGGGTCGGACCCTGAAAGAAGGATCGGCCGTGTCCAGTCAATGGAGCCATTGTGGCAGAAGGAGATGGAGAATAGTGCGGTTGAAACGGAAGAGGTTCAACCCGCCGTCTGGCGCGGTCTTGGCAACTGCAGAGCAACAGAGCAAGTCCACTGCGCTGGCACCTTGACGCTCGTGTTGATAGTTTCTGAGGGCTTGCCGTGCATCCACTTATTCATGCATCCACTTGGGGGTACACGGCAGCTGAGAGAGGGGGAGAAAGTCAACGTTGTACGGACCGAATATTGAGGCAACGGACGGAGTTTGATGTGCATAGGAGAGACTCCATAGAGTTGAAAAGGGGGGTTGGAGTGGTGAGGTGAGGTGAGCGAGGTGTTGAGGCGACATAAGGCGAGCTGCATCGGTCCAGACGTGCATGCTGAGGCAGTTCTCATCAAAACAACAAGAGCCCAGATGCGCATATCCGCGCACTCTGGCCCGGAATGAACGGGAAACCATTTGTACTCACGCGACGTTCGTGCGGTTACAACGACGCAATCAGGTTTCCCTGGTTGTTCGCATCGTTCTAGAGGCATTTACCGACCCAACTCCCTCGTTTGAACAAGTGCTATCTTATGGACTCATCCAATTCCGTCGCTTCATATCCAGCAAAAGAGGCAACTGGAGCCAAGTTCCAATGAAGGTGTGCTGAGCTGGGCATGTCTTGAAACCGTCGCATGACCCAAATTAGCCGCTCCAACCGTTTAGACTTGCCATAGTAGGCCAGTGACTCGCTGATTGCTGTAGAGTGTGTGCATGTCCCCTCACCACAGCCCACTGGGCCTTAGGCGTCTGGCTCGCTGTTATGCGCTCGGTGCTCTTGGCCGAACCAGGAGCAAAGGCCAGCTTTGCCGGACTTTCCACCTCCACGCACGACTGCTTCTCACGGCAATCTTACATGCACCATAACAGAAACTTACTCGTTGATGGGCGGTTTCCGCTTCGCCCTACACTGCGCTGCCACTCTGGCAGTCGCACCCGGTCTATCCATCCTTGGCTGTCTACCACACCAAGCAATAGAGGGGAGGGGGGCGGCACGCTGCGTCCCTGTGGTAGGCCATGTAGGTTTTCTGTCGGAGTGTCGACTCGAGCTGCTCCAGGTCGCGCTATCCGCTTCGCGCATCTCGGGTCATGTTGCCCCATCCTGATGTTGCAGCTTGCAGTCGTGCAGCGACTGGGCTCATCCGCCCGTGCCTCGAGCGTCCAGTCCCCTTGCGGGAGATGTGGCTCCTGCGCGACACCGCCTGGGATGATTGTAACCTGGGGGGCATACGTTGGGGGGCTAAATGGCTCCTACGTGCTTATGAGGGAAGTGTTTCGGCGCGCTGATCCGCTAGCTAGCCCTGCTCCGGGGCTCACGGAGTTGCAGCCCGGGAGTCGCGAAATCGGGATTTGGTTACTTTTGTTTCTGCTGTTTATGGAGACGCGGAGCTTTGGAGCCACATGTAGGTAAAAGGAGCCTCTTGGCAGTTGCACATCAAGGTCCAGCTTTGTCCAAATGGTTAGGGTGTCATTTGTTTTGTTTTAGTTATTTTCAGTGAGCGAACTGAGAGCGTGCACAGCCAAACGGCCAAGCAAGAGACCAGTAGATGGGGTGATTGAGAGTGGCCTCGGTACTTCCCAATCGAGGCGTTCAATTCATGTCGACCCTGTCGGTGGTACCTACCTATCCCCTTTTTCCCCACTTCTTTGTGCCGCCACCGGTGACCGGTCTTGGCGCCTGGTGCAGTCTCTCCCCGGATCCGAGAGTCATAGTCTGTGTCACCTGAGGCGGTGAGAGAGATAAGAGCGAGATAAGGAGGCACTGTGGCGCGAGCTGACCGAAACAGGAATGGCGCCACGCGGTCAGCTCGACTCGGGGCTAGTGTGGCTGATGTGCATTTCTTCCTGCGAATTGATCCGGGCTTCTATGGAATCCCGAAGAAATCCGCCATCCTGCTGATTCATCGCGACCATCACCATGGTGTTTTCCGGGTGATCCAGTCTTGAAGCGGCATGCCTGGATGATAATTGTCTGTTAGCCTCCGGGATTAAGAGACTTTTGTTTCTCTTCCGGTCATGTCAGGTTGCAATAGCCCGAACGCCGGCAGTGCTCTTGACGACAGAGTAATTCCTCCATTACCCCTCCACCCCACCTAGACACGACATCTCAGCCGCCATCCATTGTAGACGAGTCGGAAAGCAAAGGGAAGCCATACCAATTCAACTACCGACGCATACGAACGCGGACTGCAAAACATGGAGGAACCCCAATCTGAACTGAAATGGTCTGCGCCATTCGCAGTACTACCACCTTTAAAATCCGCCTCTCGAGACTTGCGCGGCGACAAGATTCTCCTCCCCCAGTCCGCTCTAGAGCAGCTGCTTGCAGCATCTCCCCGACCGCCTGCGCCCCCAAACTCGACCTTCACCTCCTACGACCCCTTCAATCCATACGCACGCCAACAACAAACCCAATATCAATATATGGACACCTCCCAGCAGCTGCCTAACCCCTTGATGTTTCTCTTGGTCAACCAGAAGAACGGAAATGTCGTCTACGCCGGCATTCGCGAGTTCTCTGCCGAGGAAGGCGAAATTGCCTTGGGTCCATACCTCTTGGAAGCTCTGGGCATTTTGTCGACTGACTTTGACAGCGAGGGTTCCAACAACGAATCGATCGACCTGACGGACGGCATGATTCAAGATACCCAGCCGATGGTGACAGTGCACGCGAGGCAACTGCCCAAGGGTACCTATGTCCGCCTTAGACCACTCGAAGCCGGTTATGACCCCGACGACTGGAAGTCCCTGCTCGAACGCCAACTGCGTGAAAGCTACACCACCCTCACAAAGGATACTGTGCTCTCCGTCCGCGGCGTCAAAGGCGAAGAGTTCAAGTTTTTGGTCGATAAATTCATGCCCGACGGCGACGGCATCTGTGTCGTAGACACGGACTTGGAAGTTGATATTGAAGCTCTTAACGAAGAGCAGGCCCGCGAGACTATGCGCCAGATTATGGCCAAGGCCCAGCCTGGTACCACGAATGGAAGCTCGAAAGGAGGCGAGCTTGACGTGTGGAAGGCCGTTGAAGGCCAGGTCCTTCCTGGGGAATATGTCGACTACGAACTGCCCTCCTGGGATCGAACCCGACCTCTGACTATCGAAGTGTCTGAGCTACCAGTCCCAGATGCAGTAGACCTGTTTATCAGTCCCAAATCCACTCGACAGCGAGCCCAACCCCGCGACTCAGAATACGTCTTCGGCAACTTCTCCCCTTCTGAAGACGGGAAAAAATCTATTACTCTTCAGCCTACCAATGTCGAGCTCGAAAATGCGGAGCAGCTTCTTATTGCGGTTCATGGCTACCCCTTGACAGGAAGTTCTGATGAGTCGGTACCAGTCCGTTTTCGCCTCAGGGCGAGAGCAGCGGTGGAAGGAGAATCACAAGATGTAACGGTTGACCTGACAAACGATAATCTAAGGTCACCAGACGAGGAACAGTGCAAGAACTGCCTTCAGTGGGTTCCCAAGCGAACCATGATACTGCACCAGAACTTCTGCCTTCGAAACAACATCGCTTGTCCAAAGTGTAAGCATGTCTTCAAGAAAGGATCCCCGGAGTGGGAAGCACATTGGCATTGCGAACACGACGATGCTTTCGGCGACTCGATGGCAAGCAAAGCCAAGCATGACAATATACGACACACTGAACGCAAGTGTCCGGCTTGTGATTTTAAGGCGTCATCTTTGGTAGAGCTGGCACTGCACCGTACGAACATGTGCCCGGGAAAGTTGATCCTCTGCCAGTTTTGTCATCTTGAGGTGCCGCAGGAGGGCGACCCATTAAATCCGTCTGCAGAGACGATTCTGTCTGGTCTCACAGCGCATGAGCTGGCAGATGGCGCCCGAACAACGGAATGCCATCTGTGTTCAAAGATCGTCCGCATGCGAGACATGGCAGCGCACATGAAGCACCATGAACTGGACAAGGTTTCCCGACCCAAGCCGGATATCTGCCGCAATGCGAACTGCGGCCGGACTCTTCATGGCGTTGGATCCACTGGCGCAGTTGGAGCAGGCACGGCGATGGGACAAGGACCTGGCAATGAGCTAGGTCTTTGCTCATTGTGCTTCGGGCCCCTTTATGTTAGCATGCACGACCCAGAAGGCAAAGCTCTCCGACGTCGTATCGAGAGAAGGTACCTCGGCCAGTTGATGACAGGCTGTGGGAAGAAGTGGTGCGGAAACGAGTGGTGCCGCTCTGGCAGAGCCAACCTCAGACTCGAGTCCAAGGGAACCAGTGCTCAGGCCGCCCTGCCGCTCGTTAAGCCGCTGGTGCAAAGCATATCACAAGTAGAGGAATCAATGTACTTTTGTGTTGATGAAGCTTCACAGCGGCGGCGAAAGCTGGCAGAAATGTTGGCTGGCGAAGGTGTTTGGGATTTTCAGTGGTGCATTGCTGCGTGTGAAGCAGCCTCGGGAGACTTGGACAAAGCACGGGAATGGTTGACAAATTGGGCGCCAACAAGACAACGGACATGAGGTTAGACATGCGGGTTAACTTTGCAGATTCATGGCGTTGTGTATGAGATACGATTGATACCACATAGACTCAGCAAGGGGATACACTAGACCCATAGCATGTCGAGCTGCAGTTGCTGAAGGTTGATCAAGGCACAAAGGCGTTGAGAAAATAAAGAATGTTGTACAAAGATTCGATCAACCACAAATATTAGATTCAGAACAGCTTGTTACTACATCGGCAAAACACAGGTCGATGGAGGGCCAAAAAGCTATCGAAGATGAAGTAGTGAGATGTTACTTCTTCGAATCACTTCTTCAGACTTCTGTCTCTCCCTTGCTTCACAAAGAGTGATAGCCAACAGTGGACTGGCTAACATAAGGAGACCTGGGTATAATTAGCACTGGGCTTCGAGGGATATTTGAAGTGGAGGGGTTTAATTACTTTAAGAGGTTCCGGACTCCGACGATGGCAGCCATCCCTCCGGCATAGATACCAAGGAGTTTGCTCCAATCCCCGTTTCCATAGGCGGACTGGCCAACGGAGAGAGCAATAAGGTCGTAGACAAGACAGCCACCAAAGATCCAGTCACTGGCACTGGCCAACAGTCCAAATCCCACGCCGGTAAGCACCTTAACAACAGTAGAAGGCTGCTGGTGGACGAAATAAGCAACCGAGCCATTGTGGAGAAGATCTAGGACACCAATGCCGGCAAATGTCTTGGCAACAACGTGAGTGAGAACCGAGTTGATTGATTTTGTGTTCATCGGAGGAAGACGGTTAAAGATAAAGTACAGCTGCGCAAGACTGTTAATGACAACAAAAATGTTGGAAGTCTTAAGATCTGAGCTGTTCCAGAAGATCATCCATGCTGTTATAGCGTGTCAGCGTGTTCTCAATTTTCAGGACCGTGATACCTACTAGCAATGCAAAGGTTTCCAACAGCGTAAAAAGGTGCAAAATCAACCATAATTCCAACGTCTGCATCCATCGGCTCAACCTTGGGGTCTGCCTTGTACAGGCGCCACAGCCAAGCAAGCTGGAAAAGCTGTTGCGAAAAAAAGAAGCCTGCAATGAAGAAAGGCTGTGGTGACCAGAAGGAAAGGTTGGCGTCGTGGATGTCTTTCATGTTAGGAGTGCTGAACATGCCATAGTTCTGGGCTGCAAAGTCGACGGCGAAGGATGCAGGCGCGAGCCATTTGGCAGTTGAAAGAGAGACACCCATCGTCATTAGCTTTGTTTACAAGGAACTGATACTGACTATTAGCAGATTTGGCGTTTTGAATATGTAAAAGTTTTTGATCTTCAACGAGGTGATTGATGTATGGTTTAGAAGTTATGAAGGTGACACGAAAAGGTGCTCATACATGACGTTCACACTATATGCCCTGCGTCAGTGTTCGGCGAACGACGTGGACTCGGGCATTTCAAAGACCGACTCCGACAGCCCGGGCTACATGGAGGCTCATGGAGGCTCATGTTCTCATGACGCAGGCTTGTATGGCTGCAGTTGTGTAGTGGTGTGTCAATACATGGAGAGATCTCATACGTCATTGACTTTTTGAGGTCCGAAACGGGCGCTGCTGAGCCCCGCAAGGTCCGCGTGTTCCGACCAGGCCCCACAGCATGGCTCCGGCTCGACGGGGATGGTGTCATCCGGTGCGGGTTCTGCGATTTTATGCATTCACGCCAAAGAGCGTCTACCGACTTTTTGGTTAACAAATTTGGCCGTAGCAGCCAAAGTCCATTAGTCTCTACCTCTTTGTTGATCCGTACATTAACCACTTTTCATCGCCTCGTCGTTGGGTCCCCTTGGAGAAAATGTCAACATGGGTATCGCGATCGTGTCCGTCCGGTTTTTTTCCAGGTCAATGCCTGGCTCAAGTTGACGAGAGACTTCTACTTCATTACCTAAAGCTTTACGCATGGCATTGTGGGTGTCACTATTGACGGTGTCCGAATGCGGAGCCGGCCGACTCAACACGCTGAGGGGATACGTCAATGTTGGTCCTGTCAAGTCCGACTCATATGTATAGTGGCTCTTCACAACCCCACTATCCTGGAAAAGAAGCTTTGGCTTCCTCCTCGCTCGACCGATCGTTTCGACTGTTCGTCTTGGCACATCTGTACTTGACAAACCGAAGGCTCTACGGGAGCGCGGTAGTTTCTGTGCCAGTTTGCGTAGAGAAGGCGCACAGGAGCACACTATCAAGGTGCCGACTTCTGCTTCGGACCATATTATAGGCATGGCAAGATCATCTGGCGTGAATCAAATTAGCGTTCCCTAGATGCCACCAACGGGGAAGACGACAGTACTCACGGGTGTCATCAAGACCCATGGTAGCAACAGAATGCATGCGGATTACAGAAATAGCAACCACCCTGCAGGGAATGTTAGAAGCTTGGCGGTTTAGTCGCAATTGTACGTAGGAATAGATCCCCTACATCAAGCCGAGTGATAGCATGGCAATGAGGCCGAGTCTCTTGACTAACGGTAGCTGCAATCGCCACAGAGTAGGTATTGGCTCTATGAAGAGAATCAAATCTGTGCAAAGGTTGAAAGCGAACTAAATTCCCGCGAGTTGTCAGCCTCAAGTCTAGAAGCTACGGTCATGAACTTTTGAAGATGGGGTTTACTCACACCGCACCACCACAGTACGGGAAGATCAAGACAGACGCCTTTCATGCCCACTGTCCACGCCTTGGCAATCGGTTTACACTGAAATATAGGGATAATACTCTCTTCAATTGCCTGAAAGCAAAGAAATAAGACGATAGCTTTGTTCATCATGACAAGGCGTCGGTTAGGGAGCATTCTGACATATAAGACCGCGAACGACATTTTGGCAAGAGCTAAGCCGTAGCTATAGGTTGCTGATGTGACGATAGTAAGCTTTGGCGTAGTCAGTCTACTTTGTCTCTATAGTTGTAAATCCAAGGTAGAGCCTGCCTTCAGAAACCGCTCGTAGCCTGACAGGCTAACGTCCTGGTGATGATTGCCAAATCCCGAATGAGCCGCTGTTCAACAAGATTAGTAGCCCGCCGCAATAAATCAAGTCACAGGAGTTACTTACAAACAAGAGTTGCGGTGTACATGGCCATTGTAAAAACCTGGACCTCCATATCGTAAGCCAATCACCAGTTCACGAAGATTTGTTGTTTGGGATTCGGCGTACCCAGCTCACAATGATTAAGACTGCACAATGAGTTAGCATGTCTGTGAATCAGCCAGAAAGCTAGCGCTGTTCTTACCATCGTCAAGCCCGTAAGTGTGCATGCTTGTTCTCACTGCTATGCGTATTGATATGACTAGAGTAGTAATGCATATCATGCCTACCGTCGAGCCGACGATTGTGTCCACCATGCTATCCGCCATGCCTACAAGCTCCTGTAGCCACGGCACGACTACCCTTCTGTCGGCACAGACCAAACGAGTTTTGCATAAAGCTTCTGGGCGTTCATGCCACAAATAAACCCGTCGCGTTCCCGTGGTTCAAGGCTTCATATCCCCTCGACTGTATGCCCCTATGTTCTGCTTCTTTTCTCACTGCATGTGGACAGCCTTAAAACGATATGACGTGATGGAGGTAAATAAGCGAGGGGTTGGAAAATAGTGTTAGATGTTTTGAATGTCAGAAAATGACTTTAAGAGGGGGTATTCTACTTTTGAGGTGCAACATAGTCCTGAATATGGAACCGAACAGCGTTCGGCCCGCGGAGCATCGCGAACAAAGTTCAGACTGGCTTAGTGAACTAGTCATGACAATCAAGATGGAAAAAGTCCAGATGTACCATGTGGACTACCGTGCATTTGATAGGTGAGCTAGGCTGTGCAGACTTCCACTTAAAGAATCTCCGAGAATTTTCCTTTTAGAACCTACAGTAGAGAAAAAAAGACAACTGGGTATGTCATGTTCCTAGCAGGTTCAAGTTATCATACCTTTATGTGCGGGTGGGCAAGCCGAAAGTTACTCGATTTAGGCCTTCGATCTACGAGACCTGAAGCAAATCTAATTACCACGCCTCTAGGAACATGCATGTATGATCATGCAAACAAAGACCTGCTCTGGAATTGCCGGATTATTGCTGTGCCGAGCTGCTCCGTAAGCTTTCTCTGGTGGGGGGTTGAGTCGTAGATAGGCAGTTGCTCATGAGGGGATAATTCATCAGACGCAAACTCAAAGTATGGCCATGGGAAACAAGTGACTCTCGAAAGTTCCGGCAAACGTGATGCTACAGTGAGACGACCAGTAATTACATATCGCTTCCGCTAGGCTTTTTGACATCCACGTGTAACTACGGGCTTTCCCTATCTGGAGTGAAAGGGATGTGGCGGTTTTGAACGTGGAGCAAAAGTCCAGACCTTCGGGCACTCCCAACACTGGGTAGCAAGAACTTTAAGCATGCTAACGTTTCTGCTATTGCGCAAGTGACTCGTACATCAAAATGCACCAACGCATTGCAAGATCTGACAAACTTGGTGTGGCTACCCGGGTCAAATAAACACGTACTCAGGGAAGTACAGTCTCGCCGAATTGAGAGGGAGAGAGAAAACACTGGAGGCATTATTTGATGACCTTTGTTATTAACCTCGGGAAAAAGGAAATATAATTGCCGTTCTCCAGCTCTCCGACCACGTATGAATTTTTGTATAGAGAACTTCGCATATCATTGTTGTCAACATACTATTTGTTTGTGACCGGTGGTGATAGCTACGTCAGTGGTCTGCTAATGGCTTATGACGTGGTAATCATCGGTTTCATTGCTATTTTCTTTAGTGGGGGGTTGCCCCATACATAGCATACCGGTACAACCGGACTAACAAAAAATGTGACGCAGGGTGGTTCAGATCCAAATGGCAGCATAACACAAAACCTCCCGTCATGTATGCTCGATCGGCTGTTGACGAGGAAACAGTCCAGTAATTTGATTTTAGATGTACATATTGATTGGTTTTTATGAGGTCCACCACACTTTGATTGTCTGAGAGTCGGGGACTGAAACCTCTAGTGAGCTCCATGTTCACCTTTATGATTTGGTCCCAAGGGACATTTCGAGGCTTCATGATCAGTTTTGCGGCCCTGAATTCAAACCATGAATGACTTGTTTCGGTTACGGTTGCAAGTACTGAAGTTTATTTCGCAAAGCGCTGCATCCTTGCACATCAACAAAAATGCTTGCAAGGGCGTTTGGCCTCCAGTACATCATGCTGGGAAATCAGCCTTGAATCAGTTAACTGTCTTAATATTGAAAATTAGATGTACATAGCTAGATTCGTAGTGAGAATTGAGATTTCATTAATCTTCGGCTCCAACGCTTTGCCTCGTAACAAGTCATTATGCAGTAATACGAATGAAGAATTTAGACACTACAACGATATCTCTTGAGAATAGAACTTCACTTGTGGGCTCGAGCAATATAAAAAAACACTTGAGTTTATCCTTTCATTATCAAGAGTCTCTCGTATTAGAAAATTAGTATTAGTTCATCTCGTACAAGCAATGAATGACTCATCCGATTATATCCTATGCAATCATGCCTTTTAAGGAGCAACATGACTTAACCACGGACTGCTGAGATCGGTATAAAAACTTGCTCCCTTGACCTCTGTTGGCGCCCCAGGGGTGGTAACGTTGCAGTTTTGGATCCAATTGCCCTGAGATTCTTGCTTCGTGGCGACATACTCCTTGTAGTCTTTCAACAAGCATGAGGAGCCAGGTCCGTTTTTACAAGATGGTAGCGGATATACAGCATCGTTAAGGCGAATACGGACATATGTCGCATTATGTGAGCCTTGCACTGGGGGTAAGGGTTGGGTGGAGTTGCATCTACTTCGCCGAATCGCCTGGGGGGATGTAGCGTTGCCAGCCACGACGCAGTTGAGTCGCTCAAAAGCAATAGTTCCCCGCATGGTTGTGAATCTAGAGCTAACAAACAAGCGATCGTCGTCTTTTTCGGTGCTGGAGAGGGGCTGTTGATCATCGAAGACTCCGGAGGCGGCTGCCAACTCGTTGAGCTGTCCATCATTGAGGAAAGACATGATGAGCTTCGGTAAATCGAAAGAGCTTCCATCCTCGCGTTTGCCGGTAACTGATGGACCCTTCTCTAAAATGCCCACCAGGGCATTCAAATAGGGTGTCATCATCTTTTGGGGAAGATCAGTGCCGAGGCCAACACCGTAGTAATAGCGAAGGTCCTGGAAGTATTCGTACTGAAGGAACTCCTCGTCGGAGAATATGTCGCACCATGGTGATAGACGTCCCAGTATCTGGCTCTCGTAGCCACATAGATACGGAATTTGGTTCACGTCGTCTGCAGTGAGGGTGAGGTTTCCTTCGATAAGTGCTTGCAGGCGAGCCTGAATTGGGGGGATGTAGACGCTCTTCCATTGAGTCACAGCGTCGCCTCCCTCAGTATCCTCGAAGGCCGGGCACATATCTGAGGGCGCCAAAGAATCGCCAATGCCGCTGGGAAAGCCTTTAGATGTAACGGAGATAACATCTCCGAAAAGGGTGGCATTTGTTCCTAAAAAGCCACGGACGAAAAGCTTTGCAGTTTGAAGAACTCGGGAGTAGTTGTTGGCCCAAACCATGAAATCATCACCTTCGGTATAGAGATCCGGATACCTGCCTCAGGTTAGCTAAATCTTCGGTTTTTTTTAGGATTGTATCGTCAATAATAGTACCTGGTTCGCAAGGTGTAGCCAAGGTCATGCGCCTCTTTGTACCCAGTCGGGCTCAGATTCGAGATCTGGGAAGAGGGGTTCGTCAACGCAGTCTGCCATTTAGGCAAAAAGCTAAGACTGCCAGACGCAGTGTAGTTCCCAGCTTGGAACTGCGCATGATAGAGTTAGGCGTATCCTAATCACTTGCAAAGGGACAATTGGGAACTGACTCGCTTTTGCATCGAGACCCATCCGTTGTAGGCGCCGGGATCAGGGAATCGCGATCCATGCCGAAGGACATACGCGGCTTGGTCGACGTAACAATTTGCTGGAATGTCTGACGAGATCCCATAAACATTGGGCCCTGAGTACGGAATGTCAATTGATGATTGGAATTGGTCTCGAGATATAGGTATCCATACCTGCGAACCAAGGACCATTGGCGCCCACGTGCTCAAGCGGATGTGCGGCGGAATCGCTAGCTGGAAGATTGATGTCCTGAACTGGTGCGAGGAACCTCGAACTTCCCTCTGCCACAGTCGCCGCAAGGCAAATGAGACTGAGTTTGATTGATGCCATATTGATTGTATATCGTGCCGCCAAAGAGCATGGAGCCAAACCATCAGATCACTGCACCTCCACGATGAGTTACCATGCGACTATATACAGTTGAGGCCAGTATTGTCTGTCCGGTCATTGTTGACCACGTGCTCTTGGCTGCTTGTTTACCTCCTGTCTTTCGCGGAAAACCGTGCCGCTACGGGCAACGTAGCATTACCACCAAGATGCACGTGAGGAATGCGTTTCTGTGATTCGATGGCGTATACAAGGTTGTGGGGAGACACCGGGGATGCAATCCTGGAAAAGGCCTTATCCCCGCGTGTGCTTTTACTAGCGTTATCAGATATTTATCACTTTCGGAACCGAGCCGTCTCCGAAAAGGAGATTATGGCAACGTTCGGTCGGTGTAATCTATTTCTCTGAATTTCGACCGGGGGTTGACCAATCCAGTCAGCCTGAATAAACACGAGTCGAGGAAAAAAGGCAGTGGATGAACGCGTGAATGTGACGTCAACGACACTTCTCAGAGATTGGTCGAATACATAGTCATTGGTTTACTGCCATCAATTCCATGTGCCTTCTTATTTATCCGGAGTGCATGCATACCGAGATTCGGTTACGACCAATTTACCCTCAAGCCATACCTGCGGAATATTACTTTCAGCCATTTCGTAACTGCTCTGGTCTCAAGGGTAAGTCAAACGTCCGCTGATCGATGATTGACCCACATACACGCCCAATGGCCGACATAATTTAAGATACGTCTTTCGGTATGGATGTGAGTAATGGAGTGAGAAAGTGTGGTAGGGGGGTTTCTACATCAGCCGGCAAACATAGTACAAGATACAGCCATAATTATCTTGACAACATCCGTCTCTCCTGGAAATACATTGCAATCGTGGACGTATTTTGCTGTTCTGCGGTAGACTGGGTTTGATATTCGCACTGAAATGGGCGAAAGCTCCTAGACTTCCAATGCGATTGAAGTTATGGAGGAAGATCAGATCTCGCAGTAGATAGTGCATTATGCAAAAGTACACGGACCGGGTGCATCCGTTTGATAAAGTTGCTGGTTGCATTATGTGTGAGGATAGCATATGGCAATATTCCTGTTGACGGTGCCTGGCTAGGACCATAAGTTCACAATATGAAAACCGAGTATACAGGTTTCACAGAATCCAACGATTCAATTCTATAGTTCTCATACCATACTGTCTACATAATTAGGGTCTTAACAGAGGGAGGCCTCCAGTATTCTAAGACGCCATCCGAGCTGACCTGCTTGAGCTTTAAGGTCTTCATGGGTTATGGGTGCGTATATGAAAACATAACGATTCTCAAGTCTAGCTGGTAATTAATGACATCCTCCAACTTTACTTTCACTCAAGTGCTGGCCTCAACAAAAATACCTGCTAGGGTGTTGTGGCTTTACTCGCCAGAGACTTGACTGTAGTTTCTGTGATGTTGATTACTGATCGGTGATGTTGTAACATGAAACCCATGACTTCTCTGGTAAAGAAGCACAAAGAAAGTACTCACTTTGGAATGCCAAGTTGAGCCACTGTTGGACGATTGTCTTTAACTTGAGCTTTGCTGCAATCCTTCTTTTCCCTCTCCCATCTTTCACTGACATTGAACAGTGAACATAAGTTGCTATTGAGAACGCAGAGAAGAAGAAATTCCCTACAGAATACAAAACCAAGGTATCTTAGTAATTAGGTGGAATGATCACCTTGGATGTTGATAACGCAAGGTTAGTCCATGTGATATAGTTAGCCAACTTCTATAGCACCATTCAGCTATTTTCACTTGTCTCTGAAGTAACTATAAAGTAAGAGAAGTCGTAATCCAACACAAGGGGGCCATTGCTTTGATCCTTGTTTCCGTAATAGGACAGGCATGCAGGGTATGCCAAGAGCTTTTGTATCCAGCTCATTGTGTTACGTTGTCTACTTAGAAGAAAGGGCTTGTATTCGTTCGTGCTGTTAATTGAGCCTGCATAACCGCTTGCAACTTTGGCAAACAGTCGACTGGAAAGTCTAACAGTTATCCAACAGCCGAAACAAACCCCCTCCCCCCGGAAGAGTATTATTGCCAAGGTGCCAGTGCCTCAGCAACGAAGGATAGTATCAGTAACTCTGAAGAAGTTTCGATTAACTGTACCTCAATATAAGTTGAGAGTATGGCTTTAGCCAAAGCTTTTCGTGGGTGGGTCATTCGGTTCTTAATAAAGGATGCTGTGGGTGAGGAGCATTAGTTAGGTATATTGCGAGTCACACAGTCCGATTTCAGCTGTCTCGGGTCACTAATCAATCCCGAACGCCGTTCGGCTCTATGAAGCAAGCCGAACCGAGGTCACTGTAAATTACTTTCGGCCGCTCATGGGAGATCTCTTATCGAGATGGTATCACAGAATGGAGCATGAAAGGCTTTGGGAGTACCACTACTTCATAGCGTCAACAATACAGCCCATGTATGGCAATTCCCAACTACCAAGAGTACCGATAACCCTAGGAATCCGCGCCATTTTAGGCAGATGTGGATTGTTTGTTTTCTTTTCGAAGAATGATATGGAAGGTGCAGTCACCGTGGAGCTACGCTATATGATTATGTTACCAGCCTGTGGGAGTCCTCATGTCTAATCCTTCAAATGTGGATAACTGTCTGCTGATAGTCTCGGGGTCTGGCATGGTCAAAGGGTCCCAGGAAGCACTTGCGTTCAGATATCTCGAAAAGAGTTGATCCATGGGAGGGTGCCCATCTTGCGACTCAGTCGTTGTGTGTTGGCCATGCCTGTGTGACTCCAATGGCTGGGGCGGCTCTGTCCCAGCCCTGGACCGGCTTATATGCGAGCCAAGCTTCTGCCGGATTTTCTTGACATAATCTGGCTCGTCTGGCTGGATTCCGCGTTGAGAAGAGAGATAATCATCTCTGACCTTCCATGCCCTCAAAATGAACTTGGCAAGAGCAATGTTGTACTCTTGAGAAGGATCGAAAAACTCGGGATGATATTCATAAAGGGCAGGCACTTGTTGCCATGCCCTTTCAACCAACGATCCCGTCATTCGGTGGCATAGCTGGCCAATCATCAAGATGACAACGTCGTATTGGAAGAGTAGCTTCAGAAGCCAGTGGAACCCTGGATGTTTGTTCGACCTGTAAGCATTAATGGTTTGTTCAGTGGTCATGACAGACCATTTGAATAGATTATCTTTTGGCGTCAGAATTTGAGTGCCCCATTCCGGCTGCTCCTGTGGGGGGCAAGCGGTCTCTTTGATCTTTTGAAGAATAAGAGACTTTAACAGCCCAGCAAACTCATGTACGGGGCCAGCAGAAGGATCAGAATTCTTCTCAATCACACTGTTCAATCGGTCTTCAATAGTTTTGATGAAGCCGCTTATGTGGGTTGATTGTACTTTGCTTCTTCTGCCGGAGCTAAGCGTACTTAGTTCGGCATAGAGCATAAGGGACTCAATGTCCTGCTTTTGCTGCACACAATAGCCGACCTGATAGACCAAGAGTGGGACCACCATTTCGGTCGGGCCTTCGCGTTCCTGGTATCGTTCTGTTGCACCTGTATGAAGATCGGCGTCGTTTAGATTTTTAGGCAGTTTGCAGTCGCTTGGTCGAGGTAGCAGCGACTGGCTAAGGCCTGATAGCATGGAGAATTTGGAGTCCAGCATGAATATTTGCCACCAGATTCGGCGCCGCATTTCCGTTTCGAAGGGTGGGAGGCCCAAAAGTTCACCGTCCCTGTGTAGGCCCATTTTCTGAGCAATGCGAACACAGATGCCATTGAGAATCCAGGCTCCGTGGATATTGCATCTTCCCTGAATTGACATCTCCCACAAAGTCAGCAGGTATATAAGTAGAAACAGAGTGACGTTGAACCTTACAATATGCAAGACCAAGGCTTGAAGAGTAGTTAGATCGTGTGCCTTGAGGAATTCTGCGCGCAGCAGGCTGGTCCTCACGCCGGAGGAAAACCGCCGGAAAGCAGCCTTGCATGTAGAGCCCAGCAAGGACATGCACTCTTCCTCCGTCATCGCAACGATAGACAGACTGTATACCGCAAAAAGAAGAGCCTCGACATTATGTGGGAGGGTTCCTGGGCTACTAGCTGCCTCGACCACAAATGGTTGTAATGTTGGTGCGTGGACGATTTTGGTGAGAGAATTGACCCGATCGAGGAAAGTTTGCCATAGTCGGAATATCTGACCGGCATTCGGATACAGCTCTTGAGGATCATCATACGGCGCATCTCCACCAACAAGTAAATACTCGCTGTAGTCGGGCATTGATGCTCCGGGGTCCCAATCGTGGGGTTCTGCTTCAACCGCCTCGTCTTCTTGTTCCACGAGCTCTCTCATCCCGCGCAACTGTTACCTTCATGTTAGCAGGCTTAGTCTTTAAGTTTGTAAAAGATATAAGCAACGTGCCTCCTCGTAAACTGTAGCCCAAAGGAAGTTGTCCATGAATCGCACGGTGCCATCTTCCATGACAAGCTTGCCAGCTGGTTTCCAATTGATCTCCTTATTCTCATATTGGGGGATGCTCGAAGACTGCGGTGGAGCAGCCGTACTTTCGAAGTCCAGAGGCTCTTTGCTAGATGCCGCATACTTGGCCAAAAGCTCCTCGCATCGAGCAAGTCTAGCTTGCAGCTCCGCATTGGGCCGTCTTCGCTTTCGCACCGGTGCTGGGATGCTGGGACTGCATGTTGCTTTAGACTGGTCGAGCTCATATTAGCGTTGGTCCAAGAGGAACTCGAGTACAGCAGATTTCTGGGATATATGCATGAAGGGAGACGGTTGACGTGGTCATTGGTGCCCGTCTCGATGAGGCGCCAAGTAGATGGGGAGAGGAAGGGTAAAGCAGCTGCTGTTCAGGGGCGAAACACAAGAACAAAATTCTCTTCTTTCATACCTTGACGCAATTTGCACAGGGGTGTTTGCGATCGCACTTAACCTTCCTGCGTTGGCATAGCACGCAAGCTAGAGGTCGAGAGTGTTTCGAAGAAGATGCCTTTTCCTTGGACGAGGTCGACATGTCGCAGGTGTGGGGATGGACGCCGAAAACCTGGAGGTGTCCGTCCAACCGACAGCGGGGACAAGTATATAGTGTTCACAGTACGTGGAGCGGTCGGGGTTCGGTCAGGGGCTCGCCGAACTGCGGAATTTCCCGTAGTGTGTGCTCTTGTAGCCTCTCTCCCCTTTGTTCCACTCCCCATTCTTTTTTCCAACAAGTGACTTAGCGTCCAGTAGCGTCGAGCAAGTCTGTGTAAAACCAGGTCCTGGACGTTGATGAGACGTCAAAGAGGAAGCTAAAGCCTAAATCGGAATCCGAGCCCTCACGTTCACATTAAAGCGGCACACTCGGCTTCAACCCCCCTTTAAGCTCGGATCCAAGTACCAAGCTTCGACTCTTACTGGACGAAGCCACAACTTTATGACTTCTTCTTGAACATGCCAGTGCTCGTTTTCTTGTGGAAAGCAGTAACTTTTTTTCCCCCGAGGTTTGTCTAGGCAAGAAAGCCATTAAACTCTGTTGCTCGGAGTGCCATCCAACCTCGCCGCCCTCGGTGAGAAACTCTTAAATGACAGAATACTGGACGAAACATGTAAAGGTTCACCCAAAATGCTTATGATGGGATCGGCCCCATTATTTCAATAAGTCATTCAGTACTTAATTCTGTGTTTAGGATTTGTTGCTATTGCCTAAGATTCAAAGAAGAACTGTGGGCATTCAACATATGGCTATGCACCAGTATTGATAAGACCGAGTCAGTCTTTGGCAGACGGGGATTAGCCAATTAGGTCCTACGGTCTCAGCCCAATCCTGCGCGTTGCGTATTAATAACGATTCACTGACTAACGGACCACTTTCGTACTATCGCCGATGTTAGTATTGCACACCGTTGAAACGTAACGGGTCAGCTTTGTAGTGTCCCGCTATGTGAGGTCATTAGTATTTCTGGGAGTCTCTTACTACAAAAGCAGTCAATTTGAGTAATTGCATAAGAATCAAAACAAGAGGATGAATAAGCCACCTGTCTCTGAGCCGAGCGCAAAATGTGCATGCCGCTTCGAGGCAAAAGGGAATTCTACTTCAAGAGACTAAGAAACACACTCGAAGACAGTCATCAGATGAAAGTTACTACTGAAGTGGTAAATAAGAAAATTGCATTCTAGGCTGTTGTCCGCCCTCAGCCTATGAGTCGCAAGCTGAATAGGCCAGGAGCCCGGGCCTTTCTAAATGTAAGGGCCAAGATCGATATGACCGTCGCCGTCAAGAAGTTGGAATAAATTGAGATCACCGAAACCGTGATCAACATCATTCCTTCCGTCAAGCACGGATAGATCCGGGGTTCGCGGTATGGACGCTGAAAGGCCGAGAAACGATGCATCCACATCCGCAAAGGACGGTGAGCCTAGGCCCAAGAAACCCGAACCCAAGTTACTAGACCTTGTATTCAGTGTTCGATCTGCGCTTGCAGGTGTAGCATGATCGTTTGTGGAAGAACGAGTGCTTTGGTCAGTCTCTGCGTTATCGCGGGGCACGAGGCCGAATAGCTGCGAGGAGCTTTCTGTTCTTTGGATTCGCTCTTGTAGCTCCTTTTTTTCCAAGTAGTCAAGAGCGGCATTGAGCAAGGACTTAGCAATGAGCGAGTACTGTGCAGCATGCGCATCACTTTTGGCGAAATGCTCAAGCACCATGATGGAGTTGCGAGTGTATTTCTCCAATATCCGCCCGAAAGAGCCAAGCAATCCAACGCCCAATATAAGCGACGAAGCGAACAGCCATGACCTGTGGCTCAGTTAGTTGACGGATATGGAAAGCCACGAGTTGGGTGTACTCACACTATCAGCGGCATATGCCCGTTCAGATACCCCCTCTCTGTGAGACCCACAAGGATGTCAACCATGAAGCTTGCCGCGTCGATGCATGCATCAGCAAGTTTTGACTTGCCAGATGCAAGTCCGGTTTTGCTGACGGAGACGCCCGCGGAACTGTCGGCCAAGCGTTTGTGCAGTTCATACATCAGAAACGGTCGTGATACTAAGATGACGGCTGCACCAAGATCAGCTTGAGGCGAAAGGCAACTGGATTATAAGATATGAGTCTTACCATAGTAGTAGGAGCAGAGTACTTGACAGGCTCCAGTTATCTTGCTTGGGTCATCTTCGGTTGAGGAAGCGGACACAACATCTTTCAGTCTCTGCAGCCAGCGAACAGACCAGTCTCGCAGCTGTCGTGAAATGCCTTCAGTTAGTTGATAAGAAACCTTCTTCCGTGAATAAACCTCCACAACAATGCCTTCGGTGATCAAAAAGATTTGTGCGGAAGCGTTGAGGAGGTCAAAGATTTCTTGTCCGCTTTCGTCCGAGGCTCGATACGGTACAGTGCAGTCGACATCTGATGTCGCAGGTGGTCGGCCCATCGACGTGCTTAAGAAGAGATCCAATACGCGCAAACTCTTCCATAAACGGTCTCTATCAAAGAGTCAGCCGCTACAAGACAGCTTAATACAGATGAAAGTCAGCTCCGTACCGTTGTTTGTGTATTTCAGGGCCAAATCGACCATTGATTTCAGTACGATGTATCCCGATTGAGTATGCTGCTCTAACTGCAATGCCTGGAATGAAGATCAGCGACGAGCTTCTTGACTTTGCCATACTTCCCGTTTCATACGTACCAAAAAACAGAAATGCCCCGTTCATTTGACATGACCCAAGCATGTAAAGAGTAACGAGGATGAAAGTCTGAATGGTGGGAACATTGATGTTGCCGCTGAGGTTGGCCAAGGCAATGTTGCGTGCGTATTCAAAGTAAGCCGAAGCACGGTCTTCCTCGGAAGACTGATAGCCTATGGCAAGGACAAGATAGAAAGTTGCTGATGATGCATCCTGTAAGCGGTGGGTTTGTTGAGCCCAAGATCCCACCTCGTCCACAAAATGCGCATGGCCGAAGAGATCTACAAGGCCGCTGGTCTACAACAAAGATGATATGGTTATTAAAGTTGCTCTTTCAGCTGGGGATTTCGCCCTGTCTTACAACTGCATGATAGGTGGCAATGGCTCTGGGTATCGTTGCCAAGTGCAGGCCAGGCTCTTCGTTGCCGGAGCAGTGAGCGGGCGGTCTGAAAGGAGGATTTTCACTTTGATGTGCGAAGACTTGTGGATCTACGCGCGTGTTCACCAACTGCCGGACGGTCTGGAAGAACGATAATGGCGCACAGTCTCCGATGAAGACTACATCATTGCCGGTCAGCCGGGGAAGGGAGAGACGACGACTGCAAAACGTACTCAGTTTTCCTTGGGCATCACACAAGAGGCGCGCCTCCCTGGGAACCTCAGTCTCCTCTTCCGCCAAAGGGTCGTTGCCAGACACCGACTGCCGGGTCTCGGATTGACGATCTGGTCCGTTGTGCACAGATGGGGACGGGGTTCTCGGTGTCGGAGCCGGCGCCCGCCGTCTCTGCTGAGGCGAGTACCGGCAGGTGGAAGGACGTTGCCGTCTCAAGCAGTAACCGCATGGTAGTTTCCCGTCGCATTTGACTATATTAGGATGTCAGAGTCGGGTACACAAGGATGGGTGAACTTTGCGGAAGTCTCTTGCGGAAACAAGCCGCAACTCCGTTATTGCTCTGTGGAATTGTTGCCCGGGCTAGGAGTATTGGGGTTCTCCTTAGAAACCGGTGGATACAGTACCTTTTCGAGCTTTGCAGCTGTCGCATGCATTGGCAACTCTTGTACGGACATAAGTGTGCGGCGATGGCTGCCGCACCGAGACATCCTCCATGCTGGTGCCGCCGATATCACCTTGTGGTTGTAATTACAGGCACACGCGGAAGAGAGAAGATCGGACGCGGAGGAAGAAACCACTGGAGCCGAGGACAGGAAAGTTTTCCGGGGCCGGAATAGGCTCCACGCTAGCCTTGGTTGGAGCTTAACAAGTCCAATGTAGGGACCCCATGACAGCAGCTTCTTACAGTGGCTCCGAGACGATGCACGGTAGCGGTTGCACTGTACCTCCGTCATTACCTGACCTGATCCCCCCCTGACAAACCAATGTTGGGCTGTACAACAGCAACTTTCCGCCCCACAAACATCCATCCATCCGCTGCTAATCCACCCGAAGGGCATCCGTCGTTTGAGCCGCGCATGTTGTGTGGCTCCCGTGACTCGTCATCGCAATTATCGATCACATTTTACGTGAGCGCAACCGAACCCGCTCCTCCGGAAGACGGGACACGCGCATTAATCATGGCCGGACACGTGTGAGTCAATCCGTTGCATTCCGTGGGGGTGTGTGTGCGGGTGTATAGAGGTATCCTAAGCGATTTTGCGCGTTTATCTCGAAATCTTTACTGATTAGTATGATTTACCAGAAACACAATGGATGATGTTCTCATCTCTAATTGTATGCTCCGTGATTCGAAACAGATTGACGAAGCTGATGAGAAAAAGTGTCTCCTAATTTACTCCGCTCCTCAATTAGGCTGCTCATCTCTCGAGGACCATTGATACAAACCCTGTTCGTAAATCATGTGCAAGCGCGACTAACTGAGAGTCCTGTTCCATTCCCAGACAGAGATGCCATATTAAGTGACACGGGGGTGCTCTCAATGCAATTTTTAGAGTATTTGGCATGGAACCGCTGCCTTCTATCTGCAAAGCTGGCCAAGCAATCGCTGGAAAAGTATGTGGCCATATCGGTGTAAACGCCTCCGAGCCGCATCCATTAACTTTGAAAGTCTTTCGCAAGTCATTCGAGCGATGGCCATGGTCCAAGACCAACATACGTCGTTATCAAGCGATCTGAGGTCGTCGCTGCAGCTTATTGATGGCGACATTGTACAGGCCATACAGGCCCTCAAACAATCGACACCAATTCCGGAAGAAGCCCTCGAAAGGGATATGCGGGAGCTACTCAAGGCGTTGGAGCACTACAAACAAATTCACGATAGTAGACAATCTGAGGACCTGGAATATCCATTTAAAAGGGGAGAACGCCAAATCAAAGACGCATTTGCTGCTTTCCTCCCTAACATAGCAGCGCCGCCCGCGAGGTCGCGAACGAAAACAATCATGTCACTGAACATCAACACTCAACCAGATTTTGAAACTTTTGCTTTAGGGCCCTACCAGTTTCCGAGATTATTCAACGGCCTGTGGCAATTATCTTCACCTGCATGGGGCTGCGGGAGCGACAGGAAACAAGAGGAGGAGCTCATCCGACTTGTACAGTCTGGGTTTACTGCCGCGGACATGGCAGACCACTACGTATGTCGCATATTGGATGAGCTGAGCAAGAAATTGACGTTGCTTGGTAGGGCGATGCTGAGCTGGTCTACGCAAACTTTAGGAACCGCTTGTCGCCCAGTGTTAGATCACAAGTCCTTGCAGCCACAAAGTGGTGTGTATTTGAACCTCCAGCTGAGCCATTAACGTATAAGCTTGTATTTGAAAAGGTAAAAGAGCGATATCGACGCCTTGGCGGCCGCGTCGAGTTGCTGCAATTCCACTGGCACGATGTAAGTCAGCGTCATGATCTCCACACTAGAGAATCAACTTGGCGATTTAGAAAAAAAAAGAAAAAGGACACTGAAACTAACGATGCTATTGTTAAGTATTCATGTAAAGACTATCTGAATATTTTGGTTGACTTGGTGCGCCTCACTGCGGTACACCCCAATCTAGTGTCCACCATCGGGCTCTGCAATTTTGATTCGGAACACACAGTCGAAGTTTGCGAGTACCTGATAGCCAAGACAGGCTCTGTCGGGATCGTTTCCAACCAAGTCCAGGTAACTATCGACCTGCATCGTTGTTCTTTAGGCCACGAATTTCTGAAAGTTGTTTCAGTTTTCCCTTATTGACTCTCGACCACTTCACCTCATGGTTAATGTTTGCGCCAAGTATGGGCTGAAGCTGCTTACGTACGGCTCAGTCGTAAGTAAATTATAATTGAGCACTTCTTCTCCGGCTAACCTCGATAGTGTGGTGGTTTCTTGTCTGCACAATGGCTGGGTCAAGTCGCGCCAGACATTTATTCAGAGTCATCCCAGCTGACGCCATCGCAGCGCAAGGTGAGGACGATGATACAAATCTACTCTAAGTGAGGACATGGATTTCAGGCTGACATGAAGTTACGCAGTACCATGACATTATCATGAGTTGGGGAACATGGCAAGATTTTCAGGACCTATTATGCGAACTCTCTGTGATTGCAGAGGAGCACCGTGTGAGCTTGACCAACATTGCGACTCGGTGGGTCCTCCAACAGCCCTCAGTCGGTGCCGTTATAGTCGGTACTCGCTTGGGTGCATCTAGCCATGTCCATGACAATCTCGCGACGTTCCGCTTTGCCTTGAAGGACTGGGACTTGGAAAAGATGAACGCACTTGCGCTGGGCAAAAAACGTAAAAAGATGCGACGCTTAGTCTCAAAGCTGGGTGACTGCGGAGCTGAGTGTCGGATTAGCCGTTGAAATCAAAGAACGCTATTGAGTCTGTCTTTCAAGATGCAACTCAAAACAATTCGTGGAGACCACGCTGCTTCAAATTGAGAAAATTCACAGGTAGCGTCCATGTCAAGGTTGCCGTGCTAGTATGATTGATTAATTTGTAACTGCTCTAGGTAGCAATACCAAAAGTGTGTGCACGAGCGAATGGTTTCGTCACTTCGACCGCGCTTTGAGATCGTGTGTTGCCTGATGTTATTTGTAAAGCTTGTGCGCCATTCTTGCATCGCGGCAAAGCGATGCAGAACATTGGTCTAAAGCGCAATTAACCCGTTGCGGACCGAAGCCGACATGGACTACCGCTGACAAGTCAGCATACAAGAATCCAATATTCTGACCCGCTGGCAAGCGCGACACTGCTTTTTGGGACAATAGCCAAGCCGCGCGTGTGTACACCTGCAATCCAAGTGCTGAATGGTCTGCTGCGAGCTCGGAGCAAAAAGGTCCTGACATGGCCTGGAAATACTAATGCCAAGCGGTATTCCTGCATGAACAAAACTCGGTGCAGCAAGGAATCGAGGATGAGTGGGCCCAGAAGTACTTGGAACCATCCGTGGGTCGATCCGAGATCCGAAGCTCCGCGTCACTGGCAGAAAGAAAGCTGCGCCATGCGGATGCAACTTTCCTCGTTAGTGGATCCTTCGTCATGTGTATGGAGCGTGCAGGCAACACACGGATAACAGTTTGTTCGCCTCGCATTAGTTGTTGGTATTTGTCTAAAACCCATGCCGATGACTTCGACTGCTCTCTGGATATCATGAATCGTAGCACCAAAACATTTACTTTCGTGCCTCTCTCTCCAACTGTCCAGCCTGTAGAGTCTCGTCCCTAGTTTGCTTGAGGAATGGCATTAATGCCGTACCTCCCGTGCCGGTGAGCTGCTCATCTTTGACTGCAGATGTGCTTGCCAAGTCGACCTTGGCGCCGCTGTATGCCTTCTTTGACGGAAGGACGATATAACGAGTGACAATTTGCAAGTGTTTGTTTCTGAACTCAGTCATGGTCTTGGTCGCAACTTGGTATGCTTCGCGGAACCTTTCCTGCTCGACTGTAGAAGCCGGTAACTTGGCGAACTCGCGAATGCTACCCATACGGGAAACGTGCTCAAGGAAGCGCTTGTGTGGTCCCGGCATGTAGCTGCGGACTTCCTCGTGAAAAGCCGGCACTTTTTCTTTGCTGGCAGCACCTTTGCTGGCATGCGGATTGCTGTTGCCTTCCGAGGTATGCTCAACGCCCAACACGATATCGAGGAATTGGATAAGTGAGCTTTGCCCATTGCTGCCTCCTCGAAGTTGCTGCCAGCTACCACGGCCGTCCCCCTCGTTGTAGAAGATACCGTTGGGCAGACCAGCCGCTGCCATATTTTTGCTGCCAGCTAGGAACGGGCGGATCTCGTAGAAGAAAACCATCGGGTCGCAATGCTCATACATTCGCTCAAGGAGGGCACCGATTTCTCGAATGTTGCCAGACAAGCCATCGAGTGCTTTTGTGATAGTGTCGTAGTCTCTTGTCTTGATAGACTCCAGTGCTTTAAGCATATCAGTGATGATGCGAGCACCCTGCGCCTCCATAGCCACTGAAACTAGGTAAAACCAAGCTTCATCTTTGGTTCCAGTAAAAGTATGAAGAGATTCTAGCGAATCCAGATCGGTGAAGTCATCTGTGATTGACAAGAAGTTCCATAGGTTTAGACCCGCATAGGTCGCAACGGGAGGAACTTCAAGGTGTTTGGAAATGGATAGGAGAGGTACTGATACAGCTGGTGGTAGAACCTGGGTTTGATATAAGAAACCTTAGATATCATTTCGGAATGGTACCAGCTACTTACCTCCTCGGCGTTCTCTCCACCCCAGACGTAAGCATGCGTTAAAAAAACCAAAATGACATACGCCCGTCTCCACTCCGCTTCACTCTGTAGCTTGTCCGTCGACAGTACAGGAAGAGAGTCTACCTCTACCCGCAGCTTTCCGGCCTTGAGAAGTTGCGGAAGATGTTGAATGACCTTTTCCCAAGGGGCAAAATACGGATCAGGGAGGACTTTGAGGGGTGCTTCGGTAGGAAGGAAACCGTTTGGTGTGATGGCGTATTTCCTCAGAGGAAATACATCGAGTTGCGCCAACTCTGTAGATATGGGCAGGGCATGAGGAGACATTGGAACAGGAATTGATCTTTGACAAAAGCAACCGATGGCTGAAAAGATAGAACAAACTTTGGCAGAAGTGATGAAAGGTCTGTCGAGTTACTTGAATCGAGGGTTGTGCGATGAACCAAGTCAATGCGAGTCAAGAAACGTTGAGATAAAGAAGTATTTCTCACAGTGCCTGTGACAATTCCAGTCTTCCGCATCACCCGTCGGCTTTGTTGCGCATACCCTGGAGAATCTCGTGTCATCCCGACATGTAAGTGGGCCAAACCGAAACCCGTCCATGTCGGTTACATGCGGAAGCGCTAGGCTTTGAGCGGAAGCGGAAGGCGGATAGTGGTGGGGCCGCTCGTGGACTTTGCGGAATGACGATGCGCGTTATTATCTTGAGTTCCGAGAGGAGGCGTCGGGTACAAAGACAAAAGAAACACCCAGGCTTTTCAGAACAATGTGCCATAATTGAAGGTTCTCAATTCAACAATCAAATTTGATCATAGCCTCTCGTACGATTCAATATGGAGTTCGCCGCCTTTGCAGAGCAGATCCGATCCGGCCGTCCGGCCAAGTTCCCTGCCAACGCAACCAGTTTTGAGTTCGCCCAGCAGCTTGACGCTCAGGACAGTCTTGGACACCTGCGCGATGAGTTTATCATTCCGACGAAGGGTTCCTTGAAGAAGAAGTCTTTGGATGGCACTCTTCCAGGTAAGATTTCCGAAAAGACTGTACCACCAGACAGCTCGTTTTCATTCCAACAATGTTCTTTTGCTGACCGTCGAAAAAGACAAACAAGCCCTCAACGGCCATATAAACGGGTTCAAGGGCAAAAATGGGGCCAGTGACTCAACAGAGGATGACGAGACACCTTCAGTCTACTTCTGTGGTAACTCATTGGGAGTTCCGCCCAAGTCAGTCAAGGAATACATCCATGCTCAGTTGGAGACATGGGCCTCAATTGGAGTGAACGGCCACTTCCAGGGACTTGAGAACTCCCCACTGGTGTGCTGGCAAGACATGGCCGAGGACGTCGCAAAGAAGAGTGCACACATTGTCGGCGCTTTGCCTGAAGAGGTCGTCATGATGAACACCTTGACTGCCAACCTGCATTTCTTGATGGCTAGCTTCTACCGACCGACAGAAAAGAAGCACAAGATCATTCTTGAATGGAGACCATTCCCTAGTGATTATGTGAGTTTAAATTTATGCCACACCCTTCTGATCGGCTACTGATATGAGAAGTACGTCATCGAGTCGCAAATTCAGTGGCACGGGTTGGACCCGACCAAGTCGATGGTCCCGATTCAACCCGATGAGAACTTTTACATCTCTACGGATCTGATATTGAAGACCATCGATGAGCACGCTGATGAGACTGCCTTGCTCCTACTTCCGGGCATTCAGTACTACAGCGGACAACTCTTCGACATGCCTCGCATCACCGAGTACGCCCAGTCCAAGGGCATTGTGGTTGGTTGGGATCTTGCCCACGCAGCTGGTAACGTTGAATTGAAGCTTCATGACTGGAACGTCGATTTTGCGGCATGGTGCACCTACAAGTACCAAAATGCTGGACCAGGATCCATGGCTGGTGCCTTCGTGCACGAACGGCACGGAAAGGTCGATACAAGCGAAGGCAAGCCGAAGTTTCGACATAGGCTTACAGGCTGGTACGGAGGTGACAAATCTGTGCGGTTCAACATGGACAACAACTTTCTCCCTACCGTTGGCGCTGGCGGTTTCCAAGTTTCGAACCCTTCAGCTATTGACCTGGCATCTCTCTCGGGTGCTCTGTCCGTATTCAGCAAAACGAACATGACAGAATTGCGAACGAAGTCGCTCGTTTTAACGGCGTACGCAGAGCACCTTCTGGACACCATATTGGCAGACGACACCGGCAGTGAGCCGTCATTCCGAGTCATCACACCTAGAAACGCACATGAAAGAGGCGCTCAGCTCAGTGTTCTCCTGAGGGATGGCTTATTGGACCGCGTTTCCGAGGCTTTCGTTGAGGCAGGTGTTGTCTGTGACAAGCGGAAACCAGGTGTTATTCGTGTCGCGCCGGTTCCGTTGTATTGCACTTTCCAAGATGTATGGAAGTTTATGGATACTCTCAGGAGGGCGATTGCCTGAGGGACAGTTGACCGTGGTCGGTTGTTGATTGAAATTATTTAGCGTAATATCTACACAATCCATTTTCAACCTTTGCAACATCCAGCCAATGGAAATTTGTCATTGTGAGTCTTGGCTCAGGTGCTTGTCCACGTGTTGTCGTCGTACACCAAGTTGCAACTCCTCCAGCACAAAAACAACCCAAAAAAACATATCCACGCACTGGATTAAAGTAAAAAGGACTTCTGGTGCAACATCTCCCAAACTCTTTTGATCTTCTTCAAAGGAGCAAGCCATGCATGTATGGGTCTGAGATCAAATCTGAACGAGTCGATTAGCACTAGGGTCTTTGAGCGATTTAAGTTTACGAGTAGCCAAAAACTATTGTTGTAAAGGAAGGACACATGTTTAAGACAACTTCTTTGTAAAAGTCTTTAGGAATACCGCTATGAGCCTTGATCGGAATTCAAATGATGAGTGGCTCTAGTTTTTGGGATTCCAACGACCAAAATAAATTTCTCAACCAATGGACTGCACCACTGCAGAGTGAGTGTGGCTCACACAATTGTGCACCCTACCCGTGGGAAAAAAAGTAGGTTTCTTTTGGCATAGCTATATCAAAGGCTTGTCTGGACTTATGTTAGCCTGTGTTTACCCTGCACTCTTTCCAATCCGTAGATGGCATTGACTGTTCGGTCTCGACAAGACAGTAGCGTCCCTTTCTACCCTATAGGTGTGGAACGTCGAAACTTTGCATAAGCATAGTTACAACACTAAAAAGGCCTTCTCCTAGTATAAAACCAGTTGCTACAGAAATGAGACGCGCTTCTTTTGTATGTCCCCAATGTCTCAAGATGCCAAAATGAATCAAACCGCCAATACCTTGCGCCAAAATCATCTCTGGCATAATGTACATGCCTGTGATAGTCAGTAACTACGAATGAGAAGGATTAGTCGATTGCACGAACCTGCAGCCAGTGCGACGCTAGAGGGGACCCAGGAAGATATCCCATATTTGCCTTTCCAATCCTTTATGATCTTGAAAGCAGCACCTAGGACGGATGCCGTCAAACCGAAATCAATAAGTCCAGGGGGCAGGCCCCGTCCATAGACAAGCCGAGCAGTGGAAATCAGGATGTGAGCTGATGGCATTGGAAAGTCGTCGCTGGGAAAACTGAAGACGCTCGTGTAGAAGCGATATACCAACATCGATATCAAGGATCCCAACAATGACCCGATCAACTGGCCGTAAAATAGTGACTGTGGCGGTGCGTCTACAAGATGACCCATTTTGAACTCATCCATCATCTCTGCAGCTTGCCACACGCTTGCTTCGACAACTCCAGCGACAGCTAAGCTAAGCAGAATGGCATTGGGGTCTGAGGATGGTATCATGAAGGCGAAGAGAAATTGTGGGATCTTGGCTGAGTGTTTGTCAGTAGTAGCACCGTGAATATAATAAGAATGGCGTTTACCAATATATGCAGCTCCTCCAGTTCCTGTCTCTCCGTAGCAACGGATGTTGACATGGCTGAGTGGCAGGATGACAAGGACTGCCAAAACCAGAGCCAAGACAGGGATCGATAAGCCGAAAAGAATGAACATGGATCCGAAACAAAGTAACAATCCAATCGAGATCCACGTTATGTAGGCCTTGACGGACCATCCGTCGCCTTGGTAAGACAGAGAACTAGTGTAAAGCAATGTTGCAGGTGATTCCGACGAACCCAATAGTGGTTCAGCGTCTTCCTCGTTATTAGGGGGTGGTTTTGGGTTGCTCAAAGAAATCGAGCTGCTCACAAAGGCCCAAATATCAGCAGGATCCGGAAAGACGTAGATGCTAAGGGTGCGCAACAGCATTGTGGAAACTGTGACAGCTGTGTCGCCCAATATCAACGCCACGGCAATCCACATGATCCATCCTCTAGAGCCTGACTCCCAGTCTGATACTGGTCCAGGAGCCCAACCGTTTATATTCGCAATTGGCGACAGGATCCCCCAGCCTATCAGGCAGCCAACGACAATCCAGAATGTAGTGATAGGAGGCACGATCAAGCCAATGGATATATAGCCAGGAGAGGTCGAAAGAGAAAACAGCCAAGTGCGAGCCAAATAATTACCGAAAATATGGACTGTCCGAATCTGAGGCACGAAATATGCAGTGAACGACTAAGTCTCATGTTAGCGAAGCAAGCGTCGAGACCGAGAGAGTCAGCGCTCACATAAAGTGCTGCGAGAAAGAATGAGAGCAAAATAAGGTTGTTGTTCCGGCTCCAGCCACGATGCTGTGTTTCGTTGCTGAAATCCTCCGCGTGTTCTCTAGTGGAACGTTTTTGCTTGTTGTCCAAGTTGTCCAGGTCGTTTTGAGCCAAAAGAATCCGTTCTGCAATATCCGCATCTTGATGAAGAGACCCTATCATAGCTGCTGATGATGTGCCGAAAGGAAATGGCAAGGGTTCTTGTACGAGAAATCTTTTTCGGAGCGGTAACGTCACAGTAACCCCCAGAACGCTGACGCCGATAGACCAAACTAAGAGCCTAGACCAGTCAAAGTGAAATGGTCCATTCTCTGACGGTTGAGTAAGAAACTCCATAGCAGGAAGAATTCCCACAGATCCGATGGTGAAAGGCATCAGACCTAAGGAGCTTGCAATGACAACCAAGGATGCGTGTTCTTGTGGAGTAAAGGGAACTGCTAATTGATCCTGTATCATTTTGAAGAAGGCGAACCCCAGAATTGTAGATGGCAGGCTCATTATGGCGAGGAAGCCAGTTCGGAGTCCAAAATACGTATTAGACAGACATATCAGTAAACCAACTACAGTACCAACGACCGTCGAGCGGAGGGTAAGAGAAGATGGCGGCTTCGTTGATTCGAATGCTGGCAGCAGTCTGGTAAAAGTAGTGCCCTGACTTCGTCTGCTGGACCACTGAACATTTGTTCCCGCCATAGCAAACTGCTGCAACGGTCGGCGCAAAGAATGATGGTGATGAGACAAGCAATGGCCGCTGTAGTATCACACGATAAGTAGACTGACATTGACTGACAGGGTGCATGCGACTCCGCCCGAAAATTCAAGTGGATGACGGCAGATCATGTAGGTAGATATATAAAAGCAAAGATGAGATCACATGCTCACAACCGATGCACGGTGATGATGCACCGACGTTGAGCCGGTGATTATGTGCGATGATAAAGAGCATACGTCATCGGTTTTGTCCCAATAACCCACAGGACACGGACAATTTTGGCTCTCATTGCAGATAAACAATATTGGCAATAGAAGCAGGTAAACGTCTTCAAGTCATACATTTCCTCACAACTAGCCTAGAGCAGCGGTGGACTCTCCCACAACTGAGCAGCCATTCTGGGAAGGGAGTGTTTACCCATCAGTATTTCTAAACATACATGAATATCAACTCTACATTTTGTACCGGAAAAGAATCGAGTAAGGGAGTAAACCTAGTTAGAATCGAAGAACTGGCACCTTACTGCTGGCCACTTGAATGGAAGCACCAGATGGTTTCCTAGTATCTGAATAAAAGGCATCAATTCTCTGCTTGAATTGTTCATTGGCTCGAGTTGCTTGTAGTTATGAACAGTTGTCTTGAGACACTCTACAACATCAAGCTAACATACATATGAGTAACTGAAGGGTGCATCTCGGCAACATCTGCAAAGGGCCCTTCCATTGCATTGTAAAATAGAATCTATTACTGTCGAGAATTGCATTGGTGAACAATCGGAAAGCAAGCCAACTGCTGAAAAGGGTATAGCCAAATTATCCTACAGGATCCGAAAGCCTCCCCAGCTTTGGCTAGACCGTCGGATTGTCAAAATTGTCCAAGACTAGTGCGTGGGCCCCAGCTCTAGAACGTCCCTCAGGAATGGTGGCTGTGAATCTAGGCAGCTCACAAAAACCTTATCGTCCTTTGGCGTGATACGCATGCAGCCTGTCTTTCTCTACCTAAGCTCCGAAAACGGTTCTTGTCATTTGCATTAGGAATATTCCTCCCTTGTTCAAAGGCGGTACTGTCTGATCCGGGAACCCAGAGCGATTCGAGGCCTAAACGATTACAAAATCTAGATCTATTGGAGACAAGGAGACAAAGACACGGGACTCTGTTGTCTTGGAGCGGATAGAAGAGACAATCTGAACGGCAGTGCATGATTGATGTGGGGTCTTGAAGTCAAGATTCATATAAATCCATTTATTCTCCCCCCAACGATCCGAATACCTTCAGGCTTTCATACTCATCACCTCAAATCGTCTCAGTCACTAAGAATCAAGTTAATAAACATTCCAAGACATCTTCGTTTATCAGCTTTGTAACAGAGCGACCGGTGCCAACTTTTCGATAAGCCAGCAATCCCACCCTCAGCAGAGCAGTCAGAATGCGTGTTTCCAACATTGTTGTCTCTCTCTCCTCGGTCACTCTGGCCTCAGCATTGAATCTGCCCCTTCTCCCGAATCTCATTGGCTCTGTTACGACTACCTCTATCCCCGTGGCCTCTGCCACATCTACAGCTACCCCCATCTCGTCTGGGGCCAAGGCACTCCTTGAAAAACTCGCCGCTGTCGACACAGCTATAGCGACGATCAAAAACAGCATCAGCAATTTTCAGCCCCAGAATGGCGCCGTGGTGGACGTGGTTGAGATTGCGAAAAGCTTCGGCAGCAACAGCATCCTCAATCTTGCCATCAACAATGCCCTGCTCCAGACTCAGTCTCTGAACGTTAAACTCAGTTCGGATGAGTCGAAACGCGTCACCGATTTCTTGAACAACAACATTGCCCAACATTATAAAGAGGCTCTAGCACTGCTCATGGCCAAGAAAAATGACTTGGAGACCGCCTCGCTCAAGGACAGCGGCCTGTTGAACACACTCCTCGGCGGCAACAGCTTGCTTGACACCATTTCTAAAGGATTAGGATTGGGACTCGCCAACCAAGAGACACTCAACACCGCCCTGATCAATATCCTCGACCCTGCCTACCAGACTGTGGGCTTGGCGGTAGCCAACCTCATCCAGAGTCTATTTGATGGCTCTCTCCGCTTGACGGTTTTGTGATCTGCTATAGCGGGACACAGCGGATCTCCCGAAGCGTTGTGGCTATATTGGTTCGCATGACCTGGGAGAAAACTAGTGGAAATGATTGCAGACATGGTGTTGGGATTGGTTGGCAATAAATTGTGTATCCATTACGGCTGCCACAAGCTGCAAGCGTCACCAGGACGTCATCGTATATTTATAATACTTATCTTATAATAATCCTAATAACAGCATTAAGCTCTAACATATCTCTTCTTCGATAGCCTTGCTTCATAAGCTGTAGCTGTGCTTCCTCTGTGTATCGGGTTCTATAAGCAAATAAAGGAAGCAAAGAGCCTAAAACAGGGTGCATCGGCAGCCTGTTTGCTGGGGTGAATAACGGCATGCGGATTGAGACAGCCGTGTCACAGGTAAAAATGTGGTACAAGCTGTTGGGGGTCAGCAGTGCATTACCCACTCGCCTGTTGTTCACGGGTTGTGTGGCTGGTAGAAGCTCGATGATCCCTTCTGGGCATAGCGCACAGCGCCTCTTGGTCAGACGACACGAACATGTGACGTCACCAAGAACTACGCCGCCAGTATTAATTTCGCTGATCTCCCGCATCGAAGAAGTAAAGTTACATCGCTTTCTTTGTCAACATCCTGCTGACCTTAAACACCATCTCGAGGACCTTGTGCTACCGACTGATAACTTTTGTTCCATTTGCACGAAGATACAAACAACCGACGACATCATGATGCAAAACGCCCCCGTCATGAACTTCCTTCTCCAGCTCTGCTTTGCTTTGTTAGCTGTTGCAGCACCTGCTTCCGACCCCGCGGTGGGAGCCGCAGCCCACGGCAACACTTGGCAGTATGGCACCGGTGGCGGTATTCTCGGTTTTATTGTTCTCGTATTGGACATCATTGTCTTCAGTAGGTTCCCTTCTCCCTTTGTCAGGACTGACTTGTATTCTAAACACGCTCTACGTAGTTGAGGTTCTAAAGTCCGACCGACCTGTCAGTCACAAGGTGCTCTGGTGTCTTGTCGTTTTCCTCTTTCCGATCGTTGGTATGGCCGTCTACTGGCTATTCTCGAACCGCGCTGCCCACAACTCTCGGTCCGGATATGAAACTATTGCGTAAAATAATCGATCGCGAGTATATCCATCTGCATTGCTTAGTAGAGATGGGTAACACTATCCAAGGGCTACGTAGATGAAAGTACGGATGTTGGATTCATGATATCTTGTATCGGACATGAACTGTAATCGTTGTCCGCTAACAGAGGATGGTGACAGTTGCTCTGCCAGCTTGAACGATGATGTCGCTCTTACGATTCCTGAGCTGTGGCTCCATGGTGTTAGGCATATCGTTAAAATACATGATTATTCGCACGTGCAGCTAAGTACTTCAGATTTGTTTGATGTGGCATCAACAGAAATATCTTAGGCCCTTCTTGCTGCAACACCCGATCTTCCCATGAGGCGAAAGGTCGATCTTTAAAGAAATAGCGCTATTACCTTCGATCAGGTATCGCGTTTTGCGTAATCGAGGGCGAGAGTGGCAGGTTTTCGTCCAAAGATGAACGAGTCCACTACAAAGCTTGCCTTTCAAGCCTAGAGCTCAGACGCCTGCGTTACCGAGGCACAATAATTTATCTAATGCAGTGCGGTCGTATTTAGCCATGTCCAACATCCGATGGGTAAACATGGATTGCTTTTGGACGCGTCTCAATTTTGTTTCGTGGCCGTCCAAGCTTAGACCTCACCAACAACGAAGCTCATCGTGTGGTCGGATCATAGGACGTGCGTTGGCCATTCGGAAGTTCCTGAAACAAGCGTGGCTATGGGATGACATGGCCACGAAACGTTTCGACCCAAGAGCAGAGCCCTTCGGCTGATATGCCGCTTGGAGTCCCAAGGTGTCTTTGAGGTTCATCAATTCTGATTGTCCGCCCCAAAACCCACCTCTTTGGCACTCGTCGCCGTTGCTGCTATTATCGCGGAACAACTGGACTTGAAGCAGCCCTCATACATAAGACGCTCTCTACAACATGGAGTCAAGAACGGAAGACCAGCAGCCCTTCTTAGGGTTTCGAGATGACCCGAACAAGCGAGATTCAACAGAAGACGATGGCGAGACAGAACATGATGGTCCTTGTTGCCAAAAAGTCGCAAAAGGAGGATCGGTGAGGAACAGAGTCTTCCGGGACGCTGTGGTATGTCTAGCAACATCACTGATATGGGCCTTCGTTTTCTTTCTTTTCACGTCCAACACATTCGGTAGCCAACCAGGCAACGGCGCAGGAAGTGAACGTAATAGCAAGAGCCCAATATTCAGCGACTATCTTGCAGCATCCCATAATGTTACATCGAAGGCAAAGTACATCTCATGCGGCAACTCAACAGCTGAGGCGAGAAAGAATGGATGCAGGTACGATACTTTGTTGAACTACTGGGTTCATACTCAATGCTTCGACCAAGAGTTCGAAACAGAATACCAGGATGATGACAGCTGGACTGCATTTGCCGAGTAAGTCGCCGTTAGTTCATGGCAGAGGGAAGATGTGCTAATCGTTATTATGCAGCCAAAACCTCACGGAGCGAATCGCACCAGAAGCCATGGGTGAACAAGAAGTCTATTACACCTCAATCAGGGATCACTTGAACCACTGCTCTATGCTTTGGAAGAAACAGTTCTGGACGTTGTTTGAGGATCGGCCTGCGTTTGACGGCGTGGTAGTCAACTCGTTTCATACAGAGCATTGTGCAGACTTTCTCAAAGACATGTACGGTTCAAACCGGACCGAACCCACACTTGTAAGGGTCGGCTTTTCAGGATGCTGGATTAAAGAGTAGACAGAACGTTTAGTCCGGAGCAAAAGAAAAAGGATGAAGGTTGCAACTTTTTGAGCTCACCTAACAAATAGAATGTTGTAAAGAGAGACATTAATTGACTTTCACTTGACCCAGGGCACTTGAGGGCTGCTTTAGTCTGAAAACTTGAGTGAAACTATGACCCAGTAAAAGTTATGTGATGACTTCGATGATAGCCTGTTTTAGGCAGTCGGAAGGGTGGACCTTGCAACCACTACTCCTATTACTATAGTATTAAATGCTTTAGCTCGTGCATCTCTGGATGTTTTCCCTATAGGTTGTCGAGCTCCTTCAGATCAATCTTCACGAGCGGTTTGTTCTCTTGATGCAATATTACTGCATCGACGGCTGAGAACGTAACGTTTTGGCCAAACGGAAGCATAGGCAGAGATGTGTTGTTGAGAATGTCGGCTTTCCCGATCTCGACAAACCGCCCAAACGCTGCGATGCAATCCCACGAGTGTTCCAGAAGATCTCCGCCTAGGGAATTGAGTACCACGTCGACACCGCGACCGTTAGTGGCCAGCTTCATCTCCTTCTCGAATGACGGATTCCGGCTGTCAAAGACGCAGTCGTCAGGGAGATGGTGAATCTCTTTAAGCAAATCTCGTTTCGATTTGCTGCCAACGGTAGCGTAGATAGTCGCCCCTATAGTTCGGGCAATCTGGACAGCAGCCTGTCCGACACCTCCCGCCGCGGCGTGGATCAAGACAGACTCTCCTTTCTCCAGGCGCGCTACGTGTATAAAAGAGTAGATCGCAGTGTGGTACACGGCAGGAAGGGCAGCGGCTGTATTAAAAGCCATGCCCACAGGCATCTTCTCGGCCTGTAGCTCAGAACACCTCAGATAGGTACCGAAGCCGCCACCCGTGTGGTTACACCACATCACTGAATCTCCAATGGAGAAGTTGCTATTCGCGGAGGTTCTCGAGACAGTACCACTACCGTCGAAACCGAAACCGACGCCCGGTATCTGACCTAGTGCATGCATGACGTTCTTTAAGTTGACGCTGCTTGCTTTGATCTCAATCTCGATCTCGTCATCCTGCAACGGCGTGGTACTTCCGTGATTCTCAATAAAGTACAGTGTGTCAAGAAGCCCCGGCGTGGCGATGGTAATGTTTATATGTGGCTTCTTGGCCTGACCAGGGATAGTCAACAGGGAACCAATGTGTCCATTAAAGCCTTGCAAATTAGAATTGTACCAGAAACGTGAAATTCTAACCGTTTTCGAATGTGTGGTATGCTGCCTCGAGCAATCCTCGTTGCTGGATATCCAAGATAGAGGCCTCAGCTTGTGACATAGTGAAGAATGGAGCATCGAAAGCTCTGGGGTCTTCCTTTATGAAGTGCCCGTGTCGAGTTCTGATCTGGAGTGTAAAAGTGACATCAGCCCAGATCATTCTCGTCAACATTAATGAAATTCCATTAATTCTGGAGTTTGGGCTGATATCAGACTTACGCTGTCTAGACGGTTTGGATCTGGATGGCAGAATGCTAAGGGGGTATGATCAGCTTCTACTAATAATATAGACCAACCCAAGATGTCAAGGAAGTTCAATACCTGTAACGTTGAATCTGTCCGGCGGTACCACGCTTGATGCTGAGCGCTTCTCCTCAAGCATCTGCCAGAACGACTCCACGGAGACTGCATCTCCTGAAAACTTGAGATTGATGCCAATAATGGCAATAGGTTGAAGTTGGTCACTTTCTATATTGACGATGAACTACGAAAACTATAAACGACGTTAAAGAACGAGGTTTTCGTTTCTAAATGGATCTAAGTAAAGAGAAGGAAGATTGATGAACTTCTTATAAACATGCTAGCCATACACCTTTAAGTGGGCGGTAGCACAAGCAGGTTGCTTATTCTATCCGAGGCCTCTTCCGAGTCAGTGCGAATTCTAGATCAAAACCACAATCCGATACTTCACAGCGAGCCAACAAAGTATGCAAAGTGAACTTTGTGGGTATAATCGTAGCCAAGGCTACCCCCAAAGAGTTGGCAACTGTTGTCCAATCATTGAGTAAATATACCGTTGATGCCAATGACGTGGCCTTTTTTCCGCAGCATAAATCTTTTTCAGTCAATCACATTGACTCCTTAACTTTTAGTCGTTGCTTGGTCCTTATCAAGGTTCTTACATACGTACTCTACCAAGTTTTAACTAGTGTTTAACAGAAGCTTAGCTATTGCCTGATTCGAGACTTCATTTAATTGGTCTTCGTAGTGATATGCTTTAGGGTTGTTTGGTTCCAATCCATTTGTCCCAATTTGGACAGTACGAGTGAGTCATTGCGCGAGTTTCTTTCCAACTAGATGCAGATGAGGGGTACTGGTTAAGAAAGTATACATCAAGTCAGTGCTGAAACTATTGAAGCAGAGGAGCATATTATCTTACTGTTTGAGTGTTTTAAGAAAGCTACAGTCCATCTTTGTGCTATGGAAGCCAACCTCGTCAAAAACTTTCCTCCATCATACCTAGACTCACACTTCTAACGTGACAATGTTATTTGATGAGTTGCTCCTGTCCTCATGGGTGACTGTGGGATCTCTCATAGCCCCCATCCTTTTGTACAGTATCTACCAACGGATAATAAAAGAGAGAGAGATTAAACGACTTGGGGGGCATGCCAGAGGCAGATGCGCATGGGATATTCAAGGTACGTTTTTCCAATACAGAAATTTGCTCCTGAAGGCCGTCCCTTACTGCGAGAAACTTAGGACTACGTTTTACCAACCAATCTGTTCTCTACGCCGGTCGCGACGAGGTGCTAAAGTTCTTTCATAACCCATGCTTGGCTTCAACAAGGGTGTCTGATACCACACAGCAACCGCCTAACTCAATGACATTTGAGGTCCGCCGCATGGGAATTCGTTATGTCGTTACCGCGGACCCAGTGAGCATCAAAGCTCTGCTGGGGACGCAGTTCGACGACTTTGGAAAAGGCGACCGATTTCTGCGTGATTGGAAGGACATCATTGGTCACAACGTCTTCACCACAGATGGCAAGGCATGGCATGACGCGCGTTAGCGACTCCGTCCTCTTTTCATGCGACAACGCATCAACGACCTTGAGTGCTTCGAGAAGCATATGCAGGTCCTCTTACCTATGCTAGATAAGGAAGTAGTCGTCGACTTGAAAGACTTATTCTTGAGGTTAGTGAGCCACGAGCAGTTTCTCGACTCCAGCAAGCTAACTTGGCCTGTTAGGTTTACTATGGATACTGCAGCAAGTTTCTCATTGGGTCTTGAGCTAGATACAATGCGGAATCGGAGTGAGGAGTTCTTTGAGGCCTTTGAGAGGGTTCACGAAACCCAATCACTTATCCAGAGAGCGGGTCCATTTAACTTTCTCGTACAACGCAAGCAGTTCAAACGTGACCTGGCCGTCCTTGACTCTATTCTTGAGCCAAGCATCCAGGAGGCCCTCAATCTGCCGTTGGAAAGCCTTAATACGATGGAAAAGGGCGATAGTACCTGCACTTTCGTGCAGCAGTGCGCGGCCATATCGCGCGATCCAGTTTTCCTTCGGGATGAGATTTGATCAGTTATGATTGCTGGTCGTGATACCACAAGCATGACCCTGACGTGGTGTTTATTCGAGCTATCACGACAACTAGCTCTTGTCACAGAGCTGCGCCGCGCTATCGAAGACACCATCGGTCTTGGCACAAAGCCAACATCTGACGATCTCAAGAGACCTGGACTGAAGCTTGTGTCAAACATAATCAATGAGACGCTGCGCCTGTATCCAACTACCCCAAATAAAACCCGCGCTGCGCTCCATGAAACAACCCTACCCCGAGGAGGCGGGCCAGACGGGACGCGCCCCATCGGTATCAGAACCAACACACCCATTCTATACTCTACAAATTTAATGCGTAAATACTTCCTCTCTTTTTCAACATTGAATTGACACAGGTCTAGCTGACATATCATGGCAGAACTTGATAACGACATTTACCCGTCGGAGGGCCCTGATTTCGCCCCTCCACAGGATTTTGATCCTCATCGCTGGGACAAGTGGTTTCCGGCCCCATGGACCTACATACCGTTCAACGGGGGCCCTCGTATCTGTATTGGGCAGTCATTCGCTCTAACTGAGATGTCGTTTGTCCTTGTGCGCCTATTCCAGCGCTTTCGCAAGGCCGAGCTTGTCAGTGCTGGCGACGGCTACCCTGCGCTTGAGTCAGATCCGGTGCCCTGGCTCAGGAAGGGCAACGGTAACCCACCCACCCCACAAGAGAGCCACCCCCACATCCGAGCCATCCGAAATTGCTGCATCGTCAAGAACATCCCTTTTTTCAAACTATCGCAACAATTGCTATTTGTCGCCAAACAACGCCATCTTTTTAGGATACCTTCTCTATTACACCATGAAGCAATACACTGAGTTTGAGCTCCAACGAGCCCTTGCAGACGTAGCAGATAGCTACCCTATCCGCCAGGCTGCTCGTAACTGGGGTATACCATACCAGACCCTTCAGCATCAGCTGCACGGCAGGCAAAGCAGAAATACTGCGTGGGTTGATTATCAGCGATTATCGCAGTCACAGGAGGCTAATCTGGCTACTTATATATCTACCCAAGCTGCCCTAGGCAGTGCCCTTACCCATCAGCAAGTGAAGGGCCTGGCAGAGCGTATAACAGGCGATACCCAGCGACCTCTAGGAAAGAGATGGATAGCTCGATTCCTGCGGCAATACCCATCAATCAGGACCCAAAGATGCCAATCAATCGATTCTAGGCGATATAGAGCCCATACTACAGATGCTATCCAAGAATGGTTCAGTTATCTAGATCTGCTAGCAATCAAGGGTATCCATCCATCTAACCAATGGAATATGGATGAGACTAGCATCATGGAAAGCAAAGGAAGCAATGGGCTGGTGCTAGGCTCTGCAGCATCACAATATATCCAGAAAAAACAGCCTGGATCTAGGGCATAGATATCACTGATTGAGTGTGTGTCTACTGCTAGGACCTCTTTACTTCCCCTTATTATATATAAGGGCAAGTCAGTCCAGGCTCAGTGGTTCCCATCATCCAACCTATCTAGATATGCTGGCTGGCACTTTACAGCATCAGATAATGGCTGGACAAATGACCAGACTGCCCTTGAGTAGCTAAAGAAGGTCTTTATCCTAGGGACTATGCCCAGCCAGCCAGACGAGGCCAGGCTACTGATTCTAGACGGCCATCACAGCCATATAACAACAGACTTTATGTAGCAATACTTCCAGCATTATATCTATCTGCTGTTTTTACCGCCACATTCCTCTACTGTCCTCCAGCCTCTAGATATATCAGTCTTTGGCCCATTAAAGCAGACATATCAAAAAGGGGTTAAAAGTCTAGGTAACTAGATAAGTGACTTAACTATTGCTAGCAAAAAGGCATTTCTAAACTGTTATTTTGATGTGCGTAAAGCAGCAATAACAACCCAGAACATAAAGTCTAGCTAGAAATAGGCTAGGTTATGGCCAGTATTTATATAGCGCCCTCTATCTAACTCCCTAGTATCAAAAGCATCATCTAGCCAGCCAGCCAGCTAGCAAAGCAGCAGCCAGCAATAGGATGAGGCAGTATCTGCTATCCCATGGTCAACCCCTCGTCACTCTGCTGATCTGCGGCATCAGTTACATCTATTCAACCAGCTAGGCAAGGATACCCTAGATACCTATACTATCCGTCACCTATCTAAAAAGCTACAAAAGGGATATGATAAGCAGGCATCTAGACTAGCAATTGTAGAGCAACAAGCCAGCGATCTGCAGGCCTGTCTAGATAACCAGCACAAGGGCAAGAGGAAAAAGGTCCCAACATCTCCTAACAGCACCTTCGCGACAATAGCCCATATCCAGCGGGCGCAAAATACGGATATCGGCGATACAGATATTCTAGATGAATCCAGCGCATCTGAATTATCTAGTGAAGCCGAAAGTTACATCTGGGTGGGTGGAAGAGGGAGTGAAATAAGTGGTGATAGTGGTAGTGATGGTGGTGCCGATGGTGGCTCGGATGTGGGGGTGGCTCGTTAACAGGGTGGTTGTGTTAAACCGTGTTTGGCAGAGCTTTGCACACAGGGAAGACCCGAGATGACTGCCAAAATTATATTGACTCCCAAGTGTGCAGTAAGAGTCAGGTTTGTTAAGTAAATATCATGCTCACATTTGTGAGTTTTCGCTCTAGTTACCGCGTGTAGTGAAGCTTGGTAAGGATGAGTTCGTAGGAGTGATTTGAGAGCGAAAATGTATCACTCATTGTAGAGTTTAAGGTAGATATTTCCCACATTGATATGGTCTGAAGTGCCTTGCATATCTTGTGAGATTGATTTAATAGATCTCATGATTAGGACCTTTTTATTTCTTGTTCCCTACTATATTCTCGCTATAACAAGCAGCGACTGCAGGTCGGAGCTCTATTGAGACTTATAATAAGCTGGGTCTTGATTTGTCTAACGGTCTGAAAGGGAAAATTCAAGCTCAGTATCCTATTAGCTACAGCTTAACATCAGCGGAGCCCTAGTGCAGAGTACTGGTAAGCCAATAAGGACATAGAGATGGACGCAAGCCAGTCTGGTTGTTATGCAATGCTATATACGTTCTCTGGAACGCCCTGTGCCCTGTCAGCCGCTCACCGGCTTTGATGATCGTCGGAAGATTCTTAGGTGGCTGTGGCGCAAGCGAAGGAATTACAGTAAATTAACTTTAAAATGCGTTACAGCTGCTCTAACATGCATTATGTAGTTGACTGGCCCTATCATGGCTGATATGTATCGGAAGGAGGAACGAGCTAAGTCCCTGACGCTTGTAACACTCGTATCATTCTTTGGACCAGGCCTTGGCCCCCTTATGGGTGGAATTATTACGCAGAAGCTAGAGTGGCCCTGGCTCTTTTGGATAATGAGATTTCCGATGCTGGTATCTGGGCTGCTGGCTTTGTCTTCATAAAGGAAAGCTATGCTCCTGTGTTGCTGGCAAGCGCAATGCGGCTTTCTTCAAGGATTCTTCACCAAGCCCAATATCCTTCAAGGTAGCGGCTTCTAGATCGGCGGACAACCTATGCCGGCCACTTCAGCTTCTTTGGCGACGGCCAGTAATTCAGGTCATTGCCTTGGTTATGGCCCTGAACTTCGGCATCTATTGCCTTCTCCTTTCGACTTTCGCCACTCTGTGGATCAGTCGTTATGGCCAGTCCGAGTTTCAGCAGTCTCCACTACATTTCCGTCTCAGTTGGCGCCACCATCGCTGGCCGGGGAGGAGGCCGCTTCATGGACTGGGTATAGCAGCACTACGCCAGAGTTTCGAGTGCCCTGTCTCGTCCCGGGTGTCGTCACAATCCCCGTTGGCCTGTTATGGTATGGTTGGACGGCCGAGATAGACATGCACTGGGCCATGGTGGACACTGGTGTGGCCGTCTTTGTGTGCGGAAACTTTTTGCTGGCCCAGGCCATGCTCGCCTACCTCCTCGATGAATTTGCCCACGCTGCATCAGCGAATGCAGCAAGCCGCACGCTCTCATATTTAGTAGGCTTTGTTTTTCCCATCCTTGCGCCACAATTGTTTGGCCGCCTTGGCTACGGATGGGGTAACACCCTGCTTGCATTTCTCTTTATCGGTATCGGCTGCCCAGTAACGGTGTGGTTGTGGGTATGGGGGCCTAAAGTTAGAGCGCTTGGTCAATAATGATCTTGTATTCATAAGTCGATGTTCTTTCTCTAAAAGTGATGAAACCATCGCAGTTAGAACATAGCATAATTACAAGTCTTAGTGAAATCAGTCTCTGAAATGATTAGCTTTTGTACCAGTAAATGAGTATGTGTTTTAGCTTAGCAATTAGGATCCCTCTCCCTACTATAACTGGAGTCGCTTAAAACGCGTTGGGAAGGGTGAACCAACCCGGATATTCGCTAACGTTGCTGCGGATCTAAAACTCTGAAGAGAGCAGTCACCCTCCACCTTGTTCTCTGGCTGACACGCTCATTAAGCGGAGGGGACAAATCGGTGAGTGACAAGGGGCTCGATCCTCTAGTTCCCGCAGTGTTCAATAGCCTCTCCTACTGAGGAACACCTGGCAAACGGCTAATTAGCCTTGACCTTGTGCCACATCGTCAGCCTGAGGAGTTCCTTTTCCCGTCTTGCTTGACTATATGCAAAGCAGGATTCAAGTGAACTTCATGGACTTCCCATTTTCTCGGCGGCTACGCGTAGACATTACCGGATTCCAGGTTCAATTATTGTACTGTCTCGTACCAATAATAGTAGCATAGAAGAATTGATTGGTCCTATACATTGCAAATCCGTCATCAAATCTCGACGGAGCAAGTCGGACTGTCACTTTCGCTTCTGTACTCGTGAGTCTAAATTCTGACAAGCCTGCCTTGGCACATTTCGACTCCACTTGTTGACTAACCTATCACTGCGGTTCTTTTTGCCTGCTGCCTCCAGTCTTGAGATAAGCGAGGATCCTCTGCAAGCGAGGCACAGCAATACACGAAGTTTCGGGCCAGAATCGCTCTAGGGACCTACTAAATCCAGCCAATGATGCGTCACCAGCTAAGTAGCCGGGCGTAAGTAAAGCTTGGCCCGTTGTTGTGTGATAGTTTGGTCTTCCCATTTAGCCCTCCCGCAGTTTGTCTTCCTAAGTTTTGTTTCTTCCTCTAATTTTCATCGACACAATCTATAGCAGACGGACATCGAACTTACACGCCGAGAGGAGATCCGTTGAGTATAATTCGCACTGCTGTTCAACTTTAAGGCATAAGTGGTACTTTGACCTAGTAGCTCGAAGAACCGGGCGCCTGGTGCCCCGATTCCGCCACCATGCAGCCGGAGAGTTCTTTGCCGACCTCGAAAGAGTCAATAGATCTGCCACGGTCTTCTTCAACGTCGCAGTCTTCCGTTAGGACCATTTTTGATACGCAAAGCCGATCGTTCCAGAACTACTCTGTCTTTAAAAGTGCAAGACACTATATTCCGACTCGATTCCTAAGCAACCGCCGTCTCACCATTGCCATCGGAGGTGCTTTGTTTCTCGTCATTCTTCTTACTGCCGCACGCACAAATTCAAAACCCGCCGTTATTCTCGAAATCAACGCGGCCGCCAACCGTACCTTGGGCTTTGGTTCAATAGAGATGATCAATTTGCCTATCAGGCAGGACAAATCAGATGCTGCCACTGTTCAAGCCTTCCTGTCCGGCATTGAGATCAAAATCGTGGAGGGTGTCAATGGCAGCCGCCTTAGCGAAGTGGGCATGCCACCAAGCAGCATTGCCGATACCGAGCCTGGCTTATCTGGGGGTGAGAAAGGATGCTGGAGGTCACATGCTAATGTGAGTTGGCGTTTTCTCCAATCCTACTTCTTTCCATACACTAATGCCTAAATAGGCTTGGAGTTCCATGCTTCGTGCGAATGCAGAAACAGTCCTCATCATGGAGGACGATGTAACTTGGGATATCCACATCAAAGAAGTCATGCGCCTTGCCGCCTCCAATTTGGCTGTTCTTCTCGACGGCTCTGGCGTATTCGGCATCAAATCAACCCAGCCATCAAAAGAGCAGGTCCAAATGGATCCTTGGCACAGCAATCGATGGGACTTAATCACCTTCGGACACTGCGGCGATGGGGATGGTTGGAAGTCTGAACGGATCAAGTACGACGACCCTTACACGAACGGTGAAAAAAGCGAGTACTTTGGGATCGGTCTCAAGGGTGACCGTCGGATGATCCGTCGAGCCGGTGGTATGACTTGTACCGGAGCTTACGCCGTGAGTGCCCAAGGCGCTGCGAAACTTTTGCTACGAAGCAATTTTGACTTGAACCTACCTGTGGACGTCATAATGAATGAGATGATAATGAACGGTCAACTACACGCGTACAGCATCTGGCCTCCACCTGTCGTGCAGTGGCGGTACCGCGACAAGCTGGGAATGTGGGGATCTATGGGAAGCGATATTAGGGTTGAGCAAAAAGACCAGGATCGGACTGGATGGGAAGAAGCACACAAACAGCACGATGTGTGGCAGCTAAAGGGTGACACGACTGGCTTAAGAAATCCAGCCATCAAAGCAGCTTGGGGTACATTGATTGGCCATGATGACGAATAGCCATTTCGCCGATCGACAGCACTACAAAACCCGACGAAAAAGATACCAACAGAAGGGAGTTCTAAATATGTAAGAGAAGAAAGATGTTTGTTCAATTATAGTATGTACTACAGAGTGCAGCAAATGTTATAGGCTATCAAGGGCTTAATAAACCTTAGATACTAGGATGCAAGATTACAGAAGCATATAGAAAGCACCTAACTGTTCTTTTAGATGATTTATACTTTGAAATCTTTTACTTTAAATATGAAAAAGCTTTGTTTATCTTTTCTTCTGCTCTTTACTAACTACTGAATTATTAGGTTTTGTTACAATTATGTCCTTAGATTCCAGGGATTTCCAACTAAGATACTAACTAAATGTACTATTATAAGGGTGCTACTAACTTAGTCTTACTAATTCTAACAGACTACCTTATCAAAGAAGGAATGAAAGTTAGAACTAGGATACTAATATAGTTGCAAAGAGCCGAAGACGGACAGGATATTAAGGTAGTGAGTACGAGGCGTTTTGAAAAAACACAAGAAAGGTAAGACAGTATAATGCTAAGCATTAGCCTCTTAGATAGTTAGATACTGTAAGGTGTAAAGTTAGCCAACGCGTACAAAATTAACTAAAAAGATGCTAGAGCTCTCTAGGAGATTATTGTATGCTTTGCTTTGTAAAAGCTAGGCGAATAGATTTTTCATGTAATATCGCGGGAGATGAAAAGCTGCTATAACTAACTGAGTATGTAGTTTATATTACTTCTACAATCCAGAATGTAGCCTGACTACATATTTTATAAGTGAGAGTATTGGAAAGAGCTAGAAACGTTATCAACAGAAAAGATAAGACTTACTGTCACTTAAGGCCAAAAGATAATGTTAAACGGATTAGGGGTAAGTCGAGACCAGTAATCGCTGAGTTTTTAAGGGCTATATAAAGTCTTCGCTATCTTTATAATACTTGTCAAGCAGTGCTACTGTATTCGCAAGGCTGGTAGAGCTGTAGTTAAAGTAGACAGGTGCTACAGTGCTAAGTACACTGTAAATGTCTGTTTTTGTCAGCAGTTACAGCGCTGGACTCAGATTACCACTTGCTTTGAAGATGTGTGCTCAAGGTTGTGAATACTGAAGTGATTTTGTGTAATATGCTGATAACTTTGAAAAAGTAGGTCACTCAAGCTTGTGAAGAACTAACAAGGCATATAATTGCTGCCATTGAGCTTGTGGGTAGCTTAAAAAATAACACCTTGTATCTTCACTTTTTAACAAGCTTTACTCTCCTCTTGCTCGGTACTTGGATTAATCATATTACACTAGTTGTTGTTGAAAAGAGGTTTGACCGAAAGACTGCCCATGCGAGAAAATAACGTACAAGTAGTCGGACTTGATGAGGACGTATTCGATATGAGATCTTCTCACTTATCCGAGGCCAGGGGCCACCACAGCCGCTTCTAAACTGTTACACCTCGCAGGCTCAGAATTCAGGCTCCTTTTCAATGAAGCTTGTGCACAGCCAGACGCTGTAATATCCAGCTTAAACAAATTTCGATCAAGTGAATCCTGTTAGGAGAACGACACACCTATAGCAGATGATGTTGTAAATGGCAACTTCTTTGATTAATCCGTAGAAGCAACAAACTACTCACAACCGCTCCCAAAGCTTTTTCTAAGTTCATCACAGCCTTAATCGGCGGATTTCCCCCTAAGTCATTTGGATACTATTATATGTAGTTTCCCATTGATCGTTGTATCTGGAAAGAGTCCATTTACACCCTTATTGCCTCTCAGCACCGCTAACTCCAGCATGGTCGATTCTTAGAGATTCTTAGAACATAGATCTGCTCCATATGCCAACAATACCTTTACCATACCAACGTGGCCGTTCTCAACCGCCCAAGATAGCGAAAATCGGCCATAGTTGTCACGAGAATTTGGATCGGCCCCTTGTTTTGTAAGGAGCTCTACTATTGCAATTTGTCCATTCCTCGCGGCTAACAGCAGCGGTGTCTGGCCGTAGTCGTCTTTAGGGTTCAGGTCAACGTTCTCCGCAACGAATAACTCAACCACCACCCTATGTCCTCCCGCAGCAGCCCAAGACAGCGGTGTCTGTCTATTGCGGTCCCTAGGCCTCGTATCAACACCTTTCTGTAAGGTAGCTTAACTACCGCTTCGTACCTTGCCGCTGCCGCCAACAACAGCGGTGTCAGTCCGGTGAGGTCCCTTGATTCCAAATGCACCTATTTCCTCAAAAGTAGTATGATGATTCCTTCGTGTCCTCCTACAGCAGCCCGCGAAAGCGGGGTCTGCCCATAGTCGTCTTTCGAGGTGGCTTCGGCATCCTGCTCAAGCAGAAGCTTGAGCAGTGTCTCGTCACCTCCCGCTGATTCCCAAGATAGCGATGTCCTGCCATAACCATCTTTCGAGTCAATTTGAGCACCTTTGTCTGGAAGAAATCTGACTATAAGTTGGTCTTTGTGATTTGCCGCCAAAAAGAGCGGGCTCTGGTCATAGCTGTTGGCAGCGTGAATGTTGCCTCCATAGGCTCCCGGCTGTCGTACTGCACCGTCATTTCCGTTCTCCCTCCAGCCCATGGTTGTGCTGAGCTTCCAGAATATTGCGCGTTGTGGTAGCAGAGATATGGTGTTAGAAACTTGTGAAGAATTGGTAATCATCACAAAGATAAAGAATAGAAAAATGATCTCGCTTGAAGATATTAAAGATTAGAAGCGCGTGGTAATTCTACGGCCTATATGCTTTCACAAAACTAGTATTCTAGCTATAGACAAATGAACAGTTGATCCATGAGCAACGATAGCCGCCTCACTTCCCGTTACCATCATCGTGCCCTTGATACTGACAATTTGCAACTACTTCTTGCTGAACCTCGGCAGCTGCAGCCACCTGATGAAGTCGGGCCTTAATGTCGCGCAGCTGGGCCTCGCGAGCCAGCAGCTCTTGGCGCTTATCGTTGATCTCGCGTTAAACCCTCACCTCGATCTCACGGAGTTTCTCTTCTTCCCTTCGGAGCTGCTCATCTTTCAGGCGTAGTGACTGAGATGCCAGATCTTCTGGGGCAATGGATGAGTCGCTATAAAGTAAATCCGTCAGCCAAGTCCAAAATGCGGTAAAGAAAACATGAGATAACATACGCTCCGTCACCGATGGAATCCTGGTACACGGGATGGAACGATACGCTGAATACTATCGACACTATCATTAGCATCGCAGTACGTGAGTTCAACCTATAACCGAACTGAGCCTTCCTGTGTAGGCTCAGTGTGTATTCATTTTTTGATACCATAGAGACCATGCGCTGAGGGATCTGGCTAGATGGATTACGGTTTCGATGATGATCTGTTGGAAATTTATATCTTCGATAGCTCTGCTACGATGAACATGCCAAATCGTTACTTCACAACCTTGCAATTTTTATGGATAGCAAGACAGCGTGTCAATGACAACTTTGTCGAATTGACCCACTTCAGCTCTCCAGATAACGACGGATAGAACATTGCAAGGAATCTTTCCATGAGAGAGCACATAGGGGATGACGCATTGAATCTCTGAAGTAACGCATTTCATAGACACATTGACACAGCAGCTCTTGCAGCGCCTTGACAGGAAGACGGAGGAGATTAAATCGTTATAGGATAGGGTATGATTTTCCCTTCGCGCTTTACTCTCCCTTGCTCCCGAGGCCGGTCGAGCCATTCGCAGCCCGCCGACAATTCAATTGGTCTTAGTCTTACTGACACGCGAGCTTTAGCTGTTTAACGCTGCATCTGTCAGAGAAGCTATGAAAAGAATGGCACCCAATCGTGCAATTTAAGTGTTCCCTACCGTCACAATTGTCTTTACTCCCCTCGGGTTTATTGCTGTAGGTCTCAACGGTAATGCCCCGCTGCAGTCGAAAGTGCGACTGACAGTACATCCAGGCATTCTGGGTATTACTACCCTTCTTGAACACAACACCAGAAGGCAACAACACTCAACCGTCTTCAGGTGCTTTAATAGAGACCTTCTTGGCCATTCCACTAGTCACATATATTGGTTGTGTGTTCATGGCTTGGGCGTTTAGCTCAACAACTAGTTGGAAATCTTTCATTCAATGAATTCAGCATTTGGTACAAAAATGCTACTTGGCTGTCCAAGATCCTGGAAAACAAACTATTAGCCTAAGGAGTGTGAAGACAAGAGTCAGTGACGAGCAGCAAGAGAATGTATATGGAAATTGGAGATAAGGGTTGTTGCTAGCTTACGTTCGATGCAGAGATTGATTTCTGTACACCTCTGTCTCTATTTATCTGATATATTATCACTGTCTGAGTTGTGTGCTCTGGCGTCATGTCACCTATTGACCTTACGACCACTCCGGCCCTCACTGCTTGATTGAGTTTTTGGGAGCCTGGAGCAATCACATACCTCCCTTACCCTCTTGCTAAAATCATTTGTTGCATCCTGAGAACTCATATATATGTATCTTGCAGTTTCCGCACCGGTTCTTTGCCGATAACCTTGGTTTATTCAATTGCATGGTCAATGCTATAAGTGATGCCGGAGAGAGGTGGTGATTTGTTTGTTAAGGCTTTGTGCAGTGATTCTTCGGCAGGCAGTGCTTCACAAATTCTTCACGGCATAGGAATCACCTTTAAATGGACTAAGAATACTTAACTAAGAAAGCTTCGGGAGATAGATGGAACGATATCCTTGGTATGCTACGCAGGAAACCCATTCAAGTAACTAGCAACCGAATTGTCTAGCATAGCCTGATCCCCTTAGAGCTATTCGATATTAAAACTCTTTCCATTAATGCCTTAGGCATCAGCACAGATGAGCTCAAAACCAACGTTGACGCTAGTTCGGCCATTCCCTCAACTTCCCCCCCCCTCCCGCTGATCAGCGCTTACCCCTATCCACCGTTGCCCTACACGACTTTACCTGGAAAGTGGGGATAGCGGAGGGGGGAGGTTAATGGAGATGCTAAGTTCTTTGAGAGCCATGACCCACTTGCGGACAACTAAAAATGACATTGAAGCTACCATTCTTTAGTTGTCCTCTTTTCAGGGCGAGACGAAGAAGACTGAAGCCGTCATTGACAGATCTTGAAGTAATTATAACCGCAGTGAAGCTTTCATGTAAATGAAATGTCTGGAGTGCAGAGAGAGCCGAAAAGGTGTCGGACTGAGGGTGCTCCAAACAGCGGATGCTTCCAAATTGCCGTTCAGTCTCAGAAATTTCAGTTTGAAGAGAGGACAATAAAAGCTGAAAAGGAAGCCAATGTCACAGGAAGGGGAAGATGAAGATAAGCCGATACCATACATGACAAACCGTTAGATTTGTCAATGGATAAATCTGGGTTACGACTTACCGTCACAGACAGATCATCGTTCATCATGGAAGATTGTATTTGTACATGGCATTTATCCCCTTTTTTGTATGCATCATATCACACATGGATTCAGCATGCCCATTCTGCTGTCGTTAGTTTTCCTTTATGTATCAAGCCAGGCAGCGATCTGGAACATTCGCCTTCCTTCACTGCGCGCAGTCGCTGCAACTCGTTCTCTGGAGGTCTAGCTCAAGGACCTCATTATTACTGATATAAGCGGTGAATCCTTAGGCATATTCAACAACATTGTGATCGGCAACCAGCATGACAATCATGAGCAAATAGATCACATGTGTAGTGATGAACACTCAAAGACGTAACTAATTGGACCTTAATTGCAAATGATTGTTGAACAGATAGTGGCAAGCATTCTCCAGAGCTGCTACCCTGACCCAACCCACAGATTTCAGTCCAAAATCATAATATACAAATGAATTACTCGTATTTCATGAGATTGCTAGCCACCTCGAGATTGCCGACGGCGTTTTCCATTCGGTGGCCGGGATTTACATCTAAACACCGTCTCCGTTGGTGTGTGGATTTTTCCGGATAACGGTATGACTCGGCCACCAAATTTTCGCTACTAGTACTAACTATGGTGTGATGGGTAAGTTTTTAATCCCCCTATTGTATCGAACCACTTGGTGCAACCCCCCCTGCGCCGCTGATGCCCACTTATCGCCGGGCGTGCAGCCATATCACCCGCTTTGACAGTAATAGACTTCGTCGAAGTCGCCGACGACATTGCTGCAGTAAATGTAAAGGATATGGTTTCCAACTCAACATTTTGTTGAGTGCGTGGTGTGAACTTTGGTTTCTTGTCATGGCTGTTGTCTCACACCAATGTGCTTGTTACGCCAACGTCCTTATAAGCGCACTAATGTCCATTTCAAATGGCATCAAAATATAGACCAAGGCTACTTATTTCTCTTTACTTGATCAGTCCAAGACAAAATTTACGTTCAGTCAATAACCACGACTAGCCTCTTAGTCTCATTATGCAAGCCGAAACTGCCCCCATGACTGCTAGCCACTCCAAGCTCTACTCTCACTCTTCAAGCTTGGATCCGGCGCTAGACAGGGCCAACCAAACCTCCTTATGGAGAAACCCAGAGGTCGGGAAAATTTACAGGAATACGGAGCACATCACCAGAACGATCATCCCTCCACTGATCAAGGCATGCGGCCTGACGGATGAGGTGATAGCCTCGCTCGAGCGGCCCATTCAAGTCCTAGACATGTGCTGCGGGACCGGTGTGGCCTCAGCCTACATCCAGACAATGTTGCAGAAGGCGGACATGGCAAGCAAGGGGATGATCAAGTAGACATGCGCAGATTCCAGCGCAGCGCAGCTAGAGTATGTCAAATGTCGGATCAAAGAGGATAACTGGGTTGACTCCACGGTTATTAAGGCTGATATCGCTGTAAGAACCTTTTGTCCTTCCAGTCTGTGAGACTGGACCTAACACCTTATAACTAGTGCCTCCCTTTCGAGTCGAACACTTTCGATTTCGTCATTTGTAGCAACGCTCTCATGGTTGTTTCTGAGCCTTACGCAGGCCTCTCTGGTAACCTACGCACCATATATATTCGAACCGCGTAAAGCAAAACTAGAGCCGATCTGACCCGTAACACAGAAATGTTCCGCATCCTCAAGCCGGGCGGTCGCCTCGCGACTTCGACATGGGCCTTTGAGGGATGGGTACCAGGGACCTTTGAGGCCCTCACGAATCTTAGCTTGCCTAATCAGAAGCCTGTCGCGTGGCCGCAAGAATCCTGCCAACTCACCCGCATCTGGTCGCCGGGCATGTGGGACAGCGATTACTTTACGGCAGCCATGTATAAAAACGTAGGCTTCAAGGACGTTCGGCCGGATGTCGTCTCGGACCCTGTTTTGTTCCACAGCCCTGAGCAGTTCTGTGCCGTCTACCAGGGGCTCCAATTCAGCGTCGTGGAGAAATACTGGTCTAAGGAGGAGAAGGAGAAGCTGACCCCTCGGCTGGCAGAGACATTTACTAAGTATCTACGAAAGAAGCATAATGGGGACCCGTTCGGATTTGAGAGATCTTTTGTTGTTTGTAGTGGGACTAAGCCGCTTAAATAAGTTAAGGGTTAAGATTGTTCGTTAGCTACCTGTTAGAATGATGAATTTTATGTCTTCAACTATAGCAAGGCTGTTACAGAGAGGCTGAGAGTGACCACGCCTGACAATAACCAATTGGGCCATGAACCCAAAAGGCTGACCAGTGCTTGCACGCTTGCAAGCGCTGCTGTCAATATTGCTTGTATAGGCAAGAGGTCCACGCTTGGCTGGGCGCTTTGGCCTAGTATTCTTATCCGGTGACACATTGTCTTATTGTACCTTAAAGCCTAGCATTTTGACATTTCACATCTTTACAGAATTAACATTGAATGAGTTGAGCTTTAATCTCTTTATCTAATGAGAAATATAAATATAATGTGAAAGCTTTTATATTCTTAGAAATCTATAGTAACTAGTTGAAAAGGTTGTTTTTTTGCAATAGCTTCTTTTTGAGGTGGGTGAAAGAGTGGGTCGGTAAAGTGGGTAACTTGACGGACAGGAGCAAATCCGAAGCAAGGATCAGCAATTCATATAGACTTTTAGCGAAACAAACGAATACTACTAAACTTTTCAGTCCAATAATGAATTTAAGATTAAATCACGATTGATTGGACCTATGTTGTGCTCTGGTAGACAGTCGTCTGATGACACCAGTTTCAGAGTGTCGAGTACCACACATGTATGTAGTGTGCGCAAAAGCTAATTTTGAGAACGTGTAGCCGGAGACCTAACAGTGTTACGCCGAGTCGTTCGCGTTAACCACACTCGGTAGTCCCGAAGACACACAGAACAGGCCGCTTCCCGGTGCCGTTCTTGTTGCCTTCACGTTATTTAGACTTGAAGGACTTCTGTAGTCCCTATCCAGGACGATCGGTCCTCTTGTGCTCCGGAACAAAACTGTCGCCCTTGTCACCCTATCCTTACGAGCACGACAAGCTATAGTATTATTTATTAAAAGACCTTGTGAAAAAGAAGTAAAGACGCTAAAGATAAGGGTATAGCTAATTGTTTTTTAACTAGAGTATAGTTAATTAATATTTTTATAAGTAAAACCTATACTATAATTATATTTAAATAGCATAAAAAAGATAAGTCTAATCCTTTAGTCACTATATAAATAGGTAATAATAGCTATAGTAATACTTTTACTGAGAATATAATAGTAATATTCTTAGATAGTTACAGAGAAGTAAAGAGACTTAGTAAGAGTAAAGGTAAAAAGATAAGGTTATTACATTAATGAATACAATTCTATTATCACTAGATAAGTAGAGAAAATATCTCTTACTTGTATATAAGGTCCTTTAGATACGTATAGTATCTAAGCGTATATCTAAGCGCTAAGAGGTACTTATATGTTTCTTATATATGTATATATATGCTTATATATACCTGTAGGTAAGCATAAGCGCCGGCATATTTAATGTTTAGAAGTATATACGTTTATATATAGGAGACTGTATTAGTTTGCAGTAGTTTATATTAGTATAGTTATATATAGTAATTGTTGAATGGATTCTCTCTTTCTGAGAGAACTTGTTTGTATGATTGTACTTGGGTTAAAGTTAAGGTAAACTAAAGATGTATTTTCTGTAATTATCTTTCTAACTATAAGACTTGGCTTTTATATATAAGATATATGATCTTATATATCCTTAAGTTAGTTTAGTATAAATATACTTTTGATCCCTTTAATGGATAACTGAGGGCTAAATATTTAGTCTATGTTTTCTGTTATAATATATATCCTTGAGTTATACGTATTATATAACTAGCTAGTGCTATTATTCTAATACTTATAACTTTTTCTTTTATAACTATATAACTCTTTATAGTATTTAATTAGGTTATACTAATTATAATATTAATAACCTTATTATATAACCTTATAGGTTAAGCTATTTATATTATATAATAAATTACTAATATTAAAACTTTAGGTAACTATCTATTTCTTTTTTATTTAGTTAAGTAAATAAGTTATATATTAGTAAAGTTCTTTTTTTTTTATTAACTTTACTTTTACTCTTATTATTAATATACTTTTTTTTTTATATAATAACTTTAACTATTTAAAACCTTTTTTACTTATTTTTCTTTTTCTTTTTTTTTTTTTTTATACCTTTTATATATATTACTTTCTTATATAATTAATTAATAATAATTTTTTTTTTTTTAATTAACTTTAATAATAACTACTTATATATAGGATTTCTTTTTATATATTTCCTTTTACTAATTTATTAATAATACTTTATATAATTAATTTATTATATCTCTTATTGCCTTTAATAGTTTAATTTTTAGTAATATTAGTATATATACTAAGAATAAGATTTATTATAAGAACTCTTATCTTATCTAATTATATCTTTACATCTAATAACTATATAAACTTACTATATCTATATTTAGATTAAGTAAAATAGGAGCTTTATAACTATATATAACTTATCTATATATAAGATAGGCTTATAAGAATCAAGTTAACCCTAGAATTCTAGTCTTAGATCTAGTTAACCCTAGAATTCCAGCTTTAGATCTAGTTAACCCTAGATTCCAGAAAACCAACTCCTAGATTCCAGATAAGATTATTTTATTAAATAATCATATTACTAATAAAATATTAAGAAAAGGATATAAGCCTAAGATATTCCTATCTTTTAGAAAAAAAAACAGATATAACAATATACATAAAATATAACAACCTTATCTTTCTACCTTTACCTTCACTAAGTCTTTTTATTTCCCTATAACTATTTAAGAATATTACTAACATATTCTAAGTAGTTATAAGCCTAGCTCATAAAAGACTTATACTTATACTTTTATTTAATATAACAAAAATTCAACTTTGCTAAAGGACAAACTACATTAGCTAAAAGAATTTTAAGGAATATAGCTCTAAGGCAGCTACACCTTACACCCAGCAGCCCATATTCAGCAGAATAGAGGGATTGGCTTACTAGGTAAGCACTACACTTATCGCTATATTTTACGCCACTATAGCTCTAAGCAAATCACAATTCAATCCCATTTTACCAGTTAAAGGTTATTTCTAGTCTATATCTAACAAAGACTATATACCTTAAGCTAAAATTAAACCTAAAAGCTTTAATTAAATTACTAATTTAACTAGTTAATCTAGAGGGTAGCTAAACCTCTAGACCAACTGCTCTACTGTCTAGTAAAAGCTTCTTTAGTTAAAGGCCTATATATATCTTCAACCTAAAGTAACCACATAACGCCATACCATCAATAATAACATTATAATAACCTAACTACTTTTAAGGCCTATTTTTCAAAACAAATTTAATAGTACTATCAAAATACCAATATCTCTCTTTAATTAGCCAAAATCAACTTATAATAAAAAAAATCTATATTCTATACCTTTCTAGTAATCTAAACTATTTAGTTTAGGCAACTAAATTTGAAGCTTTACTTATAAGTAAAGATATTAACTTTAGTCTTAAAAACCTATTAATAATAGTAAATTAAAAGGCAATAAATACTAAAATCTTAGCTTATATAAAGCTATTTTATAAAAAATTTACTTCTATAGGTTATAAAAGACTTTATAATAGGATATAAGGCCTAGAAGAAACTAAAAGATCTATATAAACCTACTGGTTTTATTAACGAATATCTTACTTATAAAGAGTTTTTTAATACCTCCTTAGAATCTTTTGATTCTATAGAAAATTACCTTAATAAGGTAAAAGAGCTTACAGATAATCTTACTATAAAATCTATAGTATTACTAAAACAAATAATTATTACTTAAATATTAAATAGCCTAAATAATAGTTATAAAGGTTTTATAACCAACATAACACAAGTTCTAAGAAAAGATTTAGATTCATATACTATTAAATCTTTATTTACAAATCTTATAGATAAAATAAAAAGAAAAAAATCTTTTATAGTCCTTTATACTTCTATATATAAAAAAAGAAATAAAAAGCCCTGGAAAAAAACTAAAGGGATATATTATAATAATTATAAAAAATCTAGTTATAAAGTTAAAGATTATGCTTTTCTTTATCCTTATAAAGCCTTAAAAGGCTAAATAAATAAGGATAAAGAATCTAATATATATTAAAAACATAAAAAAAAAGCTAATCTTAGAAGAAAACAACTTAATAAAGTATAAAAAGCATTAATAGCTAAAAAGGCTATTATAGAAAAGCTCTTAGATAATTCTGAATCTGAAGATGTAAATATAACTATAGCAGAAACAGAACCTATAAATATTATAACAAATAACTAAGAAAAAGAGGATCTTATTAATCTAGACTTTAAAGACATAAGTCCTCTTATACCCTCTATAAGTTATAATAATAATAAAATATTAAGTTATAATATAAATAATTCTATACCTATATATATAAATATAAATAATAACTATACTATATTCTATATAAATACTACTACTATAGTAAATATTATAACAAATAAATCTCTTTTTATTAAGACTACTATAATAAATAAATAAGTTAACTAAAAAAAAGCAAAAAAGCAAAAAGTAACCCTTATAAGTAATATTACTATCTCTTTTCCTCTAAATAATAATAACATATATATCTTAAAGAACTATTATTATATACTACAGTTAAATATTAACCTACTAAGTTAAAATAAGATAAAAAAGCTTAATATAGCTTCTCTTTTCTAGAATACAAAGGTATCTTTAATAAATACAGTTAATAAAAAGACCCTTTATAAGGGGAAACTAAAAGATAAACTATATTATCTAAATATTAAAGTCTTAAATAAAAAGGATTTATACTAAAATAATAATAATAACATATATATAAATACTATAAAAAATAATAACTCTATAAAAAGAAAACCTTATAAGTTTAAAAAGGTTAATAACAAAGAAGGAAATAACTATATAAAGTGGCATAATAGATTAGGTCACGTAAGTCCTAAAGTTCTAAAAGAACTACAGAATAACACTAATATAAGTAATAATATAACAAAAGACAACTTAACATGTAATACCTATATAAAAA